CAGGAGAGACGGAGATGTTCTGTTAAGGACTAATTTTAATACACTATAGAAGATGAGTTACACACAAGGGTTCCATTGCTACGCAAAACAAGAGTTACATCAACATTACCACCATATATGTTAAGAGTATGGGGTAGTTCACTTAAATTTGCATTTCCTTTTATACTTCCAATAACTAAAGGGCTGCAAGACTACGCTCTAGTGAAAATTTCAGGGAGCCCTTTGGGCTCCCAAGCAATTTAACCTAAAAGATCTAGAAGGCCCAAATAAAATTTTCAGGGAGCCCTTCGGTCTCCCAAACATTTTAGCTCGGGTGCCCGGGCCTCCAAGTTGTTAGCCCAAATTAATAAATCAGTGAGCTGTTAGTTAATTATTAAAAATTAAACAAATTATTTTCTGAACAAGTCAAGCAGAGTTTTGTGAATATTTTTTTCACATGAAAAATCACATCCTTCGACCTCCTGAACGTCCGAAAAAAAAAAACGCTTAAGATTGACGGAGATCCCGTAGGCAGTGGAGCTTTCCAGGAAAACCGCTATGATTTCAACGAAACCGCAGCCGCCCCAAAACCATTATCTCTTTTGAATAGATCATCATCTCGTTGGAAAGTCGTCGTTTAAGCGCAGAACGGAAGTATTTTCTTTCTACATTATCGGTGAAATGTTCAGGACAAATTTAGAATTTTAGAATTTAGATCTAAATTTAGCTTTTGCGTATTTACTTTTAGCGCGTGATACGTATTTTACTGTACGCATCATTTAAAAATGACTCGTCACGACACGGAAGACATGCGGGACTTTATAGATTTATTCCCGATTCTAAAACAATCACAATAATAGTCGTCCCTTTTCTTCTTTACATCGTATTTTACTGGAATAACAACTTTAAGTTATGTTTTAGCCTCGCAGACACAGCAGTATTTAACAGGTAAAAACATTTAATTAACATAAACGACTGACCCCCGTGTTCATTGAGCGATTTTTTAACATACAAAACTATTGTTTTGCGTCGCCAACAGTACAGTATGTTGCCCAGTATCCGGACACTTCAGTTTAACATTGCAATAACTTTCCTTTGTTAGTCGCAAGAGCTCTGAAATTTTGCCCAGAGAAAATCTATTTAGTCCTTAATATGACGGAAGACAGTTTAACTTTTTTACCTTTGTTTCCATCGCGAAATTAATATTTTTGCAGCGCTCCTATGTTGCCCAGTATCCGGACAGCTGGCCCAGTATCGGGACACGACAATAACAACGTAATTGTACATAAATTTCGACAGCCAAGCGACTTATAAGCTTCTCTTGCACTTGCAAAGTAGTCTGGCAATCGATTCAAAAAATATAACCTAACATCGTGAAATAAAACATAACAAATCACTGGGGTATGGTGGGGAACGCGAGCGTTTGTTAAACGGCATAATTCTTACTTCCTTGTCTTGGAACTTTTTCACTGATCATGTAAGGAAGGCATCCGTGGACATGCCGAAGCCGCGGTTTGCTAGCTCAATTAGCTAACCTGCAAAAGACTTTTTTTCTTCGTTTTTTATTTTTAAAAAAAGCTTGGGGAAGGGACCTCAATGCGACGGTCAAAGGTCACTCTCCTATTTAGTCTGACCTGCAGTGTTGATTTCTTCATGCTCAGTTCCTACAGACCCTACAATAAGCCTGTTTTTCTAGCACTAATTCCTCCTTCTTTCACATCTCTCAATCCCTTTGTGATATTTTTAGACCGTTGCAACCCCATTCTAGCAGTCACAACTGGGGAAAGTATGAGAATTCCAGGTTCAACTCCGACGCTTTCGGTCATATATAGAAAATGCAGTCACGCGAAACAAGCGGCGCACACGAAATCAAGTCGCCTCCGAATGAGTGAAGAAAATGTCCGTACGGAATTGAGTAGAATTACATTTTACGACTATATCATATATCCTAAGCTTTAATTATAGTTATAGATATGAAATAAATCTTATCGGGATAATGTACGCAGCTAATTCATCGATTCTGTACAGCAAAGAAAAACTGTCCGGATACTGGGCAACCTGACATCAATACTTAGTGAATGTTTCTGGGCTCCGTTATTCCAAACAAATCGAATTTCAATAAGAATTAATAAACTTTCTGAGAACCCGACTTCTTTAAGTATCTTCACTTTAAATATAAAACCGTTTCTTTGAAAATATCACATATTACCCACCCTTTTCTGAGCAGCACTAATTTTACTGCGCAGTAATCAGCGTAAATATTAGCCATGAAATGTTTATTCACCTGAACAGAACGGCGTCTTCTCCGACTGTTTCGCAAGCTTTCAACTCGCCAAAACCTTCATCTTAAAGCTGAAATGTCCAGCTTTCATTCGAAATACTTCGTTTACCAATAACTGAAAAGGGCGCCTCAAAAACTGAGTTTTTGTTTAAGTGTCCGGATACTGGTACCGTCCGGATACTGGGCAACATACTGTACTTTACATCTGTCAGAGCAAAAGTAACGATTTCCTTTGAAAAGCTAACTAATGAACCATTCTAATTTGAAGAAAAAATTTCAATGTTATTTTGAAAAGCTGTTAAAATCGAAAGCTGTGCAGCTTATCACGTTAATAGTCAAGGATTATGTTACATTTGAACATCAACGCGTGCCCGCTGCCCGATTTTGTTATAGACAGGCTACATATTGCTACATACAAGTCGACCTCAAGAGTTTCTTAGCCAGCGGAACGTTCTTTTTAGGCCGCAAAGCGACCGAGGGAGCTAGGCGAACAGGCGGGAAACATTTTCGGACCACGTGACCCGAAACGCATTGGCCGCGCGTAATAATGAGGCTTAGGGACTAGGCAAGCTCTGTTCGTGTGGCAGTTGCTGTCAGCGAAATCTGAGCATCGATCTTATACACTCCATAGCAGAAATGCAGATGAACACATTACAATTATTCTTAAGGCCGGGATAAAATTAATCATCTCCCAAAATAACGCTTCAAAAACAAGGCGAAAAAAACATGAAAAATGACCATGTTAACATTTCCCTTGAACTTTTATTGAAACATTCAGGATCAAATCGTTATTTTGGGGTAAAGTGTAGCCGAAGTAATGTTTATTTGCTGCCTCGTTCCTTTGCGCTTCGTCACCAGTCGCTCGCGTGTCACTCGCGATTCGTGCTCGCCTTCTCTGTGCGAAAAACGAATCACCTGAGACAGGGTCCAGAGGAGATGTGTTTGTACTTAGAACATTACAACCCCTTCGAAACTCTCTGAAAAATGGGCTATTTTGATCGCGTTACAGTTTCGTTACACATTCTATAGACCGCAAACCAACAGACTGAGGGCTCGCAAGAGGAAACAAATTTGGGGCCAATTTTCGAATCCCTAAAACTCAAATGGAATTGAATGAAATCGCCTGATTTTACTAACCTGATCTAGAATTCTTATGTGTTTGCCAAATACTGTAGGAAAACGACATAAAAAAGCGTTCAAATTCATTTTCGGCGACCGAAATTTACGGCTTCGAGATAGCGCTTTCGTTCGCTATGCACCGCAACAGATGGTGACGGAAATGACGTAGTAAAGTAAACGTGATCAAGATCGAAGCAATAAAAGGGGATGGTAAGCCTACACGACTTTTACCTCATGCCAAAATGCTGCTCGTTCCAATAAAGTTTTTTTCTCTGCTGGGTAGACTATGCTGTGGAAGGTTCTACATTTTCACTCAGCAAATGTGATTTTAGCCGCATGTTTCACACTGAGAGGTCATGACACACATATCGATTTACTGTGGTTATTGTTTTTGGTCGGCAGGAGTTGCACTCTGATGCAAGCTCATTTTCTTTGACCTCTTTTGAAGCGTGAAGCTTTTTATTACGGCTGAATAAGGGTTCCAGCTTTCTCCAAAGTGCCTTCTGGATCTGAATAACTAAGCGATTTTCTTTAGTCCGTGAATGTAATCTTTTTCTGCAATGCTGTATCACGCTGGGCCCAGCTCGTTAGTTTTGTTTGGAGAATGTTAAATTACTACGGATAGTGATTTACAGGTCGTGTGAACTCTTGCAATAAAACGTGACACTGAGTAGAGCGGACGAACAAGGAAACTGTAATATCATCACGGCTGCGCCATTCTTCGGTGGTCCCAACAGTGTTACCTCTTGCGTCTTTGGCTGTGCGTTTTGCGACTACTGGGAAGCCTTTGGCACAAGCGGAACCTGCTTAAGATATCGAAGACTGTTGACATGTACAACAAATGTCCAGTCTTGAAAGATCTTCACTTCAATTAAAACTCTGTTGCCTTCACATAGATCTCTGAGATCTTTAAAACTCCCTCCGCAGCTGATGTTTTGATTCTCGAACTAGCAGCGGTCTGTTGCTTTTGCGTTTCCGGTCTCATTCACTTCCGTCACCGAGTGATGCGGTTCACAGCGAACGAAGTCACGTGGTTCAAGTTCCCTCCGTTGTCCTTTTTTTTACTCCGCACTTCGTGCCTCGGTCGCCCTTCGGGCGACGTACCGTGCGCCAGCGAGGATATGGCTTGCGGTTATTGATTTTCAAAATGGCGAACAACAAAGTCGATCTGGGTCAGATAAGAAGCGAAGAAATCGTTTACAGTAGATTCATAAAGGTCCCATTGGGCTAATTAATCGTGCTAAGCTACAGATATAGACATTTTTCAAGGTGAGACTTTAAATAAGTAATTCATTCATTCACACGAAACTCTTCTGGACCCTGTGCTGAGAGGGAAGCTGGTTTATTTGTATTTCCTCTGTTGAGTACAAACGATTCAATAACAACAACTGCCACACGAAGAGAGTGTGGTCTGCCTGTGGTATCAGCTTCGAGCTGAGACCATTCGTGACAAATGGAACTTTTTAAGCATTTCTTTCGTATGTCGTTCTTACCTACATAAACACATTCACATACAGAAGAACATACGCTATCAGACTACTGACATATCAGCTACGTTTTCATAACAGTTCAAAAATGATCTCTCAGTTTATATCTACTATTTTACATAACTGTGCCAAGGTTATCTTCCCAAACTGTCATTGTTTAGCCGTTGTTCTCTACATGAGGAAGACGTATTTCTTGCGGAACCGCTCCGTGTTCTATCGTCTTCCGATTTCCATCTGTCGCGGCGATCGTAATATGAAGGAGCAATGTCAATGTTCTGAAAAGGCAAGCGTAATAAGACATTAAAACTCAGGGAAAAAAACAAAAGTTCGTTCAAACTGAACCCAGCGTCATATAACAATGTTATGGAACCGTGTTAAATCCGTTTCAAGGGACAATAGTTTTAACTCATCACTTTACTGCGATCCAGCAACATTCAACGCCGCCAACTGACAACTGTGTTTAAACGGATCTAACCCTGCCTCGTTGCCTCGACGGGAAAGATCAAGAGAAGGCGGACGATAGGCTTAAGCTGTTTACCATTTACAAAAAGTTTCAGGAAAACCCGATTGAAAAGTAAACGGAGCACGACATTTTGGGTCGTTCCAGTGGAAAATTTCGGTAAGCAATGGGACATCTAAAGTGCCGATGGTAGTCCTGTTTTTCCGGACGGAATCTTCCACACGGAAATTCGTGTTTCATTCTTTAAAGCCATCTTTGACACCAGTTTCAGGCCTTCGCGGTCGTTATTCGGTTAATGCACTGATTAAATGGTAAACGCAATTCTGGGACGAAACTCACCAATCATGAATTTTGAGTACCATTTGTCCAAACCGTGGACCGACCGTTTTACCCATGTAAATGGTAAACAACGTAACCTCTCTTTCTCTTTCCATCGGACCCTAGCCCTCGCGTTTCGCGCTGGCCTTTGTTTGCGAACCAAAGTGCAAACGATGCGGGTGAGGAGGAAGAGGTAGGATCAAACCTGCATCATTCAGAAGTGACAGATGAAATTGGAAAAGAGAGGAACATTATGCTAGGCACTTGTTTCAAGGTATTTTGCTCGCGTCACATATATGCTGGGAAAATGGCTCTTGATGTAACGTTTGAAGCCAACTGAGAAAAACCATGCACCTTTGGTGGTTATAAAGAGGAAGTGAACTAAAAGATAAATAGCTTTAAATCCATACCAATAAGTAAGCAGTTATTAACAGGGAATTGTAGATTGCAGCGTACAATTCCGAACCCCGAACCCCGTTAATATGGGCACTGAGAGGGTCATAGAAAGTGTCCGTATTAAGCTGGTTGAATTTAGAGAAAATGGTCCTGAGGGTTAAGCCTCAAGAGCATGAGATTCCTGTATTACATCATTGACTGAGAAGCAAGTTTCCCATGACGCAGATTTCATATAAATCATAGTTGTTTTGGCCCCAGTTGTTCAAAAGGTGAATAACGCTATCCATCGGATAAATCACTGTCTAGTAGATAAGTATTAGGGAAACCAATTGATTTATGCACTGGATAGACATTTATCCACAGGACAACGTTTTGTGCCTTTCGAAAAACTGGGGCCTGGATGGGCGCAGCAGGAACAAAAGATCTTTTAAGCAAGGAGTCTTTCAAAACTCAGTCACATAATTACACCTGTAAATTAGTGGCGGATTATCTTTGAGTAAGGAAACCTAGACTCACCTTTCTAGGAAAAAGCCAGTCGAGAAACCAAAGTAAAAACAGGTCAACAACAGCTAAAACACAAAATATTTTCCCAGCAACACGGCCACAATGATATAATCTGAAAGTTAAAATAAAAAATTAATGATAGAGTCTTAGTTGTAAACCTTCTTGTCCCACCCTCACGACATGACTTTTATTTTATGTTTCTCATTCAATATCAAACTTAATGTTTCTCATCTTTCATTATTTATCGACACACAATAAACTATCGACATTGTTTATCCTCGCAGAGTACAGGACGCCTGTTAGATATGACCCTTGTAATTGACTTTGATCGCCAAGCGGGTCTCAGCTGCTGAGTAAATATAGTACCCACATGGTGCTCTGGCATGTCTTTTCGTTGGGGATCCTTGTTCTACGCCCGTGGCGTCAAGATTTTATTATACTTTTCTCAACAAGAAACTTCAACCAGATGCAAAATATCGAGAGAGTCCGAGGAAAAAACGACCTTTCTTGCTTCAAATCGCTGCTATTCACAGATCTGTGAGACACCGTATAATACTGACCTCCAAGTTTTGAGCAGGGTCTTGTATTGCTGGCAACTTTGATAAGGGGTGGAGGGGGGGATCACAAGCACAAGATCTGCATGGACAGGCCATTTAAGCCAAAATACGGTACAGTGTCTCAAATACTTTTGTAACTAGTTGTAGTATACAACCAAACAGAAAAGACCAGAAAACAACTTACAAGCACAAAAAGCCCAGGAAAGCGAAAACGGTTGCCGTGGTAGATCCTGCTTAGGCACATTTTCCTCGTGCCACTGTGAGACAAGTTGCAGAAGACAACTTCCCTTAAAATGTTCCTTGCAATGTTGCAGAGTTGCAGCATTGCCAAACTCGTTGCACAGAGTAGAACTTGATTCTCCCTTTCGCAACACTTGTTTCCAAGACTTGTCGCAACACTGACATGTTCATTCCAGAGGGTATTATACTAGGCAATTTTTTGTGTAACAGATAGCTCGCAAAAAAAAGCCGAGGGTAAGTGCGTTGTACAGAGGAAATTCAAAAAATTTAAAACTCAATAAACAGAAAGAATTGTCTCTTATTCAAGTATAAAAAAGTGGGCAGCTCAAGCAAAGGAAGAGACAATTGAGATCAAGCAACAGTTTAGCAACTGACTGGTTGAAAAGAAACGTTCGTTTCTGATTCGTTTAAGTATCAACCAATGATAAATCAACGTAAAATGCAAACTAGGTAAAAGACCTTATTCACCGCACGATACCCGCCATCTTTGTAGCGCTTTAGAATAAGTGATGGGATAAAGGCAATGTCACGTGGTCAACTTCAGGGGACAAACAAGTGATAAAGTTTTGTAATACGAGTAATCGCGGTTTGTTCAGTCTGTCAAAACGAGACGACGATTTTAGTCTTGCAAAATGTACAGTTCGAGTTTCGACAAGTTCTACGTCATTATTGTCTGCTTTGAGGACATATGCGGTTGCTACTGCATCCAAAAGAGTAACAATGATCACTTCGACCCATAATTTGCTATAATTACCACCTTTAAGATAAAAATTTCTTCATTTTCTGTTGTCAAAATTGAAAATGCTCGACCGTACCTTCTTTTATCAGCAGATTTTATCACTTCCCTCCCACCCCCCCCCCCCCCCCCCCACGAGAAATCACGTGACATGGCTTTTATATCATCATTCCCTAAGTGCATGCAAGGAGGGCGGGTATTGTGAAGAAGGTCTGTTTTGAGAAGGAGTTAGGGGATACAAATGTTTGTGGAGGCAAAGAATTGTTACCTTTTCAATCTCAGATCAAATGAAACAGGAGGAACATTGCTAACTACATCGTAAACCTGAAAATAAAAGAACAAACAAAAACCTGTTCGTGACCGTCAATTACAGTTAACACAATTAAGCTACGTGCAAATGGATGCAGCAACTCCCAACAATGTCTGGACCTTGATTGTTGCGCTACACTTCGAAGATCACGGAACAAAAGAAATTATGGGAGTTGGTGGCTGAAAAGTTTGACCGGTTTTAAACTTTGCGCAACAACACGCAACAACATGCAACAACCTGCAACAGGGTTTGCAAACGGACGCAACATGTAACATCCAATAATATTGGGAGCTGTTGGCCAACAATGTTGCGTCCGTCGTTTGCACGGGACTTTAGCTAAAAAAGGAAAGGGAGAGGATGGCGTGTTTTAGTGAAAGTGAATGAGAAGTTGGGTGATTACACGACAATCAGGCAGAGTACTGTCAATTATCTCGGCCGTACTAAGGCGGACACCTCTGCCGTGACTGGCACTAAGTGTCTTTCTAAGAGTAATTTCCCTCTTATAGTGAGTGAAAAAAAAGACGTAAACAAAAACAGGGACCGACTCTAGTGGTACTTACTATTTACATGGAAAAACCGGAAATTCCAGTTGGAAAATCAAATGGTTCGCGCCATTCCGTTTGGAAAGCTTCAGAAAATATGGGCTGTGATTTGAGGCGATGCAGTTTTTTCTACTCTTTTTAGTCTGTTCAGCTGATTTGGAAGTACTTTGTAGCGGGTCGTTCTTCTACCACGTCCCATTTTATAGTTTTATGTTTATATGCAAGATTTCCACCAGGGTGGTTTGTGTAAATGGTAAACACCTGTCCGTTAAGAGAGAGTCAGACGCATTGTCATACTGATAGGCGCGAAAGTTGTAATTTTTGTGTTTCACCATGTTTGCTTTGTTTCTCGAACTTGGCGCAAGAACTCGTCCCCAGGATCTTTGACTTTTTCTCATATCGGAAACCAGGCTGAAATTTCTCATATGAACCCAGATTGGTCCTGTACCGGGCCAGTCCGGTCATCCGGGCTCATGTAAAGAGGCCCTAAGTCTGCAAGTAGATAAACACACTAAACCACAAGCCACAGCACCACCCTCCCTTGGTGTAGTGCCTTGACGCGGATTGGAGGAATGCGTGCCCTTACATCCCCTAGAGCTACGTGTTTTCCGGGGGGTGCTTTTGCTTCTGGCAGGTTCAACCATGTTGGCTTGGTTTGTGAGAGAGGGACCACGCTAAACAACACCCTTGTCTTTCAGGCCTGGGGTTTAGCGCAAGACTGACAAACCACATGTTACTGAAACACCGACAGGAAAAACTAATAGAGGCCTTATGTGCCAGAGGAGAATGAGTGAGTAAGCTATCTTTTTTGCTCTACCTACCAAGATTAGCCTTGCTATTTGCAGATAGAGCAAAACAGTAAATTTTCCTTTAAAATACTGAATAAAGTTGAATGTTGTAAGTAAGTGATTAAACACGCTTTTAAGCGTGTTTAGAACGTGTGCAAAGTGTCACTTACTAATTCCGTACGCCTGGCCACGTTCTGCCACGTATACATGGTTCTTATCCGTTCATGCGCCTCATCGGCTGGAACCACTCTGTTGTCACGCGCGTTTTGAACAGCGCTTTCCAACGCCATTAAAAGAGCTGAAATATTTGATACATAAAAAGTAAAAAACCTCACCTGCCAATGTGCGTAGCATTGCAAGATAAGTTTTTAGGACTGGGGGATCGCTTTTTCCATTCATGGCTAAACACAACAGGGATCTTTAAGTAATAAATACATGTAATCTCCATGCCAGAAGATACAGGTAATTCTAAATATTATGGACGTTTTATTATAGAGACGCATTATTATTTGAACCTTGGAAAGAGTTTGATTTTACGCATTATCGTTTGATAGAATAATGGTGAGCACAAGGCTTTCCATGTGTCTGTCCGAAATGATTTCTGAAGATTACCTTGTATGAAGAAATACAAGAGACAGTTTGACTAAGAAAATTACCAATGTTGAGAGTCTAAACAATCCGCGAAAACAGGCGAAATGCGTGATGATGGCTCTGTATGTCAAAAATACGGGAAGCGGGCGCTATAATCATGAAACCATTATCTCCGAGTGACACGTGCTTAAACAAAATCTGACATAGAGTATTGTACACTAGCGTGTTTTATGTATAGGGATTTAACAGCTAAAATAATACCACTATAACTAAAGCCCTAACTTACATTTAACACTTGGTTCCGCCATTTTGATCATGTCGCTAGGTAAAACCTCAGGGACCCCACCCACTCTGGTGCTGACAACCTGAAGACTGCATAAAAGTCCAGGGACAAAGATGAAAAGTTAGAAAACAGGCATCCCACTTGCCCTATCAAATAGCCTGTGCCAGGCTCTCAGATAGTATAGTGCGGACGTATTAAAACGAGCAAAGCGAAAATAAGACGCGGGCGACTTTGGGAAGGGGGCGCGCGTTTTCCGCATTTCTTTTTACTGAACGACTTTTCACCACTATCTCGGAGGCTCTCCCCAGCCCCCGCGCGTTTTTCGCATTTCTTTTTACTGAACGACTTTTCACCACTATCTCGAAGCCTGGAACAGGCTACCTATCAAATGAAAGATGACAGAGTAAACAGACATCCCAGCCACCATATCAAATCGAAAATACAGCTGTAGGAGAGTAAAGAGGCATTCCAACCATTCCAACCAACCACAAAAATAAAAGAATGCAAAGGGCGCTCACAAACTCATCAAACACAATGGCGCTGAGTGCAATACTTGAAAATTGACAGACACTGTTACTGACCCGCAACTAGCTGCTTCAACAATGGCAATACAAAATGCTTCTGTGAGTGATGTGTTAAGAAATATGTCACCTTGGACAAGAACCTAGAAAAACAATTACATTACTGTCAGAAATTTGTATTATAGATAATCTAGACTGGTAGAGGACAAAGCACAGACATTTTGATTGGGCTAAAACAGAATGGTAGCCAACTGCAACCAATAGATATTAGTATACACGACGTAGTTTGTCAATAATGTAGCCCACTATCACAACACAAAATGATGGTTCGTTCAGTGAAAACGAAACAGATACATTAACAAATACACTAGAAAGGTGTTTTTAAATACCTTTAAAAAGGTGCCAAAAGGATAGAACCAAAAATAAATACAATACTTACAAGGTCAGTGGATATACAAGATAAAAACAACAGCCTCTCAGTCATTTACAGAATTAATTATTCAAGTGACAACATGTTGTCAATTCTCCACTCATAATAACTGAACACTGGTGGGATTTCGTCGGACACTAGCAAATTTTGGTCGGCCAATGTCCAATGAAAGACTAATATTTGCAGCCCTGCTAGAAGTTCCACTTTCTCAATGCCTTGAGCTTGGTCTTCCATATCTAATTTGTACTATAGGAATTGTTCGCAGATGGTTAGAATACTATTACCTATTATTGAGTGGTGTTTTTCAATCGATATTATGGCAATGTAAATTTTCAACATGATTACCGTAAGGTACACTCACATCTCTAACTTTTTCATGTTCCAACTTGCCTAAAAACACAACTCTGTCTTGAAGTTTACATTGCTCACAAACATCTTCAAGGAGAGTGCGTTTTGGGCCATCACCACCTAAACAATAATAAAGAAATTATAATTACTGAAAATCATACAGTAAATGTTTGTGTAACATGTAAGAAACAATGGAACCAAACAGAACATCATGACTGTTGTCCCATGAGAACTCAAATACCACAGATGAGGTATTGAAATAAGTAAATAAATATACAATGATTTTCAGGTAGTACTTTTACATACTGAATCTCCATTCCTTCTTGCATTTGGAATGTTAATTTTTGAGGGAAACTGTAGTATCTGCTCACTTAGCAGCCTGTTCCAGGCATTCAGATAGTGGAGTGTGGTGCAAATTTAGATAGAATGGCGAAAAAAAATAAGGAGGAAAGAAACACTGACCCACCCCATCACTGTTTTTCCCGCTCACATAATTATCTTTTACACTGTCCCCACAATCTGCTCATCACCCTGATCCATCAACATCTAGACACCATTTGCCACTCCAAAATGACTTCTTGGAAACTCACCGATGATAAACTGCACATCTGAGTGGTTGGAACACATAACAGGCAATATCCCTGCTAATAGATCCATACCCTTTCTGTAAACCAGTCGACTGACAACAACAATGGTAACTAAAACAAATTGTAATAGATGTTATTACAAATGAAAGTGTAATTTTAGTTTTGGCTGACTGACCCCTATTATTTATTTTATTTATTTATTTATTTATTTTACACTTGCCACATAAAATAAATATTACAGAAAGAAAAAGGAAATAAAAACATTACTAAGATTGCAAATTTACAGGGCAGGAAAAGGTACAAAAATAGTTCAAAATTAAATTTAATATTACATGACTTAACTCTTGTAATAGATCGAGTGGCGAGGAAGCCCACTACAAGCTAAATAGCTTGAAAAATTGGGCTCTTAACACTTAATTATGATTTAATGTAAGCTGCCATAATATATAGATTTAGCAAGGGCTAAAAGTGAAGCTCTCGATAATATTTATAGTTTGTTCAAACAAAATATAAAATCGTATAATGCTAAGCGGCTAAGGCAATGCCAGAGAGCGGTGAAAAAACAGCAATAGGTCTAATTAGCAAAAAAGCAACTTTACACGTGCAGCACACTTTTTTTGTACATTTCTTTGCCGTTGTTTTGCACGACTACAACTTGAAACTTCCAGAAACTTTTTTTATGGAGGAAATGTCGTACGTGTTCTTGTTCACCTTTTTTTCACTGCCACTCATTTTCTCCTTGCATTGGTGGCCGCTAGTATTGTCACCGCTGCTACAAAATATTAATTTTCATGTTGTTCTTCCGACAAAAAAATGTCTCCTTTGTTTTTTATCTCTCGCTCTAGATCTCTGTCGTCCTTTTTCTCGTTGAGCTTCGCTGGCCTGCCACTTTTTCTCTTTTTCTCTGTCTTTCTCTTGCTCTATATTCCAAATTTGTGGACATGACAATTAGTCTAAGCTTAATAATTTAGAAAACACAGATACAGAAACAATTTCCGCTTTCCGATTTTGTCTTTATTGACTCTTTAGCTACCTCTGCTTTACAAGACACGGGTGGCTATGCGATTTTCTGCCAAAATAACCTCGAGTTGCATATGAGTTGCCCTACCTGTTGATTGAGTTATTTAACATTGGTATGCCTGCGGTGCGGACGGACGGTCGGGCGTACGGTCACGTGATTACCAAATTTTCTCGGATGGGTAGATTACCACATTTTCTTACCCATGGTGCTCCACTGCGCATGCTTCGCACGCGAGAGCTCCGCTATCATGGTCAGGCGAGTTTAATTTATAGCTCTCTCGATAAGGTACTTTTTAATGAAGTCTTCAAACTAGAGTAACTTGTCAGTTACATAAGATAAAGGTGGTCGAGGTGCCTTTTTGGTTGAAGTTTTGAATATCCAATTAGCCAGCAATCAAAATTATTAAATTAATTTATACATATTATTATCCCCTGTAATTTAAACTTTGGTATTATTCACAAAATTCTTGATTTCAGACAGCATCCAGACAGCATACATGTACTACAATGTAATAGGACACAATGCATCATGCCTAAGTAAGTGGACATTACACTTGTGTTGCAGGCGTTAACAATTGCAACAAAACTCACCTTTTCCTTTGGTTTTCTTTGAAGTATCAGGAGTAAATACATCAGCATCAACAGCATTAGGAATCACTGACACCATACAAGGATTCATAGAAGCACGAAGCACTGTGTTCTCCTTACTAAACAAAGGCAACCAAATTACAGAATGCATTATTTTATTTACATGAACCCACTTGCAGTGTCCAAACATTATATTTTAGCAAGTTGGTAAAGCAAATAATTCACCACAAAAAGATTGAGAAAACTGCCATTCTGAGCATTTAGTGCTAGATTGTTAGATTTTACTGTCTAGCAGCTTTCGTCATGGAAGGTGATATCCCTTTCATTGCATTTCAAAAGAGTAAAATTTGAGCTTGAAGAAACTTTGAATTTAAGCTTGTTCTTAGGACAACAAGCACACAAATTTTACTTTTCACCCTTGTCAAAGTTTATGATTTAGCTAGAAGTTACATGTAACTTGCCTGAACCTGATCTGCTCCTTGAGCAAATGAGGATTAAAAGTTCATTGCCAACAAGAAAATCTACCTGGATACCCAGAGAGGACAGACAGGACTTTTTTCAAGTCCTGGCAAAATATACTGTCAGAATGCAAAGTCTAAAACCACACCCAATTGAAGGGTAAATGTACTCCCTGTCAGGGGTACAGCCTCTTTCAAATGCACAGCGAAATTCCATGAATTACAAACCTTGTATGTGACACGCATATCACATGATCAATGTCTGCCAGTGAAAACTGTAAAAATTTGTTGGTAATGATGGAACTTGCATCAGCAAAACCAAAGAGAGAATGGTCTGTGAACAGAGTATGGAGTCCCATAGTGCGAGCATGAAGAAGTGCATCATGACATAAAGTAGAAAAAGCCTTGAAAAGAAGTCAACACAATGAATGGCAGATACATGTACACGTACGTTACTTGCGAAAACCATTTTTACCAAAAAAAAAGGGCAAGCAGGGGTAAAATCCTTTCATCCAAAGAATCCATATCACTGTATAACGGTTCATGTAGGTAATTCTACTTGTTAATGACCAGTTTTGAGGGCAAAATTCCAAAGAGCCATCGGTCAAAGAGAAGCTTTAACACTGAATGTAAGAGACTTAAAATTAATGCTCATTAATTAACTGTTGGTTTACTTTGATGAATTGATCAATCAATTCATCAAAGTAAACCAACATGCTTGAATGAGTTAATTTTATTGTTTAAAAGCTCTTTACTGTGCAGGCAAGAACAATTATTACTGGTAAGCAAACAATGAAGATGCAAAGCAAGTACATCAATTTTATATTATGCATCAGTGCTTGACTTTTAACTGACATATTACACCTCAGACACGCATGTGCATTGACAGCTCAGACTGATCTATGCGTCCAGCCTGACATGTACGCATATTTCCAAATGCATACATTGTGCATTATGCATATATTTTTGGATTCACTTAGTTCTGGCCTGCACTGTATGATCATGATAGCTTTGAGTAGCCTTACAACTAACAAAACAGAGGAAACAGATTGCAACCTAACCATGGTTACAGGCTATAAGAGGAATTTTTCTGTACTACAGTTGTAGGTTATTTTATTAATCTTGCTTTTCAACTATCTAATCAGGCAGTAAGAAAGGATATCATATACCAGATCAGTTTCATTAACCCATTCGCTCCTGGAGATTTTGCCCAAAAACGCGTTTTGAAGCTAGTCGAGTGGTTTTCTGGTCACTGTCATGCTATAAAGAGCTAAAACTTACCACAAACCGGTTTACAGGTCGTACACTTGGCGGCCTTCTGATCCAGATGCAAAATATCAGCTTGCAAAGTTCGGGCATGCGCAGAAAGCAAAATTTCGACATAGTTTTTGGGTTTAAAAGTGACACAGCAGTCTTGACTTTTACTTTTCGCTTTCTCTCCTCCCTTCTTTTTTCGCTTTTCTTGCCTCATTTTTTTTTTCTCTTGCTGGGCATTTAGTAGGCTTCATTTTGGTGGGAAGAGTTTTTAGGAAAGCTTTTAGGATCTTAGCATTAGGTGAAAGGAAAGGTAGGTGGGTAATGGTACAAGATTTTCATGGAGATTTTCAGGTCCTTGTCACGTGGTTTTTTGCTTCTTTCTCCGGTGTCCTTGACTGAATTGTGCTCATTCTGGTATGGTTTGAAAGATCTCTTCACTCTGCACACGTGTGCGAAGAAAGTTGTCCTTGACCGTTAAAACTGATGACGTCACAAAGGGTAGAAAGGACCTGGATCCGCACGGGCGGTTACGGGCGGTTCAGGGGCGAATGGGTTAATTATGTACACTGGTTCTGTTCTTTTCCCACAAAAAATGAGCAATGCTCATGTTGATCCCTATTAAGATACATATACTAAGTAACAGATAAATAAGGCCCTTAGTGATTCTTGATCAAATCAAATGTGAAATTCTCCCTTTGATTTACAAATGCAGACAAAGCAATGGAGAATCTTGCAATTTATCAATGATACAAAAATATCTCACAAGGGAATCTCATTATTAACAAAACAACAACAAAAATACAGATAATAATAATCATTTGAAGACTTACTGAGTGTCCATGTACTATTGTAATCTTTTCGCGAAGAAATATACATCTCATTAATGGCAGTGTTGTATAGAGAGTCGGTAATGCACATTGGTTATGAAAGGTACCAAAGGGAAGATAATAAACCTTAAATACAGCAAATAAAGTTGCTATGAATACTCAGTCTGTAAATAGGCCCCCAGAGGGAGTGCAGACTGGGCTTAATTTTCACCCCATATTCCACAAGTAGCACAGGCCTGGCCCATGAATATACCTTCCTAAATGAAAGGGGCAGGGAGTTTTAGCTGCTGTAGAAAACTGGAGGGTCTCAAAGAAACAATCCTAATCTTGTAAATGCTACTGAAGCATAAAACGCACAGGGTTTTGGTAGCATTTACAATGTAGAATTACCAGATGCAGGGATTCAGCTGGCAGGCTTTCACCATTAGTGCCACATGTGTGAAAAGTTGAGTACAGGAGGCACGAACTTCTAGGGGCGACTGGAAATTGTGACAATTGGATGCTCTAAAATGCAAGTTGTTATGAATGTTCATCAAAATGACTTTTGTTTGATTTTGCAATATTGGTTCGCAGTTGCAGGAGTTATCTCTGTTTTTTGGGATTGTATTCATCACATAACTATGTGATGAAAAGCAAAGGAAAAGACTAAGGGCGTCTGTCAAACTCTCCCTTAAAATCAGTTTTTGACTCATCCCAACTCTCTGGTAGTATTAATGTCCAAGATGGCATAACAACGTCATTCCCGAAAACAAATCATGGATCGCGCTCTAAAATATGCCTGCTTTGCAGGCTAGCATCCAGCCTGAAAGGAAACCCCTAAACACTATCTTAGAGTTTTAAGCACGGCATGTCAGCATCTCAGTCAGTCTTAAACATTGTGGTTGCAGATCAAGAAAATATCTATTCTTCCCCAGAGAGTGTTTTGTACTTTGTCCCCTCCCCTTCCCCCTCCGCCACACCCTTCTCTCTCTGTTGTTATCCCAGCCTTATGATCCTAAGTAAAGTCACACATAGGAAAGATTATATCATTTTTTTAATATACTTATTCATACATGTACCTTGAGATAGTTGGTTAAATAACGAACTCCACTTCTCTTGTCATAAGAATGTGTGACCACAACAACCTGGGAACCAAAACATTAGGGTGTTTTACTGTCCTAGTAAAGTTTCTCTGATTTAAAAGGAACTTGATTAATAAGGACTTAACTGCAGAATACCCTGCCACTTTAAAGCAACCCCTTAGGATAGGTGGATAATTAATAAGGATTAAAGGTAACCTATCTGATCAACAGGACAAGAAAAAAGCCAGGAGCTAAGTTTCGCGCTTCTCAAAAATTCAGTGCAACTGACCTACAATGCTCGTTTTATTTGGCCACTAGCAAAACAAAAAAACGTCTTTAAATTAAGAATTCTGAGAACCCCTGTACTTTATAGTTTAGCTAAGCAGTCGCAAAATCTGGTTAAACAATATTAGAGTTCACCTTATGTCCTCTCTGTATAAGGCACTGCGCTAGTTGATAGATGTGACTTTCCACTCCGCCCATGTTTGGGTAAAAGAAATCGGAAACCATGCTAAAATTCAACGGCATAAAACTATCGTTAGCCTTATTCAAAAGTAACGCCCCTTGCCAAAAATTTCAAAACCATAATCAGCGACAGAATTGCTCATTCTAGTGTACGCACCAAATGTTGTGTTTGTGTCTTTTTTCCTCGACGGCCGCCATTTTTAATTTGCCCTCTTGAAATTAACCGCTGACCAGTGATTTTTCCGCTCTCTCCTTCGAGGAAAAGCACTGGGACGAGTTGACCGCAGTGGAATGATCTCGGTCCAAGTTCTCTCAGGATCATTTGCGAATCTTTTATGGTCGAGGAATATTTGCGGAACTATACACTTGCGGGCCCAAACCCAAAAAGGGTTTAAACTGATCTTTATTGTAGATCCATAACAGGGCTCTTGTTTATTACAGTTTACAGGCATTACATACGCCACTCGCACATCTCCCAAATTGCCCCATGATGCCTCCCCCAAATTTTGCATAAGCATTGTTTTCAGTTTCTCTTGGGACGGTTGTAGTACCCAGGAGAAATGGAAATTATAAGAGGGTTACGCACTTTTTTTGTGGGGGGCGGGGGAGGGGGTGGGGGGACAAGACAAGGTGAGTTATGGGAGATATGCGAATGGCGAAAAGACTACAAAACCATTTCTTGATAATTTTTACTTCATTTATTCGAGATCGGAATGAAATCACGTGACAATAAGGGCACACTTGAGTAATCTTTGAACTATGACGTCATTTTACTACCACGACCAGAATCCTTCAGGGTTTCGCTTTCTTATGCAAATTAGGGCTATTGTCATTTGACTTATTTAAACCTAGCTGGGATTACCAAATTTAGAGACGGAAGGGGAAAACAAAAAGGATCCTAGTCGTAATAGCAAAAACGACACCATCGCGGCCCTTATTGGCATTTTCTCTTGGAATGCTTTACGCTACGTATATTTTAGGTTCTTATCTTCCGCCCCTGGGTGCCAGTCCAGTGGAAAAAAAATTCCTTCAGATGGAAAAGTGCTCTTCAAGGCTTAGTATTTAGCGAAGAATTGACTCAGTATCTTGTCCATTTAATGTGGACGCCATTTTGAATAGTTAGATGACGTTATAACATACCCATTTTTTTGGCCCGGACTCGGGTTATTCGGTCCTGGTTCCAGGTTTGAGAGCACGCCAGACAATAGCCCGAGAGCAGTTTAAAATCACAACAGCTGCACTTCTTTATTCTTTATTCGGCCCGGTGATCCTGGGATGTATAAAAATGTCCCTCTAGGTGACAAAACGGTTAAAGAAATTAAATGAAGAATTTCACGGTATAAATCTATGTTTTGTCACTATGCTTTTTTACCCTGGTCCCAGTGGTTTTTCTTGAAAATTTTCTTCGCCAAAGAGAGAGTAAGTCGCGAAGCGGCGATAACTCGACTTGTTGTCGCCGCTTGGGGCTCACTCTCTCGCGAACGCGAAGAAAAATTTCAAGGAAAACATGTGGGACCAGAGTATACGCTTTATTCAGAGATCTTCAAATTTGATTGGTTAGGTGAAAGCAAATTCACTATATTTGAAGCTTAAGCAGAAGTAAACGTACTGTAATCACTATTTTCTCAAAAAATCTCTTATCTCCTGGTCTGGCCAGGGAGTCCGAATAATTGGCCAAATATAGGAAAAGCTCCTGGCTCGGGCGAGCAATACGTAACTGATACAACACTACTGACAAAAGTCGTCGAGATTAATCTTACCTTTCTACCTATATTAGATGATTCCCACGACGAAGCCAAATGCTACAGACTAAATATGCAGGAAGCCAATTTAGCTAAAAGCTCTGCAAAGCAGATTAGGCCTATAAAAGGAAGTGTAGCAGGATTTACGAAAATGCTATAGCCACCAAAATTGCGGCCTTTGGCGGGAATAAGGCCAAAACGCGAGTGTTTTGGGACTCCGACAAGCCCGAAAGTCACACTACAGCAGGAACGAAAATACTGAAAGGAAAATAGGGATAGCGAGATTAAAGGAAGGAAAATAGTTTTTCAACGGCTGTTCTTGAGATTTTGAGCGACAGAAAACGTTCCTGTTGAGTAACAACGACTTATGTGAGACTCGAGCGAAGTAGGGCTTTCAAAAATCCTGCTAAATATGAGTGATCAATTGCAGTTAGATCCTAAACTGAATAAAAAAATTCAGTGAAAGATGACGAGGAAATCAAACCACTACCACCGATTATGATCATTGTTAGTTGATATTATTACTAGGTTCTCGGAATTCGGTTTCTCGCTGAAGTTTGTTTAAGTATTTCAGTTTCTAACGTTCACTGGTCATTACAATTAAGTTAAATACTTTAGTTTTATAAACACAAGACGTTTGTTTAAAGAAAACCAGTCGTAGAGTCGACTTTTAATTTTGCCTTAGACCAGTGGCGGATCCAGGGGAAGGGCCTGGAGGGCTCTGCCACCCACCCCCACCGTTATTTTAAGACCAAATTGAGGTCCGAAGGACTGAAAAAAATTTTTTTGGAGACCGGTGTAACCAAATGTTGTATATGTTGTAGTTAATTTTTTATCCCAGTTAATTTTTATTTTTCTATTTTTTTCGGGTATGGTAATGTATGCTAATGAATTTGTAACAAAGGAAAAATAAAAATTACCTGAAATAAAAAATTAACTGCAACATATATACAATCAGTTCTCTGTAGCTTTTATTCTTCACTCCATTAAAGCATATTTCTTCACATGTTCATATTTTAGAATTCTGTACTCTGGTCTACACTTAAAAGATTCATCGACATCAATTCACGTAAAATTCGATGATCTAAACTCAATCCACACACTTGATCAGCTCCACGACTCCGAACGACTACACAGTTCTCAGACTCTTGCAAAAAGTTCAGTTTTCAGATCACGTGACGAGTTTTCCCGCCACAATGACGCAATAATTTCTAACAACCGGTCCCCCTCTTATCTCAGGGTCTGGATGGCCGCCCCCGCCCCGCTCCCCCCACCCTTTTCTTAAGGTCTGAATCCGCCACTGTTGACTGCTCTGCATTTTTAATCTTTCCTTGCCGCTACAGATTAGTTAGAGAAACAAAAGGAGACGACAAATTATTCTTCTTCCTCTTCAGGAGATTCGTAGGCTTCTTCTTCAAAAGAACGGAGAACACAAGAAGCAATGACCATTTCGTCTTCTTCCTGTTAAAAGAGACAAGTAGATGAATAGCTATGGGAGTTTGCATTAAAAAAACGCATCATTAGACCAAAAATTTCATTTAACGAATGGAACAGTTTTGTTTTCATTTTCCGAAGAAAGAAGTTAACCTCGCGAGAGGTATACGTATTACCGAATTTTTGAAAAATTTTGCGTCGGGTACTATCCTTTCTCATTCGGCCCCTTTTGAGCAGAATAAGATAATAGCTATTGTATTATTTGAGGACTCCCACAATTTTATATGATGACACACCGAATTAATTAGGCTCCACCAGCTTAGTCCTATCGGTTTTCAATAGATGCTTGGTAACCGTTTGAAGGGGATAGAGACAAGCAAGAATTGAGGCGCGCAAAGAAGGAGGGTGGGAACGCGCTCTCCTTATTTCCTTCTCGCTCTGTAGTGAGCCATTCATGTTTCCCTTTTCCATTCTCCCCTAGCCTACTAGCAAGTTCTCCGGGGCGCTCTTGCGGCAAGGCTAATTCTCCTCAAAACGTCTGCCAAGTAGACCAGTAATAAAATCATTCCTTGTGCTGATAAGTATAAACAACATATCGTCCAATGTAAGGCAATACAGATTCCAGAATGCCGGAAATATTTTTGCGTGTGGAATCTGGCTGGGCTTTGCAATCCGGAATACCGCTAACTACGGTTGGAATCCGGAATCCAAGTTCCACTGAAAAGGAATCCCGATTCCAATACCTGGAATCCGGAGTCCACATTCCAAGACTGTGTTGGATTACCATATATGGGCCGATTGCTTGCTGGATAGATTCCATTATAATGTATGCAGGAAATTACGACTTACCGCTTTCTTTAGCTTTTCGTTTAAGGCCTGGAATTTAAAGACCGGTATCTCTGAAGACTTTCTTTTCTGAGTAAGAAGGGGCTGTCCAAAGAGAATAAAAACAAAACCATGAGAAACAAAAAACTCACGGGCACTGAAAATTTAAAACGATAAAAACCAATTTAATTACAACAAGCTGAAATGTTTTGTTCTTTGCGCATACACACCCCTAGTTCGATTGTTAGAAATTTTTGAGAGAGTCGTGTTAAAAATGAAGGAAAGCTTAAAATTTATGACAAATAACTGTTGCTTCATTAGAAGAAACTTCAATTTCAGTACAATCAAGGCATAGAACAAATATGAGAACACGTCAATGGATCAAAGGCTACGGATGGTTGTTCCCAGAACTGGAGTCTTTGCAGAAGCCTCTAAGCCGTGAGCTTACCGAAAGCCAAGGATCATCTAAGCAAGTTGCAGCATTTGGTCGCCTTCTGTATTGAGATATAAAAACAATGAACAACATTATATCATTTCTTAGCCTTCATGTAATTAATAGTTTATTTCTTTAATTAAATCTGAATAGGGACCGGACTCGTGAATCCAAAAACGGATTTCTTTCCTAAATTCCGAGAACATTTAGTATATTCCCTGGGTGATTAAATTGAATCAAAGATAAATCGGAATTTTAGGATTTATGATCCTGTTATTTTCTTTGGGGTATATCATGGCAAGCAAGTTTTTCATTGAAAATGTGTTGTTTCTGCAAGTTTACTGCTGGCTACGTTTCTTTTTAAGTGACTAATTTAGGCACATGGCTCAATTTAGTCACCTCGCCACCGACGATCTTGCTACCAAATGGTCGACTCGCCACCTAACTAACTAACTCGCCACCACTAAGTTGACTCGCGCTACCAACTAATTGCTCTGAAATAACTGACACACATTAGTTACAACAGAACAATGAACGACGTACTTTATAGCTAATACTAATAATATTAATAGGTTCCGCGCATGTGAAGTTCGCCGGACGTTTAAAAGGCGACGTATAAAAACAAAAAGATTTAGAAAGAAAACGTGGCATGAGACTCCTACACGTTCCAAACTAAAGCTTAAACTAATGACGTATTTTCAAACCTCCAGTTGCTGAAACACGTCCCACAAAATCACATGAGTTGGAATTTGTGTAGCTTGACGGGACCTATCTCTTTCCAAAGATCAATACTTCAGTTTAACTCTCTCCCCAACAGAGGGACCCTTTAAGAGGTGACGTGCAGAACGACGTTCCTAGTGCGCTTTCTTTTCCCCTCCCCCAGCCTCCTAGTTATCACAAAGAGGCTTCTTCATGGTGGTTAAAAAGACTATTCTTGAAGGATATGCTATCGAGACTTACTCGGGCTGACGAACGAGTAGTTTTTTTATCAGGTTTTCGGCCTCCTCAGTGGCATTACGGAATAAATTGGTTGGCATGACAACATTGGCAGCACGGACTTTTGCAGCAACTTTTTCGTCAACATCTTCGTCATCATCAGCGTCTTCCACTGTGAAAGGCAATGTTGCACTCAGTCTGTTGATACAAACAAGGATGAGATGTCAGTCAATCAATCTTATAATCAATAAATTATTTTTATCGGTTAATTTGGCATGGCAGCTCGGATGGGGGATTTCTTTAAGTTAAGCTCCTTGTCCATAACAACTTCCGCCACCCTATCTGCGGATAGAATAAGTACAGATTCTCATTATTATTTTTCAGTGTTCTCCGCTGATTGTAGATAACAAGCAACTTAGTCTGATTTTGTCCTAACTCGTTTCCCCTGCCGGGGAGGTGGGGGTGGGGGGGGGAGCTCCTATTAATTTCTGATAGCTGTTGTGCCGCCCAAGGTCTCAAACGCTGACCCTGTTTAAGGATGAGACAAACGAAAACTGAAACCCTACTTAAGGCCCAAACCTGAAAAAAGAGGCCCAGTTTACGCACTTGAATTGTAGCTGATATAACACAAAGCCGACAAGGACAAAAATGACACCCCATTTAAGGATGGAAACCCTCAAAACCATACCCTATTGAGCGGCACATACCTGTCTTGCCCATATAAGGCATTCCCCCTGGCTCTTTTCTAAAAGCTTACTTAATTTTAAGCCTTCTCATCATAATCGTAACAGCGACGCTAAAATGAACGCTTATGATATAATTTTAAGGACATTTGACTGCAACAAACTTTGTGGCTTTTAAAAGGGAACTTTAGATCTTTGATGAAATGAAAGTGATGTAATATTCATCAATGCATGGACTCAAGCTGATTGAATTTTCACATCGATTCACGCAGGCCATTTCTGAGTTGTCCCAAATGATTGTTTATTCTCATGCAAATAAAACTCATTTTGACAACAAAAGTTTTGTATTTAGCCTCGTATTGAAACTCGAGAATGGCCAATTGAAATAACTATCACTTATAAAGGTTATTAATTGAAAGGGCTCATTGAAAACCTACAGTATGTAGAGTAGTATCCCCACGCTCCACACATCCGCTCCCCAGTGAGTTAGCTCAAAGTTGAGGACCTCAGGTGCTGAAAGAAAAGTGCAAAAGAGTAAATTGCAAAAAGGGAGAACGACTGAACTTACGTCACTTATTATCGGAATAAATAGTGGTTGGTCAGGACAGAGCGGACCAGACATCAATGACGCTCAAAGCTAGAATATTCCAGCCAATAAGAACAAAGCAGCTGCTCGCGTCTACAAATTATTTCTTTATATCACTGGCGATGCTGGATTCACTTGACCAAACATGTGGTAATACGGAAAGTCTTCGGGCAATAACGCTTATTTTGCACGAGGTTAGACTGACATGGGGGCGCTTGATCTTAGTTTGAAGTGTTGCTCTCTCTGTCTTTTGTATTTCACTCCAATATCAGGAGAAATTCCTTATTTCTTGGCGGAAAAAAGGCGCTCCTTATCAGTAGCTCTTTAAGAGAGGAGCGACTTGGCAAAGCTTTGGAACGAATGTGAATCGAATGGCAAGCGTGAAGACAATACAGCTGCCTGCATGCGAAGCAATGTTTTACTGGAGTGATAAGGCAAGAGGCAGAACTGAGCAAGAAGCGAGATCAAGAGGGGTTACGAGAGGGGAAACGTTTACTTTTTTCATTTTTCTCCCTCCCACCGCTCTTTTTTTTTTTCTCTGGTATCCAATACCTTTCCGCGCCTCATGTGCAGTTGTAAGGAAACGACTGTTTTGCGGGCTAAGAATACGGGTGTTACCCGTAATGTGTGATTAGCATACTACTAACGTCGACAGTTAAGACTAAGAAAGATAATTTTAGTTCAACTTTTGTCGCTCCTTGTGGGGACTTTAACGGTTACTCCCTGTACTCACCTGTGAATTCTGTCACTCCAAAAGCGTCAACCAATTGACCTTCAGGAGACTTGATCCGCCTAGCATTTCCATAATCGATGAGTGTTAACTTGAAATCTTTTGACATTAAAATGTTCGCAGGCTATTGACATGAAAAAGGATAAGAAGCTAAGCAAATGTGCCTTGAGAATGCAAGGAAATCCTTGCCAGAGAGCATTATCTTTGCCAGCCTTGTTTATGTTAGCAGAGTAGCCGAAGCAGTACTGAATCCCCCGCCCTCATGAAAGATTGACTGCAGCAACGGGTTCAATATCCGCCACTCTTTTTGAACAACCGTCAGGGACGCTTCCTTTGAATTTATGAAAGGGGGACAAAGGAGTGAAGGTCATTTTGAGTTCGTAAGATACCCGATGGTGGAAACCGCTTGGGTAGTTTATTCAACTGCGAGGATCATTTCCACTTTCATGTCTTTATGCACAGTTCAAAATATGAGTCACTTCATATATCTCCATTCATTTCATTTGCACTGTCGGGTATATTAGGAACTCACAATGGCCTGCTCTCCAGCTGGCTTGATTAGCTAAATGGATAGACCATTGCGTCCGGTCATCGCAAAGGTCAGCCGGGTTCCATTCCCGGTCAAACCTGAATTAATTTTCAGGTTCTTTTTCAACCTCGTAGTTTGAGGATCATTCCTCATTCTGCATCATTAGATTAGACAGACATCGCAGGCCGACGGTGCGCACATTTTTCCCTCTCTCACAATCAATGCTCCGTTTTACAGGCATAAAAACTACTTAAAGCGTCAAAGAAAGGAACGAAGTAGAAACAAAGATTTGAGGTCACAACTGCGAATCGAACTTCGGACCTCCCGCACAGAAAGTCGTGCTAATCCTTACTTTCTCTCTAACCTGATTTTTTTATACTTGGTCAGTGGCCAACGAGCAAGATGGCCATATTTTTTGTCGCTCTCTTTGATTCTGCAATTAAAGGTTTTTATCCTTGCCTATTTATTAGCACCTACAATTGTTTCTTATATTACTATGTTATTTTAGGCGCCCAATATTAGTTGACCAAGATAACTCAAGATGGGCCTCTCTGCTTTCCATTTTTTATTTTTTGCTTCTCTCTGACAAAAGTATTTAAATGTAATGATCCTAAATGTATTTTATCTATCACCTATTATAAACTTTCTATGACTGAGGGCACTGACGTTTGTCTGAGATTTATCTTCTATTATTTTTAATGGAATGAGAAAAAAAAAAATCAATGAAAATGAAAAAAACTCTAATAGGTCATTTCCGAGTTGCCATGCAAATGAAACTCATTAATACAAGAACGTTTTTGCACTTGGCCTCGTTTTGAAAACGACAGTTTTTGGAACTCAGAAATAGCCTATTACCCCCTTGGTGGTCCAGTCAAGGCTTCTACCTCGCAACAAACGAGAGCTAGCTCAGCTAAGGAGGTAACTGGATTGCAAGAGATCAATGTCTTACCCTGATATCAAGATGTACAATATTCTGCTTGTGCAAGTAGGTTAGCGCTTCAATAAGTTGTGCAATTATTAACGAGGCATCCTCTTCACTGGCTTTGGATCTTCCTCCAAGGAATTCAAGTACATCTTTGCCTTCGACTCTTATAAGATAATAGAAACATTACACGCGCAGGTTAAATTGCTCGCGTTCGGCAGACATATTGTCATAAAACCATTCCACAGGGTGGTTTTCATTTTTCAGTAACACTGAGCCACAGCCGTACTAAATAGAGACAGGGTAAATAGACAATCTTACATCACTTGGTACATCTACTACTTTCTAAATAATTTAAAATTACAATGTTCTATGCTAAGCTATTTAAAGCATTATACATGTATAACAAGTTATTACAAATAGTGATATTTACATACAGACAGACACTCGAACACATGTTTCGTTATCAATTTTTGGGTTTCAGGCTTCTCGTAAGCGGGATTTAGTAAAAATCTGAATATTTCATTTGGTGACACATTTCGTTCACTCTTATAAGATGCTCATTTTTCAAGTTATCGAATAGGATCACGTTTCTTTTTTCCTGGTAAGCGGAACATACATTTAAAAAGTGATATTCATCCTTCATTTCTAGTTTACAAACTGGACATATTCTTTCTTCTGTCCTTCGCCAGATAAGGGTAAATATTTTATAACCCAGATCGGATGCTACAGAGTAAGTGTGCTAAGACCCTAACTAGCCAAAGACAAAAGAGGCGCTGATCATTAGAATGATGTTTTAGCTCCTAACTCATATTCTACAAAGATCCCTTTATAAAGAGGATGCGAATATTAATACTTACTGGTCCATTAAAATCACGACGTATTTTTGAACGATGTATCCATCCTTGGCCATCAACAGCTTGTCGTGTTTGAATGTCTTCATGATGTCAAACTCTTGCTTGGCATTTTTTTCAGTTCCAGACTCGTATTTGATCAGCTTGGCTACAAGTTTCTTTTCTGTTTTCTTAGCAGAGCATGTTTTGATCACCGCATACTTTCCTCTGTTAAATGAATTTTAGGTCATATTTATGGAGCTAAAGCAGAGACGTTTTATAAGCGACAAACTTTAACAGAAAGTGAGGCCATTTGCCTTTCAATATGTGTTAACGTTACCAAAATTAATTGTATTACTGGGTCTCCTTAGTCCTATAGAAAGGATTCGCTTAGAAAATAAGCAAAACCACGTCTCAAGAATGCAAAAAGTCCACTTCCGGTTCTCATTCGTGCTTCTAAAACGTCTTTGCTAAAGCTTCTTAATTGGTTGAGCTGACTGAGAGCAACCTTGGGGGAGTATATGGGAATCCCCGCGTTTTGGGCATCCCTATTTCCAAAACCCTAGTGATATGGGCATCCCCTTCTCATATCACCTTAACGATTTGGGTTAGGGTTAGGGTTAGGGTTACAGGGGATATTCATAGCTCTAGGGTTTTGGGAATGGGGATGCCCAAAATGCGGGGATGCCCATATCACTTTGACGTTAACCTGCGTGGCAGACTTTTGACGCGCCCCATATCCCCATTCCCCTTTCCTTAAAGAGGATACAATATTTGCCATGACCAACGGGCCGGATGACGGAGGGCGTGACTTGGAGGTTAAACATGGAGTTGGTAAGCGCAAAGGTGCAACCCGCTTTCCGTAGGGCCGTGGCCAGCGTAGCTGGCGAGATAGGCCCTCGCAGCTTCACCGCTCGCTTCGCGTACAGGCTCCGCCGCCGAGAAAGAAGAAAATACCACGGCGACAAGAATCCTTCCAGCTACGCAGGCTATGGGCTGAATCGTTTTTGATCCGCATGTCGCCAGAATTAAGAAGCCAACATTAGGCTCTCTTCTCCGCCGAATCTCCCGCTGAGTGTTCCGATAAAAATGACAATAATGGAAAAATAGAAAGTGCGCTGGGGAAGATGGGAAGAGGATTTTTTTCCCCTTCTCCCCAGCCTCCCTACGATGCAAAGCGGCCTCTGCAGAGGAGAGAGAGAACCTAGGGAGGGTGATTGGCCCCTGGTGGTATTGTTAAGAAAGAATTATACGCCGAGGAGGTCTTTAAGGGCTTAATTTGAAAATTGAAATTGAAAAAATTGAAAATTGAAATTGAAAAATTTAAAATTGATCGGTCTAATGAAAGGCTTTTTTAATAAAGCGAAATGGCATCTGACTGGTTCTTGAAAAACAGTAAGGATCAATACAGTTACTCTGCTGGGTTTTGTATCAATTATTACTCAGTCTCATGCCTGAGTGGACTATACGGGGATGTGCCAGTCAAGAGGTTATACCTTTTGCCACTTTGACTCTGGAACTGGTTATCACCTTTTTTTGGACAAGTGGCTATTTTATTGTTCTCTTGTCTTGAGCTCTAATGGAAAAGAGTCTCGCAGAGCCAGCAGCACATCTTCGTAGGACTGTGAAGGAACTCCCCCAAGGGGCGTGATTTTGTAGCCTGCGAGACAGGCGCTAGAAAGGGAGGGGCTAACACAGTGCACGTGAGAAAGCCCAGCACTTCCTTTCCCTTCGGTCCTTCAAGACCTTTTCCTTAAATTACATATTAAAACAGATACAGTGGGCTCAAATAAAGAGAATTCTGAGTTTGAAGACTTGAGGTAAATACTTGAGCTACAAAAATGGTAGCCCTCCCCTCAAAGGCATTTTTATAAAATGGCCCTCCCCAAAGTGAGGCTAAAAAAATTGTGGCCCTCCCCCCAAACATAGTAGCCCTCCCCCCCGCTAAATAATGACCGGTCCCTTACGAATACCTTCCAAACGTCATGTTAGTAATTTTGCAATAAGTAAACATCTCCAATTTTAAAACACAGACATGTTTAATGGAAATTAAAAAGAGATGTATTTTAAACATGTTTATCCTGGTGGTTTAGTCGAATATTTAACTTTGAAAAGGTCTTCTGTGATATCGGGTGCCATCTTCGAAAATATTTTATCCCATTAAATTGTTTATGAAAACTACTGTCTTAAAAACAAAACTTTTGAGACTTAAAATTATTTCTTGTCTGTTGTCAATCACAGTAATATACTAAAATGATTCGGTTACGAGTTAATTGCAAATGGGTATTTCAAGTAAATTCCAGATGGTAATGCTCCGCGCCAGAAAAATAGAAGTGGCTTAAGTTGTCGGACTATTCCATTTACAAGACAGGTTAATGTTTTCCCTTTTAGGAAGGATATCCTGCAATCTTAAATAAAACAGCCACAAAGATTGATTATGGCGACCCCGGGGTCAACATAAAACGGTAAATGGAGAAACGTGACCAGCCAGTAAGAGCTGCGCAAACTTCACAGTTGTATAAACACAATGAGGTCTATTTTTCCTTTGCTGCATAGCTTCAAAATATTCGGTACTTCCTCGAAAAAGAAATTTAAGTTTCATGCTCAAGTATTGTTACACTTATCGATTGAAATGTCCATAGGAATTTTACACACTTGATGCTCAAAAGCTGTGATGGAGGCCAACCACCTCCCACCGCCCATCCCCTCTGGATTTTTTTAATCATCTTTAAAGAATAAGTAAGTTGTAGAAAGGCTGCTATAGGCATACGAAAGGTGCCATTTTGATGGAAGGAGAAAACGAGGAATAAATACGGATATAATAGAATAGGGCTAAACCTCCGAGAGGAGTCAGCCCAAACAAATTAAATAGACGTCCTCTAGGCAGCAAGAAATTGCTTAATTCCAAGGCAAGTTAAAGCGTGAATTGTACGATGAGGAATTTAAGAAGATGAAAATATATGCATTTACTGAAAAAAAGCTTGCAGTAAATTCCATCATTGGCGGAAGTATGAGGTTCCTGTGTCCATAAAGTATAAACAAATTCGACGCGACCGTACCGTCACTTCTCAATGTAACTTTACACTACTTACAAAGAGAAAACAAAGTATTTTGCATGCAAACCGTGTCAAACATTTTCTAAGTGGAATTAGGCGTGCTAAAACCTTCTTTAGCGGTTAGTTTTTCTCGTAAATCGCAAGAGATACATTTCACAATCATTCAAGTCATTAATAGTTGTAATTTTTGTGTGAGTTTAAATCAAATCACTTTAAGCTCGGTTCCAATTGATAAATTCTCAAAAAAGACTTAAAGAAACGTATATTTACCTTCCAATTTCCTCACCAAAAGCATAATATTTCTCCGGATTCTCTTTTACTAATTCCATGTTGTTTTAGCTAAAACCCCTGAGCTGACTTTAAGGACGATCAAGGACTAGCCAAGAACTTTCAGATAAGATGTTTACTGAGAGTAAAAGACACTGATATTCCTTTGAGAGCATTTTTGACAGACATTCGTGACTTTTGATTGGTTATCTGCATACTACAAATGCTTCAAAAGAATTCGTGGAACTAAGTGACGAAAGACGAATGTGTTCGTGACCTCTTTATTTTCTTCCCTAATTGCTGAGCTAAGTGTTACGTTCCACAAATTCTGATATTTAAGTGGTGTCTGGACTGATTGACGGATATGTCAAAATTGCGAAGGTCTTTAAATTTATGCAGTGTAATAGCCCATTTATCATAAATTGCAAATGTAACACAGCAACATTTGGAAGTTTTCTTTTCGTACAAAGTCAACAACTTTTTGATGATGGCCAAAAGCTAAACTGAATGACCTGTCCAAACCCCGCGGTGAGGCATGTGAACTCGGACGCTGCACTAAGAAAAACATTTCTCATTATTTTTCCACTGTCTTTACTCACGTGTTTGTAATTTTTCCCAAATTGCGCGCAGTAGAGTCATCCAGGGAAATCAAAGACCGTACATAGTTCTGTCCCATTTTGTCCTTGAGCGTTAGGTGGGGTCGGGTGGGGTGAATGGGGGGCTAATCGATGTTCGTCGTCTTAGCTACGGGTGCAAATTGCTTAATTTGGTCGCACTTAGGATGTTCAGTACGAGAAACTAATAATGTGCCCATACAGGTATAGCTTAGGTATCTGCTAAAGGAAATATCTGGGACTTATAATAAAGAAACTGAATTTATGCTGGAGAAAATTCTCTCTTCACTTTTTATACTACCTTCCTGACTAACGTTTTTCTTTTGGATGTTGAATATTCGGCAATAAACACTTTGACAAGACCTGGAGGATCCTTCACATTCTTCTCAGTCAGTTTCGTAAGAAGTCTATGGTTTCGTACGGTTTTCATAAAACGCCTTTAAACGTTATTGGTGAATATGAGTGGTATATTAGGAATTGGGATGGGATGGGCAACGGAAACATCTTTCTACTTCAGAGGAGTTTCAATCCTTGGTGATGCTCAAGCAATTTCCACTCCTCTCTCTAGTGTGGTCTTGTTCCTTCCCGATAGGTCTTTTCGGGGATGGCCGAAGAGCGGGCTCATTTTCCGAACAGCGGTGGTCGGTACGTAGGAGCTTGAGCCTTATCACGTGACAAGGGAGCCATGATGGTGGCCAATACAAGGAAAAAGTTCAATGTCATGAAAGATATTAATCATTGTGGATAATGTGTATTAAGAGTTTAGTTTTATCGTTTGTCTCACGATTGGCACTTTGATATTGACGATCAATATTAAAGCCTTTTAGTTTATACAAGAGAAAGTTGTTCCGAAAAATTTACGTGCTTATGGAGTTTAGTTCCAGCGGGGAAAATACCTCTTACCAGGGTTATGGGCTCCTGCTCTTACTGAATATGGCAGCCGTGAGAAACATGCAACCCAGTGATCGTGAACTCAAGCAACCGATGGGGTGGTCGCTTTGACGGTTGACGGTTAAATTGTTTCCAATTCTGACGATTGAAGGTTGAATTTTAACGCTTTTGACGGTTGACTGTCATTAAGTGGAAATTTAGTACAAGAGTGAAAGTAAATATCAACTTCTGTTTAAATTTCAATTAATTAACTTTTGTGTTTTGGAGGTTGCCTTGGCCTTTCACTTATTGAATTTCAAAATATTTTCAAACAAAAGCAGTAATTTAATGTCTAGAGAGAGTGTTTTTGAAAACATGGGAACTGGCTTTTCCAGTTCAAAGATTCTTCAGGAGCGTGAAGATCAGCTAAAATAGCGAAATTTGAAATACCTGGAAACTTTTTGACAGACAATTTTGAATTATATGAAGGAAGATCATCGCAATTATATACGCAGCTTTGGGAGTTGCGAAAAGAAATACAATAATGAGCTGCATTTTAGACGTTTGACGGCTAGCGGTAGACCTTCTTACAAGTAAACCGTAAAAAAAAGAAGGAAAGAATGTTAACGGTTCCATTATATATTGACGAAAACTTATCCTAGAGAGATATTTTTGTTTTAAATAAACTGTAGTCTTCTTTTTTGGAAGGTAGTTGTCATTTCTACTGAACCTCGTCCATTTGTCGTCGCCGGCCTGGATTTTTTCCTTGGAAAATGGGAGTAGCGGGAAAAGCCCTGGGGGCGAGTTTGATTTTAGCTTGCTTGGGATTCCTGTGATGCATAAATTATTTTGGGGATTTTCGCGCGCGTGCATCTCAGACGGTATTGGGCTCGAGTGCTCATGGGACAGCATTCCGAATGGAGCTTCCTTGCCTTACACGGCTCATGTCGCTGGTTTAGGTTACATTTAGCAACAAAATGCAGGCAAATCAAACGGATGTTCCACCCGAAACATACAGCTCAAACAACAGTGTCGTTCTTTACGTTCAATTACAAGGTGAGTCCCCCGAAAAGCTAGAGACAATCGGCGTAAACAAGACCGAAGAGCGACTGGAAGAAGAATCGGAGACTGAGGAAACGACTCCTTCGTCAGATGATCTCGAACAGTTTGCGAGGGAATTTAAGCAGCGAAGGATCAAGCTTGGTTCCTCCCAAGCGGATGTTGGAATGGCTTTAGGGACATTGTACGGAAACGTGTTTAGCCAGACCACGATTTGCCGCTTTGAGGCGCTGCAGTTAAGTTTTAAGAACATGTGTAAGCTTAAACCGTTGCTCGCAAGATGGCTCGAGGAAACGAACAACAATAATGGAATTCCTTGCGGAGTGGACAAAGCTACCTCTCAGGTTGGAAAACGCAAGAAGAGAACCTCCATCGAGAATTCAGTGAAGAGTGTTTTAGAGACACATTTCTGTAACAATCCGAAACCGACCGCTCAAGAAATTGCCTCGCTGGCCGAAGATCTTCAGTTTGATAAAGAGGTAATTCGAGTTTGGTTTTGCAACAGACGACAGAAGGAAAAGCGCATGACTTCGTTGGTCACTGCTGCCAGTGAAAACGCGATAAGCGAAAACGAATGACGCTTCCCATGCAATTGAACTGTGTGTGTTGTCCACGGTAACTGTTGATATTTTAACAGTCGGAATGTTTATATTAATGTTCGGAAAATATCTATTAAGACTCGTAACACATCGGAATTGTGGTACACTCATTATTTTTGTGTTTCGCTCTACGATTGAATATTCTTTACATAAGGGTAAGGTATTTGGAAAGTATCTGTAAGTTGGGCATGAAGCATTATATAATCTTTTAAAATTTTTTTATTAAGGTTTTATCCAGTTTCTTTTGGGTTTTGTCATTGAATTAACCGAAAACCATTTGTAAGATTTAGGTGGCCTTGATACTACAGAAACTCAACAATTGTAGTTTGAGTGGTCTTTAATACTTTCATCAGTAAATTTGAACGGTACAAACTGTTTCAGCTAGATACATTGGGTCATATTTTACTTTGATTTCCTTGTTACATTGACTGGCTCAATGTTTCAACCAGCGAGTATGCATCAGTCAATTCCAGCTGAACCCAGCACCCCCCCACCGGAATACTGCGGGGCATTTGACCACCTTGTCAGTGCCGGGGGTGGGGCATTTGCAAATTTTGTGCTGCCTGGGGGCCAGGCCCCACCCCGGGGCCATTCCCAAGCTTGACACACATGCAGTTTCCTATCAGATTATAGCTACAAAGAGGATTTCACTGGGAAAGAAAGCAGATTGGCTCATCTGTCAAGGACAGGAAAAAATTGAAGAGGGTTGTAAGGGTATGTTCTTGATTTTATGCATGCGTTTCTTCATTGGTTATCAAGCCAGAATTACACAGCGAAATCGGGAGCTGTTGACGTGAATCAACGTTTTTTGGTTATTGAATCAAATATCTGTTAATGTTTTTGGAAAACATCCTTTCATATTTATAAAGCTATTCATAACATATAACTTTACAGCACTCTATTAATTTTAATGTCAAAAATTTAAAATCAATACTAAAATTATAAACTGGTGCATGTTGTTGTGGCGTGAAATCTTAATTAGAATCATGGTGCTATTACAAAGGAATACGTTAATTGAAAGAAAAAATTGCACATTAAAATGCTTAAAACGGGAGTATTCGACTGTGCGATCGGTGGAAAATGTTGCAGTGTTGACGGAAGACGGTATTTACCCTCTTTTTTTCGTCCCACCCAGGGGGATTTGACAGCTCAAGAGCCCCCACCCCCTGGAATTTACCATCCAAGGCCAAAGTGGTGGGGGGGGGGGGATGCTGGGTGCAGCTGGAGTATTTTTCTGTGAATTTTGGACATGGCCCAGGAGGTTCACTTTGACATAGCAACAAACAGCAAAAGAATCTCCCTACATAAGGACTTTGTAACCAGTGGAAGGGGTAAATATTGGGCAAGATGAAGGTAAATGTCGTCCCTGTATCCTTGTGAAAGAGTGTGATTTTTATGTTAACGGGCCTATAATAAAGCTTTGTGTTTACAGTAATATGCTGTCAGAATTGTTGTCATTTGGTACGTTCTTTGCCATGGTATATGGATTATGGGCCTTTTTCCCAAATAAAGGCCAGCCCCTAACTTTGAGAACCACTTGGCCTCCATCATTGTAAGCCGTGGAACTTTGTTTTTGCTTTGTCACTCCTCTGCTAGGAGTGTATTAAATTTTCATACAATATGATGCATTCTGGATCTTATGCACCTGTCAAAATCCTGCCTAAGGATTGGGGGTGGGAAGAAGGGGGGAGCTTATGAGAATTTAACCTATGGTGGTGAAAGTGAAAACTCACCAAGCAACAAATGCATGCATGAGTAAATTATGAAATTCGCTGCATTAGTAGGATCTCATTGTTCTAAAATTCAATAACACACCCTTTTATTTGTAATCTTAATTTACATTTTGCCTGTCTGAGACTTTGGATGTCTATTAGAACACATCCCTTGATGTCTCATCTGCAAATCATGCATAAAATATCTACGACTTTAATTGTGTCGTTATTTGGTATAATCATGTGTTTTTACTATCTTAATCAAATGGTATACTGGTACAATTAAGGAATAATTTTGCTTTTGTTTTGTCCAAATTCTGATAATCTCCCTTGTCTGAAGGTTGTGGAAATTATTGGAATTCAGACAAAAAGCGTGTTGAGATTATTCCTTAATTTCATTTGTCACCATTAATTTAACATACTTATTTTTATTTCTAACATATATTTCAACATTGATCATCACATTTATAACAATACAGTTGAACCTCTAGCCATTACTGTCAGCCACCTTTTCACAACTTTCAATTAACTCTGCAAGCTTGTGAAAAGACCTCACTGTAGTGTTTGAATACTGCAGTCTGTCAGTTTTTATCACTTTCATCATTAGAAATATTTTTTTGTTATATTGAATGTGGAAAGGACTATTTTAGATGAAGGTCTTATCAGTGGTTGTGGAGAGCTTACTGTAACTTTCTTATTGAGAGGAAATCTCCATCAACATTGGGAGCCCATGGTATACTTATGTGTCTGATGTGAACCTTTGTAATTGTTTTTAGCAGACAACCTGTATAGCTAAATATGTGTAAATGATTTCTTAAGTTCCCATGTTTTAAGTATAACTAACCTGTATTAAATGGTCACCTCTATTTAGTGGACACCAGCGAGCAGGGTCTTATGGGTATCTGCCCAAAACAGGTTTCACTGGTTGTTTCCTATTTACAAAAACTTTCTGGAAAATCTGGTTGGGAAGTGAATGGGACCTGACTCTTTGGGTTGTTACAGTGGAAAAATGTCCATATCTACAAATACTTCATAATTGCTAAAAATGTCACTTTTGACTATAAAATTACAGATGGTTACGCATACACATTTATATTACACCATTACACATGTGGGTGCCCTGTGGCTGAACTAAACATGACACAGCATACATTACTTATGACCAATTGCAAACATAACAAAATATAGTTAAACTGGACAGTCAAATCCTGATCAAAATCAAAGGTGCTTTTAAAAAGGTGTAAAATTTGATACCAGAATGTTGTAGGATGTTCTTTGTCAGCAGAGAAGAGTTTAGGGAGGGAGGAGGACAAAGATCCCAAGGCAAACAGGTATGCCACTGATCTCTTTGGTTGCAGGACAAAAGCCCCAAGGCAAAGGTGTATGAGCTGCTGAACAGGGTATGGTTTTCGCAGTCTTCAGTCTTATTTATTTCTGAGTGTACGATTTCAATATAATAGTTGTTTAGCGTCTAAAACAGGGTGTCTTTTTGGACCGGAACCCTTTTAAAGTGTGTAAAGTTTGTTGCAGTTAAAAGTAAAGCTTAATTCTGTATGTGAAATGAAATGAATCAAGGTCATGAAGTAAGGTCTTTGTCTTAAACAGGGTAGCAAAAAGAACCATTTTTCTTTTCTACGTTAAAAACTCGCAAACTTTGTCTCTTTAAAAGAAAACTCAAAACAATTTTACTTAATGAATTTTAATTTAGTTTGTATATTTCTTATATTTGTAAAGCGTGCTGAGATTATGTAGCTGTGGTCTATAATAATTTTACCATTATTATTATTACCCAGCCTTCCTTAAGTGCCCCTCCCCTTCCTTAAGTGCCCCTCCCCCTCGCTGTCCCCACAATCTGAACGCCTGGGACAGGCCAGAGAAAGACAAGGAAATGGAACTTCGGCCATCATCTCCACCTTTGTTTTAGATGAAGAGTCAAGAGTAAAGCACATTCTTTACGTGCGTAACACGTAAAGAGACGACCAATTTGCTGACCGTCGGAAGTTTGTGGTTTCCGGACAGTGTTGATGCTACTTGTATTGCAGATGATCTCTAGCCAGATATGGCGTAAAATTTAAAAGACCATTTTGATAGAAGTAAAACTGACAGCAGAATTTTTTTGGCAATTCTTAAAACTGACCACAACACAGAGGTCTTAGCTTTTGTCTCTTTTAGCCCAGATATCGACATACAACTTTTCACACGATCACAACATTTCCATATTAAAAGAATTAGTTGACAGAACTTGATAAAAGAGCAAGGCATTTTCCCTTTGCTGATTATTTGAATTAATTCTTTTACCCTTTTCTTTTCTGAGGAACTGAGTTACGATTGATAATAACCTTAAAGAATTTTGCTATCCAAAGTATTAACCCATCGCCCGATAACACCACACCTTCAGATATTACCCACTTAGGATGCTAAGTGGAGAGAGGCAAACAAATTTTGAAGGAAACAAGGGAAGGTTCAGTTTTGCCCTTGGCCTGTGCCACAGACGAAACTAAAGCTAACCCACAACATTCCGGATGTCTTTTCGTGCCGCCACGAAAAGCAATCCGGTATGGTACGAACACCTATAATTATGTGACTCTCCACTTTAGAGATCAACGCGGCGCAGGTTCGCTCCGTTACAGAAACCGCGCTAAAATCACGGTTCTTATGTGTGAACAGAAGCCCTGTATCCGGTATGATTTTTGCGCCGGCGCAAAAGCTACTATCCGGTGTAGTGTGAACACAGCCTAAACCTTTGGTTAGATTACGTCTGTAACGCTGGGGGGAGGGGGACGAATCCCTTATATAAGGGGCGGGGATGCTCGTCGTCTCGCTTAGGGGGTGCAAATATCGGATTTTGGTCTCACTTAGTGTGTACTAGGCAAAACGCCATTATATTTAGCTGAAAAGGTTTCTTTTAGGGTTGTACGCAAAGAAATATATAAAATAAATATTTTCAATTCGTTTTATCCACTCGATTCTTGTAATGAAAGTTTGAAATGGTCTCTTTTCTGGTCAAACAAGGGTGGGCCACGCCCAGAATGGTTCAAGGGCTTAATTCAAAAATTACCGACGATCAGACGTCCGCCACTGGATAACTGGCAACGATTCACTGGCGGTTAGGACGATTCATGAGATTCATGTTTATCAAAAGGTAAGGACTATTAAACAGGCTATTATATTCAAACTGTAACGCAGGCTAATCTGGCCTTTAACCCTTGAACGTCCGGTGGAAAGTCAAAAGAGCTAAAAAAAACATCACTGAGCTTTAATGAAACAATCAACAATCAAATTTATACTTCGAAAATAAAGTTTATTAGATTCTGATATCGGCATAAAAAATGCATGACAAAATTAAATATCTGAAAAATCGTTCTTGAATCATTTGATGGCAAAATAACAGCGGACACAAAATAATTAAAAAAAAATAATAGGAAATTTTCAAATTTTACTATCGCTACCATTGTACTCATTATAACTAGAAAGTTTTCAAAACATATACTTACAAAAATATGCACATTATCTAGGGTGCTTCAAAAAAACATTACAAAACTATACAGCCGCCTTCCAGTACGAATTAACAATGTTGGCACTTCCTACAAAAATAAATACCTCTTGCGGCCGTACAAAAATAGTAAGGATATACGTGACATTTAATTTCATAAAAATGGTTACAAATTTACTTTTAAAGTGCTATAATTCAACTATCTGTGTTTTAACTGAGTAACGGCAGCTAAGCATTACACTGCTGTTAAAGGGAATGTGCCTTTTGGCCCTTTTTTGTAGGTACGCAAATCTACTCTTCGTCTGAGTCCGGTGAGTCGTATGGGTCCTCACTGAAGGTCCTAAGGACACAAGATGCAGTGACCACATCTTCTTTGTCCTGGCAAAGCGAAAAAACAAAAGTGAGGTACTGTGCAAGAAACAACAAGAGATCTCCCGTCAACGATGACATACTAATTCGATCCATTGCAAGGCCGTGTGTCATAAAAGCTAATGATGGACCATGGACCATTGATCACTACTTGTACGTATGAATTCGGTATTGCTTATCAAGTTTTTACGCTTTATTATCATCATTATTATTTTATACCTTTTTCATGAGTTGCTGGCTAAGATCTTTAAGCTTGGAACTGTTCACGTCTGATGAGCGACGTTTCTGCAAATTGTCAGCCTGGAATAACAACAAAATAGCAAAGCTTTGACAAAGAAGTCAAGAAATCAACAAACGGCAGATGCAAATTAGGACGCTGGTATATCGTCTGGTTAAATTGAAAGAAACGTACACTTAAGGAGTCCCGAACCTAATTACGTGCGTGTTAGTTCCGTGGAACTTTAAGAAGATTTTATTTATTTCCTTGAAGGTATCAAAACGTTTAAGACATAGGCATTTAGGTAAATCCAACGAGTGGTCCTTTTTCAATGCTGCGTTCTGATTGGTTGAGCTACTACTAGGCTATACGAAATGCTACGACAGATTTCCCCCAAACTTCAACAAAAGAGCCTCAGAGCTCTCCAGGTTTATATAGGCACAGTTGAAGTCAGTCGTGACCATACAACTTGCTGTACAAAATGCTGGTTAAATTTAAACTTAAAGTGAATGCTACAGTAACACATTTGTGAAAGCTGACGAACGAACAGCGGAAAGGTACCGACGAACTATCTCCTAACCGAAAGGGTACTCTTACCTAAATAGGGGTATGATACACAAAGTTTGCCGACAAGTAATCAATTAACCCTTTCAGCCCTAAAGACTAAGAGTGATCAGCATGAAATTTCTCCTTATAATATCAATGCTTTAGAAAGCAGAGTAATCATGAGAATTAAGGTCATGATCGGGGAAGATGAGTCTAATTGATATTTCAACAAATTCTTCCTACTACTTCTATTGAAAAACTATAAGGATAGTAAATGAGAAACTCAATTTTGATATTAGGGTTTAAAGGGTCAAGCAGAACAGTATTTTACCAGAATCCAGGGATGGTTTTTGGCTTGTTCCACTGTGGGGCGTTTCCTGAAGAAAATCAATAGAAACATCGTTGATATATAACAACCGAAACCCTTGAACTACGACATCAAGTCACAGTAGTGAGAACTAGTACCCAGGTTTTGTCTTTATTAGTCAGGGAGGCACCGTACTTGCGAGACAAAGCTTAAAACGTTGGACGAACAACTTCAACAAACGAATGAGTTTTCAACAAAATTTTATACGGGGAGGCTCCGCCCTGAGCTACAACCCCTGACTTTTCTATGATATATACTATTTTTGACAGAAAAGGAAGCCCTTTCGTATCCTTTTTATTGACAACTGGTATCTCTTTAATATACTAGTTTAGTGCACTAGATCCCTTGTAACTGCTATAAATGCACAGTTTTAAATATTAAAAAAAAAAAAAAATCAATAGCTAGCTCGTTGTTTGAACGATGCTAGCCGTGCAAATAGAAAGCTTTTTCAATCTCTTGGGACTAAATGGTCGCCGCGTGACAAAGGTCTATAAACCAGAACGTTTTTTAGTCTTTTTCAAAGCCATAAACAGTGCTTGCTAGACCTTTCAGTTAAGTCCTTTCACAGACTGAAATGACAGATTTTCTTACCCTTTCGTATAGCTTAAGAGGTAATACCCCTGCCCTTTGATATACCAGAAGCCTGAAAAAGATACCCCTTACGGGCGGAGTCTCCCCCATGCCCAGGGCCTCTCCGTAAAGGCCATTATAGGTTGTACCCCCCCCCCCCTGCCCGGGGGGAAAGGGGGCAAATTCCTGTCTAGAGTTTATGCGTCATTGGCCTGTTATCAAGAAAATAATAATACTAACAACAAACCCGAAAACTGACAATACGTATCTGGACTATCTGGGATTTAAGCATTTTCTGAAAACTAGACATTTTACAGAGAATTCGAGGCTTGTTGTAGCAGTTTGCCACCCAGCAATTCTCTAGGTTTTGATCGGCGCTGTTTCCTTAAAATCAGTTTTATATTCCTCGCTTTTCATAATTCATACGAAGGATATGTCAGTTCATGAGCTATTCTTGAGCAAAGAAATAATCAGGTGAAAAATGTAGTGGTGACCGTGAACAAGGAGAACACGCGCGTTTCCAGTTCCTTCGCGTGCATTGTTTTTCTTCACCCCAAAATTTCTTACCGCGACGCCTTATCTTCGATGAGTACGTATACTAATGACACAAACTGCAAATAGGGTTCACAAGGAAATTAAGAACCTAGTCAATGACGTTTTAAGGAGCAGTTTTGTTTTTCAAGTTTTCTTCCTTTCAATCACAATTCCAATACCTAACCATCAAGACAAACAACACAACACCAGGCCACGAAATGTCAAAACTCCATTCCATTCAATCCACGTGACATGCGCAAGAGCATGATGGAAATTATATATACAGCTGATTCAAAAAAGATTGCTTTGGTCATTGGGAAATGTCAGATTTGCTGGAGTAACCACCAAACAATAGCGCACAATTGCCCATGCTCAAAACCAGCCAAAACCAGTTGCCTGCTTACATGGAGATGGGGGACCCCAGGTAGGTGAGGTAACCCGCTTAGGTAGGCTAATTCCCCTGTCAATATTATCTCTCATTTTAATTTGATTAGATAAGTGGGGTGACCCACCACATGTTATCTCACCTACCTGGGGTCCCCCACCTTCATGTAAACAGACCCTAAGCCTGTAGAATGGCACGCATAATTTTTTTTTGCGCTATTTTCCGGAAGGCTAACTTACACATTCTTTAAAAACAGAATATACTCAAATTCTAACATTTTTTTCCTACACACCAATCTAGTATAGTAAAACTCAAGGAATTTTCAAGGATAAGAGACTTCGGACTTCCTCTAAATTCAAGCACTTTTCAAGACTGTGCGAACTCTGGTAATAACAACTTCGCCGGTAATTTTTTTTAATTAACACTACTGTAGGATAATATGAAGACCTGTCACATTACTTACTCCTGGTCGAAGGTTATCAAGGAAGAAATCAAGCTTTTAACTTCAGAGGTGCAGCGCTGGAAGGCCTTGGAATCAAAACTCCATTTGCACCTCTTGACTAATTTGGCTACCGCTTCGTCTTCGTCTTCGTCTTCATTTTCTGTGGTTTGCGCTGCAAACGGTAGTTCACCGCTCATTCTATAAACACAGACGATCGGACTTAGATGATGGGACTTAGCTGAGAGTGATCAATAGGAAGCTTAAGCAAAGGCGTTTTTAAGCGACGCACGTCAACCGAAAGTGGACTTGTTACATTCCTGAGCAGTGGTTTTCCCCAAATTTTCAGTTAAATCCACGCTAAAAGTGTAAAGAAACTAAGCAATACAGATATTACAGCGTCAAGGCATAGTAAAAGTCCTCACTTCCGGTTGACGTGCGTCTGTCAAACACTCCTTTGCTTAGCCCCTCCTCCCCCCCCCCGACATCTAGTTGTTCCTTATAGTATGAATGCTTTATGACACAGAGTGGTCATGGGCACTAAGGACACATCACAATAATCATAATCACTCTGTATGGCACATAAAAGGCATCGTTGTTTTGTCCAATCATACTGCCACGTAATAAAATGACGTCAAGGCGAAATATCGATTGATTTCAAAAGCCACGAGCGCTTGTATTCGTTCCGTAAGCAAATCAGATTGCTTTAGAATTTTCTGTTTTATTGCCCGCACTTTGGTTATCACTAGTATATACTTACAGGGCGTATAAAAGTACCCCAATGCTCCACATGTCTGCTGGACCACTGACAAGATAAGGGTCATCGAGATCCACAAGTTCAGGGGCTGAGAAAATGGCAAAATTTTATATGAGTTCACAACGCAGACCGAAAACAAGCCCTTTCACTCTCAGCCAAAGTTGAACTTCATTACAATTTTCAAAGTTCAATTCGGAAAATGCTAGAAAAAAGTCGGGAGAAAATCTATCTATGTTAACTTTCACATGAGACCTTTCCGACATATAGGCAGGCAGATCAGGTGGTTAATCCACTAGAATTGATATTTGGGACTCACAGTAAGGTTTTGCGCATTACACCTGAATGGAGTCTACCCATAACTGCCGCTATCACGGGAAAGAGCCCAGAAGTGTGACCGCTTTTAATTCATTCACATTCTTTCGTGCAGATTTAATCCAATCAGAAGCCGGCGGGAAACTGTCCTCGACTTCTGATTGCTTAATGCCTGCATGAAAGAATGTGAATTGATTAAAGGAGGTCACCCTTTTGGGCTCTTTGCTGTAAGCCCCCCACCTTAAGGCCCATCTGCCTGTAAACAAAAATTCATCCGGTTATAAGCCCCCACCCTGGAATATAACCCCCGCCCAAATGTATTGTATTAAATTCGATTTATTACGACGTTTTGAAGCCCAGTTAAAAACTAGCAAATGCAAACGTTATTGTAACCAACTCTTCTATAGCTTGTTAGAAGCGCTTGGTCTATTCCACTTATAATCCCCCTCGGATATACACTCCTTCGTTTATAAGCCCTTCTAAAACCCCTCACAAAGATGCAAAGGCGACGGCTTATAAGCGGCTGTTAACGGTTTTTTTTCCCTTAAGATTTCATACATATTAATATCACATTAAACTAAATAAAACGACAACAACAACAAACAAACAGAGGGTTACTAAACCCATTTATTCCTAATGCTAAAGCCTTATTTAGGTCGATAAAAACAAGAAGGGGCATCCTGTACTGTTGTCATCCCTTTCTCAAAAGGGACACACCTATCTACTCAATGTAACAAATGAAATAGAGTCACTCTGTTTACTGATTATCTCAACTTACCCGTGAAAGAGTTATAGCTGACAATAGCCAGGTTCTCGCCTTTTTTCCAGTCCTTCGCTTTAATTTGATGAGCACTTCCAAAGTCGATAAGCTTCAGTGCGAGGTTACTCTTGGCAATAAAAATGTTCGCAGGCTGTTAAGCAGAAAAGGAACAATCAGATCACATATCGTTTAGTCCACTGGTTTTGTTAGAGGACAAATCGTGCAAAATTTGCCCGGGGGAACCTTTTCGCAAAAGAAGGGAATTCTATAGCTTGCGTATGTGGGAGCTGGTTATTTTTAAGGGCGAAGGGAGAAATTCATCTTGCGCGCTCTATAGAAACTAACCGCAATTGCAATCCTTTTCAATCTTCTTCAAGTTTGTCCACCCGTGTCTCATTTTGTATTTTCTGTGCTATTTATACCTTCTTGTCTTCTTTCGAACATTTATTTATTTGAATTTTTTAGTACAACTTTGATCCACCAACTTACCCGTAAGTCTAAGTGGACTATGTACTGACCATGAAGATAGCTCAATACATCAAGGAGTGGTCGAATAACAAAGGCGATATCCTCTTCGTTCGGCCTTGGTTTGGATGCAATAAAACTAAGAATGTCTTGTCCTTCCAATCTGACATGGGTAAAAATTAAACAGAAGTTGCTGAAGCGAAAGTTATGTATGGTTTGACATTGATACAAAATTGTGACAGGTTTGAACCCAGGAGTCATTTCAAAAGTAGGTTGAATTTCATCGTTCGGGTGAACGTAGTCCACTACCGAGCTGTACAACTCCTGTGGTACTTTTATCATTATTTTTTAACGCAAAGTGGCTTCAGTTTTTAGTCTGAGAATCAGACTCTACGCAGAACTGTGCTTTTGTGTTGCCAAGCGATCATAATAAGATATGATCTCTTGGGCTGAGTTGCTCAAAGCATGGTTAGCTTTAACCATTGGTTAAGCAGTATCAAAACCAATATGTTGTCAACGTATAAAACGCTGGTTAACGCTAGCCATGCTTCGAGCAACTGGGCCTCAGTGGTGTTTTGAAAATTGCTCAGCTTTACAAATTGGTTAACTTTGAAGATGCAAATGATGAAATTGCCCAGTTGCACTTAAAGTTACAACTGTACTCCTATCATGTGAAAGCTCTACAGCAAAGGCAAGTGGGTATATGTTTGTGTTTCAGTAACTGACAAATGAAATTGGGCTGAGCACTGGTTCTTTAGAAAGCGTGACCGAGTTACACTGTTTTCGGTTGCGAGATTTTGTAGCCAATCATAGCGTGTAGTGATTACTACAAGACCCTCACAACGAGGGAATCAAAGAGTCGTGTTCAATCACAACTTAAATCAACTCTCAAAAAGTAGGTGTCCCTTTTATCTCCAGTAATACAGACACCAAGGGGACATGCCATAGTGTCCATATTATCTGGGTGTCCGTATTAAGCGGATTACAGTGGAACGTCACTCTACAAACACCCTGGGTTACATTTAACCCTGGGTTAAGCGTTAATCAGCCCTCAAACAGCTGGGCCCAGGTGTCTGTAGAGTGGGGTACCACTGTAGATATGGGTGTCTGTGTTAAGCAGGTGTCTGTAGACTGGGGTTTCACTGTACAAATGGGTGTCTGTATTAAGTAGGTGTCTGTAGAGTCGGGTTCTGCTGAACATATGGGTGTCCGTATCAATTTCCATTGTACTTACAAGTCCATTATGAGGACGATGTATTTCCTCATGAGGAAGGCGTCACGTAACATCACGATTTTGTCGCTTTTTACTTTACGCAGGATTTCGAATTCTTGGAGCGACTCATCTCTGTCTGCATCGTCGTCATACTTGATGATCTTGGCTACATAAGGCTTCTTTGTCTTAGCATCCAAGCACCGTTTGACAACTGCGAAACGACCCCTGAAAAAACAATGAAATTTGTTAAGCTTGGATTTGCATTCACGAAGAGCATTTGGGGCAAGACAGAACCAAACTATTATTTCCTTGTCTTTTCCCTTCTCGACCACAGTGAAGATTTGATGTTTATCAGACATTATTTATGACACGTTTACTGAACTGATTCGGTCTTACCGTGCTAGTTCGTGTTTAATTCCCCAATATTTATCCACACTTTCCAGCTTGAGTGGTATTCCACCTGAGGTGTAGCGTTTTGCGACAGCTTCTGGAGTATTTGCTGCTCCGTTCGAACCTACACCACGTAACCATGACCACAAAACAGTTAGACCAACGGAAAAAGCTTAACTCAAGCAGTCCCACGAACGAAAAAGCGAAATTCCTGCTGCACCAAAACTGCTTGATACGCAAAAGACGGTACTTGGCTATTTTACACGCTGAATTCAGCTATGGTAGATGTGGTAATTTCGTGTTACTGAAACTTTTAATTGAGGCGTTCTAAGCAATACTTTTTCACCTTACTACTTGTTTTTTTTTTAAATTTCTGACAAAATGGAGTTTACGAAAGCACTGTCACAGCATTCAAACATTCTTCATTCCAGCGTAATGAAGCAGAAAGAGAGAGAACTAGACCTTTTAAGCTTTTATGTTTTGTTTTCCCACTGCCGACAATGCGATGTTACCTTACAAATCATTCAAATATTGCACTATCCAAGTGCATTTGCGTGCAGAGACAATGGCAAATTTTCTTTTGAATCTTTAGGTGGTCTGAATACACTCTTTTCACGTACACCATACTGCACCCTGTTTACCCCAGGCCTCCCCAAAATTTTGCATAACCATTGTTACTATTTCCTGGGTATTAGAGTCGTCCCCCTTCCCCTAAATCGAAGGCCGTGGTTGTGCAGTTTTATTTTTTTAGGGGGGGGGGGGGGTAACAAGGTGCATTATGGATCTATGTGAAAATGGTGATTAAAACTACAAGTTAAAAAGGCCCATAACTCTAAAAACGTTGAAGGAACGTAATGACATCAAACACGAAAGAAACAGCCATATTTTCTTCATGCTGCTGTCGTTTTGTTGAACAACGTCTAATTCAAATTTATGAGATGTTTTTATGAAGAAGCAGTTTTCGCACCCAGGAATTTCATCTCTTTCTCAACCATTACAATTTAATATCAGAGGGGCCTGATGTAAACTACAATAGGCACTGATGCTTATAACAAGGCGGACTGGATGACCCTAAATGCAACCGGGAAGTTTTTTCTGGCAGTAACTGTTACTAACAAAAACAAGGAAATGTTTTAGCGTGCCATGCATGAAATTCAAATTATCCCTTGCAGATAATGTTCAGTAAAATAACTTAAACATATAAGTAACGCTTCGGTAACAAAATTATTCTTCAATTTATCTTTCGCCTAAGCAACGTTAAATTTGTTCCTTTTACATTAAGGCACTCATCAACAAATGACCACTATGATCATGACAACCCATTTAGAACTAACAGATTATTACAACTGCAAAGTGGCAGACACGCAAGTAATAAAACGCAAGTCAGCGAATGAGAAAAAATAAAATAAAAATGATAATAATAAAAAAACGAACGAGGCAATCTTTTTTGGACTGAATGAAAAACCGAGCCCACATGGGCCTAAATCTGCAAGCCCTTGAAACAGGCGCCTGTCGAATTTCCTATATTAGAGAAGGCAAGACAAAAGCGCATTAGAAGGTTTCCAAAAATTGCAAACAAAATTTTTCCCACTAGTCAAGACGAAAGGACTTATCACCACCTAATTCACTTCAGTCCGGTTGAAAAGGTATCACGGACCGAAAATGAAAATACAAAAAAATACAAGAAAACAACTTGGCTATAGACTGAATCAGCTTTCATATCATAAACAATTTATTCATATATAAGACAAGTTGGTAGGAAAACAAAATGAACGCCTGACTGCTCCTCTTGATTTCTAACAATCTCTGCTATTCAGGCGGTGATAAAAAATTCCAGAATAAAATATAAAGATCTTGTGCAAATGTCTGTTATTCAGTTTACGTCAACGACCTCAAAAACTGTCGTCTTTGGGGAATAAATATATTAAGCAATGGGATTTAGGCTGATGACATGAATACACAGTTTAGCTGAGAAATACTCTGCGTATCTAACAGACAAGGCACTTTGAAGAAACTTATAATTTGATCAGAAGATAATAGGAGTTCTTGGTCCGATAATTTTAGTGAGTTGGTAGAGAAAAGACATCAATTTGACTCTATTATTGCTCTTAACCCATATACAGTAAACACAGAATTGTATGTAGAATTTACACACATTTACGGGTTAAGTTGCTGCATGAATAGCTTGGTTAGTATTCGACATGAAAAAGTGAACTGAAAATGCACAATGCAGTTGAAAAAAATGAAATTAATTATAAGAAATTTCATAAGAGCGAGTTAAATCTTTGCAAAAATAAGGAAATAAAGTATTAGCCACGTATGGTACCAAATATATACACTCACCGTTCGTCGAGGGCGGGGAAACTTAAGCAATGCCATGGAACTAGAGAAAATTAACTCCAATTTTGTTTAACTAAGAACTGTTGGCCGACTTTAAGAAAATCGAGTTTAACCAACGCAAAAGAATTAACAGGGCAGATTTTCTTTGCCAAGACCACTATAACAGAATTCCACTGAAGTAGCGCGAAAGGAGCATGGATGAAAACATTAGTCGCAACAAGAAACTGTTCAGTCTACGGTAAAAACAACTTCTACATGTAAAAAGTTTCCCACTTACTCGACATAGTGTACGTAATCCAAGTTGAAAACTGCTCAAAGTTTCAGGGATACAAATACAAATACACTAGATGAACCTCAGAGTTAAAAACCCAAGAATGAAAAGCTCTATGATGTGCTATAATAATTCCTGTCAAGTTAACAGCAAGAGTTCGGATTAATTAACCTGTCACGCAATTCTTTGCTCCGCCGTAAACTTTGTCTGTCCATAAAAACTTGCTTTTCTACGTACTAGCTGATAAAAACAATTCTATAGGAACTTCACCGTTACAATTTTGTCTAGATGTATCTGCTTTCTAGTTCTAAAAACGCCAAAAACAAAACAGGAATGACCATGGCCTGTTCGGGTCCGCTGTTACTATAAACAGTATGGTCCCCCACAAAATGAAGACGACAAACTGTTGGTCTTTTATGGTCTCTAATACAGGAGTTTAGAAAACTCTTACATCAGCAAAATAGAACTTTTAACAGTTTAAAAATGTGCCCTGTTCATTTTAAATGGTCTAAATGACGATCCTGGTAACTCTGAGGCATTTTAGAGGAAACAGAAAAGTTTTCCTTTTTTGGAATTTAGCCGCAAGGTTTCTTTGTTTCTTATCTTTGCTTCATTTACGACGGACGAAATATAAGAATGGAAAGAATCCCTTCTAAAAAAAAATTCTGATATCACAGTATGATACAAGACCACATTTCTACAAATCTAACAACAAATGACCTTCTAGTCAATTCACCTAAAATAACTTCAAATACGCCTCTCAAGAAAGATGTTCGATCATCTAGCGTGCTATTAAATGCAACCTTTGGTAAAATACTTATTCCGTATAGCGTCTGTGATAACCTGCTTTCCAACTGGAAATGAAATGCGGAAAAAGGTAAACGCCATTTTCCATTCACTTTTAACAGCTTGGTAATTGATTGAGATTTAAATCTACAAAAAAATTTCCTACTTCAAAACAGGCACAAAAGACAGATTTCAATAAATGAATTTTCTTTCAAGCGGTGACACACAGTATGTTTTGAGTAAGACACAGTCGGTAGTCCCAAAAAAGAAAATATTCATATATTATTCAAGCTTAAAAACGCCGGCCTGGTAACATTAGGTGACAGAAAACGTTACATAGATTCTAAAGGGCCATGCAAATTGGAAAAGACCCACGATTCATTGTCAGAAAACTCTCACCACAGAATTCAAAATGCCTGCTGTGTTTTTCAGAACTGAAAAACCTTTGAAAAAATGGGCTTTTGCCTTCCTTCCCGACAAATCCGCTACTTTTATTACTGGTCGCCTTTGTATTACCAAAAAAACATCAATGGAACGCGAGTCACGCGATCACTCTTGTCTCTGCCACATTCCAGTTAGTTCAAAATACACAGTTTCTGATTTAAACATCTAAGAACGCCAATGTTAATAAATTAAAAGAAACAAAAGTATAGCACTCCTGCTAAAAATGTACGTTACTTACGTGAAACCTGAAACGCAAAAATGATGTTAGAACAAAAATAAGACGTATATCAAGACTTTTTTTTAAATCGGTTTTTTTTCCATCCTTTTTCAAGGCCATCTTGCCTTTCTCATTTTCACTTTTTCAAATTCCGACAAGTGCCGATAAAGTTAACATAAATTGAGGCTAACCATTTTCGACTTCGGTATTAAAGCTAGTTTCTTCCTCTGTGTTTTCGTCGTTTCTTCTAGTTGTTTTTGATGATCTTCGCGTTTCCACGGTTTGTAATCCACCTTTCGTCTCTGACACAGTCTCCTTTGTCGTAACAATCGTTTCTTCTTGTCCTTGAGCTCGTTTCGTTTCGGAAACAATCACTTTAGTAAAACTATTGCTGGTACTGAGGGCGGCTGAAGCGGGCGAAAGAAAGGGTGATGATGTCGGCGGGGATCCTCCCTCGGAGCTTTGTACACCGGCCGCGTGCATGGCTTTAACCCTGGCAAGTAAGCCGGACCCTCCACCTCCACTACTCTTCTTATCAGAATCGGCCCCGCGGCTCCCGAGAATCCGGCTAAGAAAGTTCGTGCTTCGAATTGCAGTGATAGCTCTTTTCCACTTTCTTCGCGCGGTGAACGCCTTGAGGCGATCTGTCTTGAGTTTCTTGCCTTTTTTGATTGAAAACCAGCGATGGCTTAAACACTGATCGACACTGTGTCGTTTTCTCGCGGCTAGCACAAGAAGGTTGCTAATGAAGTCCTTAGCTTCTTCCGAGATTTCATCAAATACCGGATCATCAAAATCCCACTCAGCTAGTTGGACATTCGTCAATGTCTCTGCGTCTGTATCCCCCATAAATGGCGATAAACCACTTAATAAGATATATGCAATAACACCGATAGACCACAGGTCCGTGGCAGGGGTTATACGCTCGTATTTGATGACCTCCGGGGCAACAAATTCTGGTGTTCCAAACATAACCTTAAGGTTTTCCTTCGGGTTGTATTTTCTAGCGAGACCAAAATCGATGAGCTTGACTTGCTTGCTGTCAGGCCGAATTAACATGATGTTTTCAGGCTTTAAATCCAGATGAAGGACTTCTCGTTGATGAAGGTGTTGTATCCCTTCCAAAATCTGCTTCATGTAATACGACACTTCAATCTCCGAGATGAACTCGTCTTCAACAACCTTCTCGAAGAGTTCTCCTCCAGTAACGAGCTCCATGACGAGTATCATCTCCGTCGGGGTCTGAAAGAAGTCTTGTAACCTCAGTAATCTCTTGTGCCGGACAGAATTCATGATGTCTGCCTCATGTATAACATCTTGTCTATCCTTGGCTGACGTGCACTTTATAAACTTAGCTGCATAGGCTCGACCTGTTTTATTGTCTATACACTTGCAAACGACACCGAACCTTCCTTTTCCAAGTTCTTCCTGGATGGTGTAGTATTTGGTTATCTTCTCCTCTTTTGCCTTCGTCGTTCTTTCTTCGGTTTCTGAACCTGACAGCTCGGAGAGCTCGGACTCGCTCGCAGTTTCGTCGTCAGTTGAGCCTGTGTCGACAACCAGTTGTGCGGTGCTCGATACTTTTCCGTGTGGGTTTTCGGCAACCACGGTGTACTCACCAGCGTCGGCTGCAGTACCTTTGGTGATAATAAGCTTGCAGTTGTCGTGGTCATCGTAAAGGAACGTAAGTTGTTTACTTTCCTTCAGTAGACGGCCATCCTTGTACCATTCAACTTCCGGTTCCGGGTTACCGCTGACCTTGCACTCGAATCTGGCGGCGCTGTTTTCAATGATCTCGCAATTCGTCAAGTGTTGTATGAAGACAGGGGGGCCTAGTGGCAAGCCATCTATAGGAAATAAGATCAGTGATTAACAATAACACACACAAGCGTACGTATGGCGGGAAGTTCCACATGGGTTAAAAAATGCCTATGCGCGAGAGGCACGCAAATTGTCTCACATAAAACCGGATAGGAGAGATGTAGTTCTCTGAAGATAGCAAATTCAACAAACGAAACTGAGATAATGAAGTAGAAGCAAATGAAGCAGTAGATCACACCGTTTTAAGTCGGATGAAGACCAAAGGGGTATTTCTAGTCTAAAGTCAAAGGTTCAGGAAAACTGTTAAGACACTAAAATACACTGATCGTATTAAGAAACTAGTGCAGCTCTCAATATTCACACTCTAAGATACCCTGCAGATACTCAGGCTATTCTGAAACCAAAACAGACGTCACCACAGGGGAGCAACACTGAACAATATCGTTCATTTTTCACCCATACTGAGAGACGCAAATGTTTAAAGAAATGTTAAAAGCACGTATTATGCCCTAATGGACAAAACAACAGGAAAGGCTGCTTGACAATAGCTTCGCTATAGCGGTGACATTTTCTGCTTCTTCACGCTGTTTTTAATATTAGACACACCACTTAGGCCATAGTCAACAAAACCGCAGGACATTTTCAATAGTGCTAGACAAAAAGCTTTCGGTCCAAACTTAAAGGTAGCGACTGATGTTTCTTGTCCCTTGCGATGTGGAAGACAATCATTACCGACAACCTGGGAAGTAACTTGAGAGTTTTTTTAACTGCTAGAGGGTCCACTCTCTGTGTATTGGTAAGTTAAGAGGGGCAGACTCTTGCTCTTGAAAGCATTTTCTGATTTTACGCGTTGGAGTGAACACGATTTTCACAGATGGGTGGACTTTTACAGGTGTTACAAAAAGCTAAAAAAAAATAATTCATAACTTTGAGGCCTTTTAAGAAACAATGTGTGCGCTTAAAGCACGAATAGGAAAACGGATAAATACAAGCAAACAAACATGTACGAAAAGTAAATATTGTAAAGAAGCTGCTCTGTAGGGCGTAAAACCATTCCTTTTCTGGCAGATTCCACAGTTTCTTCGTCAAAGCTGAAAAAGGTGTATATGGATGAAAAGGCCAGGGGGTCAGAAAAAAAAACACACACACACAACGACAAGTTTCAAGAAAGTTAAGATACAGATCTCTTTCTTCGCGCAGATAGCATATATAAATGGAAGAGATGTGTGATAACCTTGAAAGTGAGAACAATTTTCAAACAAAAGCGCCAAAGAAGAAAACAAAGGGAAAAAGCAACACCCGGAAAAGGTTTGCCGGTCATTTTTAACCCGCTTTCGTTGGAGTCACGTATCTTACTCCGGGTGATTGAGAAATATTCACTGTGATATAAAATATTCTAGCCTCGGAGAAACAATAGGACTGTAAATGAATTCTTAAAATTTGACCTTTGTTGTTTTAATTTATTTCCTGTTTCTGTGTACCCAACACTTTGAAGACAAAAAGAATTGGTGCCGCTCAAGAAAGGTATAAACCCGGAGGAATGTAAAACAGCTTCAAATTGTAACTTGAGCTGAGAACGAAAAAAATCATTTCAAACACATACATCCCAAGGAGTGTTTCTGACATTTCCCGGACATTTTGATAGACATAATAATCATCGACACAAGGCCGATGAAAAAAGCTATACAAGCTTTGTCTGGAGTCAAACGCTGCTGATCATGTCAGTAGCACATACCTTTTGAACAATCAAAACTTGAACAAACTGTACTTTAAGAGTCTTAGAATTATGAAGTATAACGCGACACCAGATTTAAGGTCAATGAATTGGAAACGTTCTTATGGATTTTCTGATAAGCTTCAAACGCGAACGGATATTTAAGTGATAACTACAGCTCGACATTCAATTCAATCCAATTCAATTAGAAAAACACGACTCCAAAATGCAACAAACGCGATACATAACGGTATTGAGGAATTGTAACACTTGTTATTTTGTAAACTTGTTCCATTCGACAGCAAGGCAACCTTGGCCCGGCGTGTTACCATACGGTATTTGAACACGGTAATTCACATCATATGTAAATAATAACTACTGTTTCAAAATTTCTGAACACAAACCTGTGATCTTGCTTTTGATATCTCTTCGCGTCGAAGAAAGCCTCCTGGTAATAAGTCGTGTAAAATCCATTGCGGACTTACAATAATCACCTCATCATAACTGAAGGAACTTTTACTGAAGCGATGCAGGAGTGATGTAACAACTGGCTCCAGGCTCAAAGTGAGGTGAAATTTGTGTGCGACACGTTATGTTCGCTTAAATGAGACAAAATACCGCTATTCTTTGCATGAAGCGAGTATTTTACATCCCTGTGACTTGTGGGCGAAAAAAACCGCTGCAATGTTCTCAACCCACTGCCAGACGTCTAATCGATTTAAAACATGTATTATGTTCTCGGGTCGGAACACTGCGAACAATTCAATCAAGAATGTTATTTGATACTACACGAAAGCTTCAAAAAACAACAAGAAGCCATTATAAATGTTTCTTTCTTTCTAGTCAAAACGCAATTGAAAAGAAAACATTTTGGCTCAAAGCAGTTATTTAAAGAATGCCTATGGGAAAGAGAGAAATCCAAATAAACTCAAGTGTAGAAAATGCGAGAGGAACAGACATAAGCTTATGGCAAGAGGGCACGGAGAGAGATTAAATTTCAAATATTTTTGAAAGGAAAAGAAAAAAATAACAAGCAATTTTTACCACGCAACTTTTGCAGGGAAACCTCGAAATATTTTACTCCCGCGCACAAAGTACACAGCCCTAAGTGCTGAACATTCAAATAAAAACAAATAAGCATGCAGTGAATTCCTTTAGTCACGCCGTCTTGATCTTTTAAGCTTATGTCATCAGGCATCCCGGCCTCAGTTTTCATTCATTCATCCTGTTTGATTAGGTCTAATTTACTAACTTTTGGCAGTCAACTTTTGGCAAAGTTTTACATTTATGTTGGGTAGGCGCGTATGACACATTTTTAAACTGAACGACAAAAAAGAAAAGGAGAAAAGCATGAGTGAAAAACACTAATTTGCCCTAACATTTCACTGTTTGCACAACTAAATCAATCCTTAACGCCTACATAATTTTCTACGTACAACTTCTACAGTTGTACATAGAATAGGTCGATGAACATCATTAATGACATCACAGACAATGCGAGTCTGCCAAAAAAAGATAGACAAAAATATCCATTGATGCTAAATATGGAACAAGAGATAAACAAGTGGAAGATCTCATTTTGGAACAACCAGCAACAAGCACGGGAAATTTAGTCTCAAGAAGACGGGAAAAAAAGGTACAAAAGGTACAAAAAATAAGCTAAAACACTGCCGACAAATGCGTCTGCTAGATCTGCATCGGATCTCAGTAACAAGCTAATGAATATGATAAGTGAAACAGTAAAGTCCACAGGCGAAAAACCTTAAGCAATCAAGAATAACCCTATTAAACGTTTAATTTTGTACAAAGGACAAAAATTCTTTGGCCTTCTTGTTAACTAGTTAAGCTTTTTCAAAGGATTATCGTAATCTTTCAAGACAACTGCCAGTAGGAAACTTTATAAACCAAGCTTAATAACAGAAATCCGGTGACCGCAACGAGTTGCACGTTGCATTGTCTGTCAGTTCGAGAAATAGGACTTTTGATATAATTATCAGGAGATGGGAAACAACACAAATTCCCCTGAGGGAAGAAAAAAGGTCAGTGCCCAATCAACGAGCAACAAAACAAAACGGATATACAATTTGTTTACCTAGAAAACACCAAAGAGTACTTAAAAACTCGTTTAACACGAGTTTGTGGGTTCCAGATGGAAAAAGAATTTGAGAATTTGTGTAGTGGTTTTTGTAGACAGGGGACGACCGCAGTATTCGAAGAAAAACATCTAGAGCAGCGAAGAGAAGATTGGAGAACTGAAAACACACTCAATAGGCATGGCGAAAACCCGGGGAAACGAACCCTTGCATCATTAGAGGTATCCTTTAAAAAAGGTCGCTCGTCCGATTTAATATAGCGCGGAACCTCTCGCGACTTCGTCGCTCGCCCGGCCACTCCGCGACCCATAAAAAGCTCGCTCCGCTCGCTCAGAAACTCATGTGGTCAATTTGTAGCAAGTCTACATTAGAGGGACAAGGCGCTCTCATCATTGAGCCTTTCATAAATTGTTACCGTAGTGAGTAACTTTAACCGAAAAAGAACTGAAGCTAAATGAACGAGGGAGATGGATAGGAAACGATCCAGAATGTTTCCATTATAGAAAAAAAAGGAAAGGAACAAAGGGTTATTGCTAGTACGCGAAGATAAATAAACAAAGGCATGCCAGGAAATAATTAGAATAATCTCATTATAAGATAACAGAAGCAATCATTATCTGTTTATCTATAGCATGCGGTACAAATTGTATGGGGAGAACGAGTTAGAAAATCGTTGGAGACAATTCATAGCGGGAAATGGAATAATGAGGAACTGTAAATGTACAGACCAGCCGTTGCATATAGGTACTCCCTATCACTTACGAGCACTTCAATGACTTTTCTAACATCAGGGATGATGCATACCGCTTGTGTAAAACCGGGTTTGGCTGACAGAAGAGAAAGATTACTGCAACAGCTGTCAATTGAAAGAAGAGGTCGAAGAAACACAAAGGCACAAGCCCAGCAGAAAGGAAAATACGATGAAAGGCGCCCTAAACACTACTGATACACAGATCAGTGATTAATACCGCCGGTATTGAGAAAATGGAATTAAAAACCCACTGGAACTCCCGACATGAAACCGAAACGAAAACATTTCCACTTGGTTAGTGTGATAATTGGTTAGAAAGATGCACGAGCACGTTGAGGCACGTGGAAGCATGTGTTGAAGGCGTGGTCGATTCAGGAGTGCTATACTTACGCGCTTCTGCCCGAGACACCGGGCTTCTCCTGCCGCTCAGGGCGGGACTTCTGCGACCCGAAAGACTCGGGCCAAGCGGTCCGGCTGGTGTGAGGCTATCACCTGTAGTTTTCCTTGGGTCCTCCTTGAAAATCCTTACTGGCTCCTTCCTCGGTTCAGGTTTGGTTGCTGTCTCCTGAGCCTCTTCCTTAGCTTTCTCCTCCTTCACCTTCTTAAGGAAGCCACCGGGTTTAGGAGCAGCAGCAGAACCTGCCGCAGCTCCACCCTTGCCTCCACCGGCCATCAGCCCACCTAAGGATCCCATCCTGCTCAGAGCACGAAGAGCGTTTGCTGTTCTCTGAAAGGTCAACATAAAAAGGTATAAAAAGGCTGTACCTGCGAAATTTGCTCCTTCTCTCTCCCTCCCTCCCTTTCTAGGGAGCCTTAGCACCGACGACGGCGACGGCAGCGAAAACGTCACTGCTAAAATGAATTTGCGTTTTTTCAAACTTCGTCGCGTTTATTCACATTCGCCGAAAATGTCAAATATAGGCGTATTTCCCTGGAGTTGACTTCTTGGGGACCGAACTCAAGTTTAAATAGAGAAAGAAAAATTCGTCGGCGCTTGTTTACGTCCCCCTTAAAGAGTGAAATTAGGTATTTGCACGTCGTAGTCGTGCAGTGACGGCAAAGAAATGTAGAAAAAAGGGTGATGCACGTGCAGAATTGTTGTTTTGCTTATCTTAACCTATTGCTTTTTCGAAGTTGTCGTTCTCCCTCCTGAGTCTGAAGTGGATGAAGGCTGTATACTGCTGCGGGGCTACTTGCAGCATTGTGTCACCAATCCTCTTTCTTAATTCATCTGGGAAAGGTGCAGCCTTGTACAACACAATTTGATCTACAACAGATACTTGATTTTAAATACAACAACAACCTCAAAAACTTACCGCCCAACGGCGACGAGCGATGAATTTTTTCAAGTTCTCCGTGCTGAGCTTTTGCGTCTTGATGGTCTTTATTTTCTGTTACAACAAACAAACAAAGTGACTGATTGCTTCTTCAGAAAAAAAAACAGGCGATACTAACAGGACCCTGAGTTTGATGTGCGAGATGATAACTAGGAAACGAGGTTGTCAAGTTGTTTTCCTACTTCCTTCTTGCAAACGTTTTTTCATTTTCTGTCGCGTGCAAAAACAAAAGCAATTAAACAATTGTTTAATTAACCATTCTAAATTTCATTTTGTTTAAAGGCTTGCGCAAGACCTACAGCTTTAAAATCCACTAACGGGACATTTCGAGTCTACCTGAGCCTATTTTTTAAAACGAGGGTAAGTATGAAAATAGTATTCTATCTCCGAGGGAAATAACGGAATACACCTAGCTAACAACTGAGATTTTTTGTGGGGGAGGGGGGATGGTTTGTTACGTGTAAATTTGATACCTTTAGCCAGTCGTGGTTCAAACACTGGAAAACGTCATTTCGTTTCCTGCAAGGAAGGCAATAAATATCAATTTTAACCATGTTAGACAAAACGAAGAAACTTGAGGATTACTTTGACAACTAGAAGGATCAATCACTGCGATCATTTGAATGTTTCAAGTTGGACGACACTTTCCTATTGAACCCCACCCATCCTTTCCTTTTAAGTAAAGGGATGGGTGCCTTTGCTATACTATGGAGTCTTTTAGACTGGATTAAAGGCGACCTTATGTCTAAAACCAATTCATTTAATTTTTGAAGTCTCATACTTTAAAAACAATATTGTGTGCATGAAATCCTCAAGTGTGACCAGTCCAATGAAAGCTAGGCTACACAAGAAGGTTCTACCTTTCGATTCTGTGAAGTAAATCATGCCTACAGTGAATCAGTGACAGAAGTCCTAGGTTGTCACCTTCTAAATGAAATCTCTGCGCCAGAAATTTAGTATTCGCCACTTTAGAAATGAAAAGGGAACTGGAGCCGAAATGTGTCCCACAATTGTTTCTGGAATCGTGTCTGGGGACGGGCGGTCAACTACTGGCCTTTTGTGCGACAAACGTGACATTGCTACTACTTGCGAGTTTTGTCGTGATGTTATCTTAAAGGAAAGTGAAGTCTGCCGAAAAGTTATTTCTTTCAAAATTATTGTCACGCTTGACACACAAGGCTTGCAGTCTTCGTTCCTTTCCTGTCCTGTTGCGTAAGTTCACTCCCTCGCACCAATACCAGAAGCCTTTACGAACTCGGTCCAGTTCCCTCTCGTTTCTTAAGTGCCTAATGGTACTTAAATTTGAGCCCAAAAATTCGTGAATTTTCTCAATGCAACTTGACAGCTCTTCTGGGAGTAAAAGGTTAATTAACTACTGCATTCATAGACCAAATTGGCTTACTCAGGATCCTTTATAAGCAGTTCCTCGATAAATTGCTTAGACAGCTCAGAGATGACGTCAAAAGCCTCATCTTCAAAATCCCATTCAGCGGTGGATACGTTTTGTATCGTTTCGTTGTCATCGTCTCCCATGAAGGGCGATAAACCACTGAGCCTACAGAGCAGAAACATAATCAGGAAATGGATTGCATAGCCTGGGACGAGGTTCCTTGGTGAGAATAAAAACTCATATCGGCAAGCGAATTGAGCAACCCGACTGTTCACAGGCTACAATTACAAAGTAGTGGTCCCCGTTAAAACAAGTTTCATATGAAAAAGGCTGGTGAGTTTTTTTGCCACTGTCCTTACCACGAAAGATATCTGAGTAACATCACAGTTGTGCGCGAAAGTTGTGAAAAGATAGCCTGGAAAAAAATATCAGGTTTGAACGGGATTCGAATCCGCGCGGTGCAGTGCTCCCTCTCTCGGCGTTCTCCCGCATTTCAAGTATATGAAATATAAATTGCTCTCTTCAATAACTTCATCTTCTACGGGTATATTACGAGCTCACTAATCAAATGACCAGCTCCCATTTGTCTTGAAGGTTAGTGGTAAGAGCACTGCACCGCTTTTGCAATGGATTCAAATTCTGTTCAACGAGACCTATTTTTTTTTCAGGATTTCTTTTCGCAACTGCTTAAGTTGCAAACATAACTGCCGTGATCTTTCACATGTTAAATCTAAATCCCGAATTGTGAATAATCTATGTAACATTTCATCCATTTAGTTTCATAACACAGTGAACTAAGTAACGTAAGTAAAAAATTAATACTCACAGGACATATGCTATGACTCCAACACTCCTATGAAAGAAAACATTGAAGGCTATTTTAGCGAGACTAACAAAGTCAAGTTAAGGACACAACGCTCTCAAACACGCCCTTAATTTTTTTCCGGTTTTTTTTTTTTGTGTGCGTTTATTCTGCACGCGGATAAAAAGAAACACGATAAAAAGAAAGTGGTAAGGAAATGAGACATGACAAGGCAAACCATAAGCTGTAACTATTATCTTCACACGCGATTGAGCGAACTGTCGATTGCTGTTTGAGTTAGTTTTTCACTACGCAATATAGTCATTCACTTTTTGTCAACCTGGGGAAAGAGCCGTCTCCCCTCGCTAGGGACGTTTCGTAAAGAGACGGCCCTCCTGGCAAAACGTTCCTAGCGCCGAGGAGCGATGGCTGTTTACGCAGGCTAAGTTTCTGTTGGTTCCAGTTCCACTCACCACATGTCGCTGGCTAGGCTGATGGGCTCATAGCTGATGACTTCAGGCGCTAAAAAAACGATAAACAAAGCATGGTAATTACAAAGACAAGGGCCTTAGGGTCCGATGTAAAGGTGGATTTGATGTGAAACCTTCAGCTTGTATCAAAGAAAATCGGATATAACCGAAAACGACCACTTTCATCTCCTTCAAAAACTTTGGGGAGAAAGGGAACAAGCTCTGACTGGTTGCAGAGATTTCTAAGAGTCGTTTCGGTGGACAAGCGTTAGGTATGATTGGTCAATAAGAAAGCATCTAAGGCAACCATTAACATAAGAAACGCTTGTCCACCGTTACGCCGAAAGCTTATACCCATTCCCTTTACAAGCGAGATGTCTCTATCTTTCAAGTTGGTGGATGAGACTGAAATTTTTTGTCGACTGTCTTCTTGTTTTAACGTTCTTTACCAATAAAAGAAACGCTTTTCACTTTTTCCACATACAAACTTTAAATCTAGTTTCGCGCTGTGGTATTAATTTTAAGGAAAAAAAAGTCTGTGCACAGTCTTACCGTTTGCTAACTAACCTACAAATTCCGGTGTGCCGCAAGCCACTTTAACTGATTTTCCTTTCTCTAACGCACGCGCCATTCCAAAGTCAATCAACTTGAGGTCTTCTTTTCCGTCAGGGCGGATTACACAGAGAACATTTTCAGGCTATTAGGAGGAAAAGGAGCAGAAATTGTAAATAACAAAGAAAAAGAGAGCTTAAGCAAAGGCGAAGACGAAGGCCAAGACGCAAGGCGACGAGAACGGCAAAAAAAGCAATAGATTAACTGAGAAGACAAAACAACAACCATGCCCGTCCAAACGAGCACGATTAACGGGTAAATGAAAAATGGGAACAAAACCAAACATGAATCTTAGCCCTATCAGTAATTTCATTTTTAATTCTTTGTTTTGGTCCCATTTTTCATTTTCCCGTTCCCTACGCTCGTTCTGACGTGAACACAAGATCGATTTTCCTTTTCTTTTCTGAACTTAGATACAGTCCTTTAGAATTTAACTCCAAGAAAATTGCAAACATTTGACAAATTGATTTAATGAGATGGAATATAATAAAAGCGAACAAGTTTGAAACGGCCCGAATTCACTATTGAAGTGACATTTTCGTCCGGTCGCTGTCGTGATTGCTTTAGCTCCCTAAAATCGCGTGGCTGTACAAGATTGTTCGATCTTTGACAATTCCTTTTTTGAAAAGACCAATAAGTTTTGGAAGGTTTCTTTATTTTGCTGCACTAATATAATTTTTTTTGGTTATAGGTTTTAAGAAAACGTCACAGAAGGAGTTTCTAATGGTGATACTGTATTATAGGGCTGAACCCGCGAGGGGGCAAAGTGAAGCAAATTCGGTGTTCTAATTGGCTACCCGAGGGGGTTAAGTAGGGCCCATATTGCTGCTCGGGATTTCTCGCGTTAGTCCCGCAAGGATAAGTTCTCTTTGCCATAATATTATGGATATACTGGTCTTGTTCTTTTTTGCTTTTTATTGACCTTGACCTTGCCCTGCTCATAGCTTAGTGACCGTAAAAGCCAAGATGAATCACCCACCTTAAGATCTAAATGAACAATTCTCTTCTTGTGCATGTGCTCAACGCCCTGAAGAATTTGCTTCATGTACCGAACAACTTCTTTTTCTGTTAGGTTGTCGTCGTTGCAAACTTTCTCAAACAGCTCACCTCCAGATATTCTGCAATATTACAATGTTTTAATACACCAGTAATTGAAAACTGTAGCACACTTGTAAAACAGAAAAACTGTCCAATTAATTTGTTATACGAAACAACATCGTTCCCTAAGAGGGATTTAGGCTTTCAAGTCTAGAGAACATGCAACTAAGCGGTTACTTACTGGACATATATGCTTGTTTCAGAATTTGACCTTACATACTGCTACGCTCAAACTCAAACTTTTAGTCTTTGCATAAAATCCCAAAACAAAAAACGACCATCCAAATAAAAGCTGATGGCCAGTATATTTATTGGTACTGTCAAATATGAGGGTCTCAATGGGGTTAATCGTCAGCCGTCAAAAGGCCTAAAATTTAACCGTCAGCAGTCGAAACGATCATTTTTTCCCGCCAACCGTAGATTAAGTAGATTAATATTAACCGACAAAAAGCCGGTTTCAAGGTATTTCAAATCTCACTATTTTAGCTGGTCTTCCCGGACTGCTGGCTCCTGAAGAATCTCTAAACAAGAAAAACCTGTTCCCATGTTCTCAAAAACAATCTCTAGAAATTGTAAGACCTTACAACTTGCTTAAATTTCATAGGTGAAAGGTCAAGACAACCTCCAAACTAAACACAACAGTTGATATTTACTTTAACTTTAAATCTTGGACTAAAGTTTTACTGAAAAACCGTCAACCGTCAAAATTGGAAAAAAATGACCATAAAACGTCAAAGCTACCACCCCTTTCAGACCCTCAAATATGCTGCACAGGGTGTTCTAAACACGGAATCTGTGGATGAAATCCTAAAACACGGAATAAACACGGAATCTGTGGATGAAATCCTAAAGCGTGATTGCTCAGATAAAAGTTTCTGAGAATACTTTCCTGTGGTACTGTTTGGCACCTTTATGATGTCATGGCTTTAAGTTCTGACTAGTCATTTCACTCATTCTTCTAAACCTGGTACTTAGCTCCGAGGTTAAAAAGAAAGACAGGAAAAAAAACTCTAAATTACAAATTAAGACAGACGTGCATGTAGTGAACAGAGCAAGTACTGAAACAGAAGAGTAACATTACTTACAATTCCAACACAATTATCATCTCTTTGGGTCTTTCGTAGGCGTCATGAAGATAGATGAGCCGTTTACTGTGCAGTTTGTTCATGATCAACATCTCCGCCACAACTTCTTCTCGGGACTCTTTAGTGATCTTCAGAAACTTGGCAGCATATTCGTTTCCAGTGCTCTTTTCTTTAACCTTTTTCACAACGCCAAATTTTCCCCTGTAATCAGGAAACAAGTATATTGAGTCGTAATTTCAAAATTATTGGGAAGTTTAAGATATCATCGACGGCAACGAGAACGCTAAAATTGAACTATTTTAAAAAGCTAAACTACTTTGCATGCGCTCCACGCTTTTCGCACATTTCTCTACCGTCTCTGCACGACTGTAACGTGAAACGTTCTAATTTCACGTTTCTTGGAAGAATGTATACACAACTGACAAGATGACGAATTATTCTTTTTCGTTTTTGACTTGGTTACGGTCCCAAAGAATCAAACTCCAGGAGTCTTCACAGACCTAAAGTTGAAAAATTGAACAAGTTGGAATAATCGTGATGAGGTTTAAAAGAATGCGAACCCCGAGTAAGGTTTCCCGCTACAGTCGCCGTCTACGTAACAACCACTGAAAAGGGATGTATGACATGGACCGAGTGTTTGCAAACTGTCTGTAAAGCACTGCTCCTTATTAGTTTCCCATCGCAGTCTGATAGTAAAATATTCTCACTATTATATAGTCTTTACTGAATACTATCTTTATTATGCTAATTTGCTGAGACCCGCTGTGTACAGTATACAGACGTGATCAGTTCAACATAAGCATTTGAATATACACTGGACGGGGAGTTGAAACAACGTTTGTTTAACGTATTTCGATATTAACTTCTTACACTGATAACAATTAAATACTCCCGTCCCTGTCGCGGGAATTAAATGGCCTTAGAACTAAATAATTTCAACTAAATCAACATACTTTCCGAGCTCCTTTAGCGAGGTATAGGTGTCCTCAAATTTTTTGTCGGTTGCCAAGTGGACTGGATCCCTCAATGGAAGGTCAAGATCTTTACTGTCTACATCACTATCACCATCTTCGACGTCATCTTTACAGAACGAGGAAAACAGAGAAAAATAAGTTTGCGTTTCAGTTAATAGTAACTATAGCAAAGTTACCTAACCCACAGACAGAGTAATTAAGTTTTCAACAAGAGAATTGGGCGTGCGTGGAAGGCACAAGGCAAAAGTATAGGTTGTGAAAGTATTCTTTTTTGGAGGTTCAAATTGTATTCGTTTATTGTGATCGAATTGTCTACCATTACCATAGCCCCACCCTTTTCCCCCTGAAAATATATGGGACGCCGGGCTGAATTAGTCGGACAGAAAAAACGCCGTCCCTCTTGTCCATTTCTTTTTTTTTTCATGCGCCACGCTTAACTGTCTGAACGCCTGGAACAAATGAAAGCAACTGAGCAATACTTTCCTGTGGTACTGTTCATTATGCTGTACAAGGTGGTTCTAACTTTTGAGTCTATTGATGAAATCCTATGGTGTGACCATTCAAATAAAAGCTACTGAGCAGTACTTTCCTGTGGTAATGTTTATTATGCTCCACAAGGTGGCTCTCAACCTCGTCCCCAGGTTTTCTCTCCGACCCCAGAGAACCCTGGGAACGAGGGTGGGTGGCTCTAACTTTTCAGTCTTTAGATGAAATGCTCACATCTCTTTTAAATGAAGGCTCATATGTTCTCTACTTTGCTCCGTTACGGCTAATCACGATCACATGTCACTGTCTTGCCAACTCACCGTTCGCAATATCTTCATCTCCTGCTCCGCTAGCATCGTTTTCATTGAAGGGTTCTCCCACTACAAAGAAGACAATTCAGACAGACACAACAATCGATTGTATATTGTCTTATTTTCGCGTTGGCACAGCCGACCCTGTGGGACACCACATGGTGAAACAATCAAAAAAACAAATTTGTTTTCTTTGTTTCACGCAGCTCCATGACATTGAACAATTATGGCATGAGCGCGCGTTTGATTGAGATGGGAGAGATAGCCAACGAGACGCATCGAGTTATCAACAAGCAAGGAAAGCAAAAAATAGAGATTTAAAGCAAAAAATAGAGTGATTCGTAAATAAATCACACTCCTGAGAGCCTATTAGATTGCAGGGATCACCAGTGATTTAATAATGGATGTAATAAATGATAATAAATGTTACTAATTTATTTATCAAGATTGCCAACGATCTCACAACTTTTTCTATGACAAACGATAACGACTCGTGTACAATAGCGACTTAGCTAATCAAAAACAAAAGAATTCCATTATACAATAAACCATAACTAACAAAAGGCCTGATGTCATCACAGTCTGCGTGACAAGAAATAAGAAGGTAGAATCTCCTTAACTCTTATCTCCTTAACTCCTTAGAATCTCCTTAACTCTTAACTCTTCACGCCATTCCAGGAGGTAAGTCACCGTATTAAGGGGTTAACAAAATGAGGACATATCATGTCACGCTATTTACCTTCCACGGTAAGAGTCACTGTACACTTGTCCTCTCCAAAGTCGTTCTTTACGACACATGTGTAATCCCCTTCGTCTGATTTTTCCACATTCTCGATCTCGAGCTCGGAGAATTCTTCCGCTGTTTCAATCAGCAAGCGTCCCTCATCTGCCAATTTTGTTTTACCCTTATACCATGCCCCGGATGGAATAGGGTTTCCAGATATTTCACATTTGAAGGCGACTGTGTCTCCAACACGCGCTTTCTGTGATTTGGGTGCTTTGTCGATTTTCCCTGGAGCTAGAAAAGAAAGCGACCCTAACTGTTAGGCCTGAACCCTTCCACTTTCAGAGCTACTCATTGTCAAGAATAACTAAGTTTTAATTTTTGCGTTTGTGGACAGAGTATTGAAAAAAGTTGTGTTATGTTGGTTTAACGTTTCACAACTCTACTCACGACTATGAAGACAACATTCGTTGATTGACTCGTTAAACAGTTACCAGTCACTTTAAGGAAGAAATACATATGGAGCTCTTGCCGGCTATCTTTCCATTGCGCTACAAAATTGTTCGGCTTTTGTGTTAACGAAAGCAAATAACAGCTATTAGGAAAGCAAACTCATTAACGTGTGCTCTCTAAGATAGTCGATCTGTGAAGGACGAATACGGTAATGATCACCATTTAACGTGACACAGCACCGATTGAGTTTGGTATGAAAAACAAAACAAGTGACTGAGAGAAAGAAAAAGATGCTAATTTGCAAAGTTAAGATTATGCGCGATTTTGATGTATAACCAATGTCAAAAGGAACAATAGAGCCGTGCCTTGGTTTACTAGTTAAGGGTATGTGTAGTCTCCTTATAAATACAGTAGATACAATATTTGAAAGAGAATCACTCAGTAACGAAGTTATCTAGGTTATGCAAAACATAGTACTTGTTGACATATCTCACAGTCGGGTGCAGCCCTTCAAAAAAACCACCGTCACGGAATTAATACTGTGGCTACTAGTAGCGGCGTGCTTATTGTAAAAAGAAAATCCCTGACATCTCTTGTTACATTATTACAGTTTCAGTCATCTTCACAAGACCGCTGTATTTATTCAGCGAGCTCAAAACGTTCGAGTGTAATACATAGCCCGAATGGATATTTCAAAACAATGTTTGCCAGATAGGGAAATGAAATCTCTTAGTTTGAAAGTAAAGTGTGCACTATAAATTGTGTCGCAAAAGAAATCACCAATAAATGATATAATTTGGGCAGGCCCCTGAAGAAATTAATGGAAAATTTAGAGAAAATCTAATTTTAAGTTATTGTATATATAAACCCAAGAACCGCGATAAAACTAAACCGGGACATTATACATGATATATCAGGTACTACATTAGCGAGACCATCTCGTGTGTGAGAAGAAGACCTTTACAGCACTTTGGGCCTAATTGAAAGCGACAGTTGTACACGCGAGTTCACCTGAATGAACAATTATGTTGGAAAATAATGGCAAATGGCGAGACAGTACCCTTTATTATTTTTAAATCAAAATTTCCACCGCTTAATCACTTTAAACGTTGAGCAATCTGTGAGTAATTTAAGTCGAAGTTACACATTTAACCCTACGTTCTTGACAATGGATCTATCCAACAAAAAACCTCACATACTTGAACAGAATTAAACTAGAGTATTGTTTCAATCTAGCTTGTAAGACAGCTGGAATGAAGGTGCAAAATGGAATGCTTGAAAATGCTAGGAAATAGAAGAACAAGAACAGATGTGTTGATCTTTGATGTTTTACGCGTGCCGGTCTTTTCAAGGAGGAAAAGGCGACCTTTTGTAATGTCGATAAATTGCGTCAATAGCACTCTCAAATATCATTCTAGAACTTACTTTTTTTAGTAGGCATGATGTGCTATCCCAGTACAGCTGGTGTATAAACAACGGTTTTGAAAACACGCAACTTTCCTAGCTCACAAGATCTGCTATCAATTGCTGGAGAGATTTTGACCTATGATCACGCAAAGTTCATTAATTGTTTTGAAAGGTTTATTGAAACGATCTAAATGGCGGCAAAGGACATTTTTGATAACAATAAGGAATGTATGTACACGGACTTTCGAAAACAGCAAGTCACGCACTTTATCTATGACAGCGCACGTCTGTTTCGTAGATATTGGGGAACATCATATCCGTCTTGCTCATTTCCTGGCAAACAGCAGTAAGCCACTGGTGGAAACGTGAAGGTTATCTCGCTTTTTAAGAATCAGAGAACAAAAACTTAAGTATAGTTGAGAACTTGTTATGTTGCAGACATCATTCGGACTTGAGCAAGGTCACTTGTAAGTATCCGGAACTGTTCGCCTAAAAATATGTTTTAAAATGAACTGGGGAATTTAACGAGGGTGAACATACTGCGAGGTACATCAGTGAACAAAAGTAATAACAATTGAAAACTACACATCACAATTCTGCAAGTACATCGTACACACTTCAGTGTAACAAAAGCAAATAGCAGTTATCTCTAGAAACATCAACATTCCCGCACAGGGCGGAACGAATGTATTTATATCGCACTTTTTCCGAGGTTAAGGTTACAATACGGACGCGAGATATTGCAAGCGCGCTTTGATGTATGTAGGGAATCACTAAGTTATTTGACAATTGTTACTAAATAAACTGATAACGAGGATACTGAGTAGATAGAGACGATTATGCATTTGTACCCCTGCCTGTGGTCACCAGAGGAACCACTTAGCAGACCCCTGCACAGGTTAAAACGGCCCGCATTTGAAATAATACACCTTTTCGGAGTTACTCCGAGTAGTGGCTGACGTCGAAATTCAAAATTCAAAATTTCATGTCGCAAAGTACAAAGAAACAAGACGCCTAAAGTCGTTTCCGTGGGATGCGTTGGTCTATGGAAGCATAATGGCGTTCTATCTAGGTAAATGGAACAAAACAAAAACAAAACATCCGCTTGCTTTATCCAGGATTCGACAGGATCGAACCCAGGGTTACAAAGTGCGATAACGTTCCAATGTTTTAATCCAAGATGAAAGTTTAATATTCCAAGATGCTCTTGATACGGTTAAAAATTAATTGCAATGTGTTTCCAAGGTCTCAGAGTTAACATAGTTCCAATGATTATCCCTGATTCCAAGGTATAATAAGTTTACTCATGTCCTGATCCGTGTCCCATCCAGAAGTCCAATCCATGCCGAAAGCGAGTCGTCGATCGACGAGGACAATATTTTCGCGATTTCAACGCCAATCGTCAAGGGTACGAGTTGAAATTTACGCGATTTGACCTCCCATCGTCAAGGTGTTTTCGATAAGAAAAGGAAAAATCTGAACTCTAGTTGTGCTCGGCAAAAACTGGCCAACTCCGAATAGAAAAATCTATGGAAAATCATGGCCCGCTGTCACAGTGATATGTGTATCCCCGTGATATGTGTATCCCCATACACATATCCCTAGTGATATGTGTATCCCGGGTGGGGATACAATAAACACTGATGCTCATCCACGAAACAATAAGGAAATATCTTCTCTTGCTAAAGGAAATGTCGTCGATATCATCTAACATAACTAGTGACACAACTAGGGTTAAGACAGGAATCAAACAACATGCAAAGGTGGAATATTGTGGCGCTCGCAGAAAGGGATACACATATCACTGACCGGGCGCAGAGATATGTGTATCCCCTCTGTATTTTTTGACTTTTCGAGTTATCCCTTGCTGAATGAAATTTTGTCAGTCATACTTATTTAACGCGAGTAGTGACACATGAATTATAATCACGTTGGATAAGGAGAGGAGCGAGAACGAATGTTTACATCAACATTGCGGCCCACGAAGAAGTAAACTCGCCAGAGACAGCTTTGCGATTATTTTGTCTCGAATCGTTGCTCTTTTGTCGATTGTGTTGCTCGTAATGTTGAATCATTTGTAGTCCCTTTGACGATGATTCGTAGAATTCACAAAAACAACAGAAATAAAAACCGACACTTGTTTGGAGGGGTGGGGGGTAGGGGATACACATTTCACTGGCAGCCATATTGGAGGGATACACATATCACTAGGGATATGTGTACGGGGATACACATATCACGGGGATACACATATCACTGTGACACCGCAACCAGACGCCACCAAAACCTTATGAAAAAGCTAGACCTAAACAAAAAAGAATCATGAAGGAAAGAAATAATTTGGCTCAGGTCACCTTTCGTGACTTGCCAGTATCCCGAAGGATTTCGCTGGTTAACAAGCCATCCTAAACCACGAGTGGGAAAACTCAAGCGCGACAAATTTGGCAAGAAACGTTCTGATTTCAACTTGCCACAGGCATCCCACGGAATAAACGACACCAACTAAGTACTGCAAAAACCGTTTCACTGGAACGGTGACACTAAGGCATTTTGACTATAGACTGAATCAAAAGTTGGAACTACTTTTTTGAAACCACACGAGCGATGGTAACCAAGACGACTCAAAAAAAGTAAATTCAGATTCCTCTTAAGATCACTGCCATTGGTTCAATTCGGTCAACTTCTCCAAAGTAGGCCTTTTTTTCTGGGGGTTAAACTCCTACGTTCAGAGAGAAAAAAGCAAATTTGTCGTCTTGTGTTCATGCCTTGTAGGTCGCATAAGAAATTTTAACTTCACAGTTGTGCCAGAGAAGAGAAGCGAAATACATTTAAAGTGTGACGCATTTGCAGAATTGTTGTTTTGCCTAATAAACCGTTTGTATTTTTTTGGCGATCTCTTTGCCCTCGGCGTCGTAATTGTAGTTGCTTAGGCACCCTAATGGGCGGCCTAGACGGGCACGCTATGTAATACATATACCTAGTCACTTGCATTTAGCTGTAACTAAGCCTTCATTGTGCCTCTGTATAGCAAAAGAGCCCACTTAAACATGCGACCAAATAAACAAAATAAATTAATCTCTAAGCCTCGCAAGCACGCAAGAGAAAACTCGATGAAAACAACTGAACCGTTGTAAAGATTTCTCAGGCGAAAAGCTAAAATATATTAAAAGTGCACGACAATAGAGATTAAACGCAATTTTTAACAAAAAGCTTTACCCTTTATAAAACTCGTAGTTAAAGCTCAGTCGAAACAATTAGACGTGAAAATCAAACAAACCAAACAATTTGAGTTCGTGACTTTTTAAAAAATTTGCAATTCAATATAAAATAAGGTACATTCCACAACAACTATTTCTGCCTGGATGATTGTTACTTAAACTCAGACTTATTTGGCGAACATGACATGAAACGAGACATAATTGGTCAAACTTTTTGAAGGTCATCTTTGGTTGGCATGACGCTCTTAAAAAATTCTAAAAAAGTCCTATAATTTAGATCAACCTTAAAGCATGTGCATGAAATATCTTTAACGCCCTCTATAATTTATGTACAAGCTGATGTTTATTTTTCAAATAAGCTAAAGTGGACATGCTTTGAATTAACCTTCGCTCTCTACTCCTGAAGTCAATTAAGAAGGCATGACACAAATAACGTAGTTCTAACTTTTGAGCCCGTGGATGAAATTCCAATGTGTGACCATTCAAATGAAACCTTTTTGGCTGTACTTTCACACGACTCTATTGATAATTAATTATTTCACAACATGAGAATTACAACTTTTTGTTCTGTCATTCTTGGAGGCTAGGAGTAAGGATGCGTCTCCTAAACAACGTGAAACTCACCATTCACTATAAGTTCAGCTGTACAGCTCGCTGTCCCATTTTCATTTGTCGCGCTGCATTTATACTCCCCTTCGTCCATTGCGCTTGTTTCGCTGATCTTCAAGGTAACAAGGTCACCGTCTGTAAGGAAATCGAACCGTCCACCTCTCTTTATCTTGTCGCCATCTACGAACCACTCGATGTCAGGAAAGGGATCTCCTGCAACGCGGCAACGAAGTTTCGCGGGCTGACCGACGCGCACTTCCACATCTTCGAGTTCTTCTGTAAACTTGGGTTGCGCTAAAGGGACAAAACCATATTCCCATATTCAATACTTGATTAATTCTTTGCCTTTTATTTCAAACGATTAAAAGAAGCAGAATACGAAGCAAATAAGAGTTACACAGGTAAAAAAACCGTGACAGAGGATACCTCAGACTGGTTTGAGGGTTTGAATTATAGACGTTAGCTATATTTATATCACATGTAATCTCACTTTGTTTTAGATCATAACAAATGGAAACCGTTAACTGCTAAATCCGTAATTGGGTTTTTGTTTGCAAACAACACGTCTTTTATGGAGTAGATATTACCCGAAATACCAGCACACGTAAATATTATCTTGCTTAAATTTAAACTTTCTACTCGAGACCTGCTTGATTTCGGTTATACTATTAGTTTTCGAATTGCATGTGATTGTAAGCTCGACGAAATCCAAACTGAAGGCAAGAATAACTCAAATACTTGTCTACATTCTTACCCAGCGCAAAGCGATAACCTGAAAATTATACTTCGAAATACCTTTGCGAGATCGCCTTCTCGCTCTACGTTCATCGACTTTCTGGTCATTCGCGTTGTAATCGCGTTTTGGCGAAGACCGTTCAGAATAGGCGGATGAAGACCCGTACGTTCTCGAAGAACCGTAAGACCGGGAACTCATTTTAAAGTGAAGTTATGTCACTAACAGCGACCACGATGCAGAAATACCAAACAGCATGAGATTCCAAAAAACACAATTCGCATCAGATATCAGATGATATCGGTCCCCAGAAACGGTACTATAAAATAAATGCCGTATTCGATGGGTCCAGGGATGTTAAAAATTCTTTAGATTAATCAGTGCCAGGTGGAGAGCATGAGGAATTAACATAATTAATATTGCCATTAATTGATGGGCAACCAGCCGAGGAGGTTTAAACAAGGCGATAAAGAGACATACTATCAATTTTGATGCTTCCAAAGAATAAATTACGTTCTTTGCAGAAACAGCAGGGGAACTCAATGATTATGCCTAATTTACGGCCAAAAGTCAACCTCTAAACCTGTGTGCTTTATTTTTTTCTGCTTTTAATGTATTTTTATGTATGTACGATGATGTGCTTTGACTATAAAGGGTAAATTCTAAAACACTTGAATCTTGAGACAAAATCACTATGCTCCATGGCAATTAAATGGAAAAAAAGGGATTAAAAGTCATTTGTTAATCCTAAAACAAAGGACTATTTTAAGGCGCGTGAGTACCAATACAAAGAAAATTATTAAAAATGCTTTTGTCTAGGTGAATGGTGAAATTTACTGAATCGTGCGTCACTCTCGCTTACGACCCTCAAAACCCTTCCAATGGCCAAACTTTTATTTCTCTTAATATGACCCTGAATCAATCAAACATACATGAGAATAACGCAGATAATCACCAAAAAAGTTGACAGAACCAGTGAGGGAAAACGGTACCAAGACCTTACTGATATCAAAGCCACCGCATAGTACCTTATTTCGCAGTCAACTCTCTCTTTTCTTTAGGACTGCTACCGCTAGGGTTAGTCCCCGCTGTTCGTCCTAGCTCTGAGGGTGTCAGTTTTCGTGAGAGTTGATTGCGGTTCTATTATGATGGCCTTTACTGTTAGAATGAGTGAATCTATTAAAATGAGACTGCTGTCTGACACTTTTCAGTGGCATTGCTACCTTTACGTCAGTGTGTTGGTGAGATAATGCTGCTGAGTTTGTGCTGATCATCTTTTCAAGTTAAAAATTAACAGATATTAACATCGGCCGTTTTCACACTGGAGACGGTCTGAGACGGATAACTAATCTTCAAAATCCGTCAAAATTGATGGAAAAACAGATGGATAAAGTCAGGCGGATTGTCCATCCAAACTAAAGACCATTTCATTTTCAGATTAATACGTATTATCTGTCTGAAGCGTATCATCTGTCAGGCGGATAATCAGTCTCTGGAGTGAAGTTTTAGCTGTTTGGGCAGTGGTCTCCCATTCGCTTTGTTTGACTAGAAACAAACTATACAAAACTATCCCACGATATTTTGAATTCTTATCCTCCTATTGCATCAGATAATATTGTGAATTACCTTCCCCCGTTTCCTTAAGCCGCGCCAGCTCCGGCTCAGATGCTTCAGAGCTTAGGTCTTGAGCGATATCGTCTTCTACCCCAGCCTCAAGCTCCGCCTGGACTTCTGCACCAGGAATTTCCTCATCAAACCCTCGTTCGCGCAACCAGCTCGCTGGAACCCAGCCTTCCTTTGCCTCCCCATCTTTAACAGTCTGTACGAAGTAAAGATCACGACCGGAACGGAGAACTCGAACTTCTTCGCCGCGGCCCATTACTGTTTCGTGGGTTTCTCGTTCTAAAGTTTCCTCAGACAACCGATAGGTGGCACCCAGTTGGATGTTCTGAATAAAATGGTTAACAAAAGTTACAAATGTACTTTACACCATATTGAGTTACAGTCAAGCTGATCACTAATGTCCAGGTTGGCACGCACCTTCAAATTTTGCCATTTTCCTATGTTTGCGCAAAATCGCAAAAATTGAAAGGTTGACCAATTGGCGTAAACAACATGCATGCATTATGGTGTCAAAAATTTTGTTTGTACATTCTCTGATTACAGCCACCCATTGCGGCATCCCGAGGGAGGATGAAGAAGTTAACCTACTTCATATATATTACCCACCCGATACTGCTTAACAGCGGGAATCACCGCAAGAGATTTGCTACGCCCCTAATAGTTCTATATTATAGCATCTTTACCAGCGTCTATAGCAGTTCGTGCTGTATAGCGATTTTTTGTAGCCAATTTATTATGTTAAAGACATTTTTGTGACAAGTGAATACAATTCGTAATTTTGAGCCTTTGGTGTTGGTTTTGACTAACAGTACCCACGCTTTTTACCGAATAAAGCTAAACGTTACACCTGACTTACCATGCCTGGAAGAGGCTCGGGGGAGTCTGGGGGCGTAATGGCCACGTACTGCTTCTCAACCTCAGCAATCAATCGAGAGTATGAAGGACTGGAGATAGTCTCCTTAACAGTCGTCACCAAGTTCCCTTCTGAGAGTGAACGGGTGGGAACCTGGACCGAGAATTCTCCGTAGACAAGCGACGGTGCTATGGTAGTAATTTGTGACTCTGTAAAAACAACATTAAAATCGATAATGGGTCAATCAAAATTAACCAATGTGCAATCAATATATTGTACTTCAATCAAAACTAATCAGTGTCATCAATGATTGTGGCAAACACTTGGCAAACACAAAGAAGAGCAAGTCTGACACGACAGCGTATAAGAAGATTACAAGCAGTCCTACGTTAGCCCCTAGGAGCTATAGAGAGAGGTAATGCAAACAGATAAACTAGTTAGTAAAAATACGATGTCTCAATGAAAGATATATATTAATTTTCTCCATCTGGGTAACGGGACGTGTTATTATTCATTTTGAAGTCGTAGGAGCTCAGTCCATGTTCAATTGGTCGCTTAGGAATGAACAAAAAATAGCAAAAACCATCATGCCAAACAATCACACGAGAGGATCAAAGTATAGTGCTTTGACAAAAAAATATGTCCTTGGGGTTGTCGCACATAAAGGTTAAACCGTATTGCGCCATTTCCATTAACGGATTAGAGCTAAAAAGTCCCTTTAGAAGCAGTTGGTATAAACCGTATTGACCGACATTTCATCAAAGAGAGAAGTCATATGTTCATTAGCTTGTGCAACAAAAAAACGTTCAAAAGAGTTTTCTTATAACGTTTTAAAACAATACCAAAACAGATATTCAGCCCCTTTATCACCCTGAGTCTGTCACGTGACGAACCAGTCAACTGTGACTCACCTCCACTCAAATTGAGCAGTCGTTTGATGTCTCGTACCCAGCACTGCTTTGACCACTCTGTCTTTGTCTATAAAGATAAAAGGGGTTGTTATGACAATCCAAAACGGCAAGAAATTAAAGAAAAGATTTGTAACTGGCAAATTCAAATTTTGGTTGCAAAAAAAACGTCAAATGGGAAGTTGCCACCACGTTCACGTCTGTGCGTGAACGATTGGGCGCTTTCTGATATGGGGCTGTTTTCTCCACCAGTTTTAAAGAACGTGGTGAATGTTGATATTCATCTCGTAACACTAGCAAAGTAGAGATTTACTTCACCAGTCTCTATGTCATGGGGATAGGGGTGATTCCCCAAAAAGGTTGAAGAACTACGCTCCATTGAAATTAATACCCATCCTGTTTTACCTTACTGGCTCCCATGACTCCACTCCCCCACCCCCTAAGGTGTCTCTCCTTTGAGTTGTGTCATTCACAAGGAAGTGATGACGGCCATTGGGTAGTCTCTGTTACACCGTAGGAAATGTAATCCTTCTAAACAATTTAAATTTCGTGTTGCTGGCTATCAAACTGAGCACGGCGTTACGTTTATAAATACAAGATTACCAAGATTAAAGCCACTAATCAATGTTCTCGACTTTGCTGTTTCAGTCGATGTTTCTTCAATCGCTTTGCACTCTACGCTGTTGAATTTCATCAAACTACTCACCTCAAAGGTGTGGAGCACCAGAGCATTAGCTATGGAGGTGCCGACCCAAACCATAAAATGGCGGGGTTCACCCTCAACGTGCTCTGTCAGGCCGACATTTCCACTGGTCAGCTGCAAAGCAGTGGAAAAGAAACGATATTTTAAAACATTTCACAGATAATTCAAAGTGAATAAATCAACATTACCAAATACTACTAGCAGGAGAAGATACCTCAAACTAGACCAAGATTTTTCGGATGCGTAGTCCTGAAATTTCAGGGGAGTCATGAAACCTTAAAACATTTTGCATAGCATGGAAACCATAAAAAGGTCAAAACTTTGCGGAAAGCACATCAGAAAGATGACAAAAAAAAAATAAAACCAAAATAAAAATGTCGAGTGCAAAAGAAGCACATTAATCTACTTTGTTAACCGATTCCTTACCTTGAGCATGTTTTTAAAGATGAATTTCCTTCCTCCTTCTTTTCTCTTGGTATTTACGATTCCTTTTTCAAAGAGAAACAGGTCTCGCTCTTTTCCTTTACCTCGAGCCTTCTCTTCCCAGAACAATACAACTTCCTGAAAACGTCAAAACAAGCATTCATAAACTTTATGTACGACATTTCCTTCGGTGCTCTTCCCATTCAACGATCGACCACCACGATCTGTTATCCATACTGAAGCAAGCCACACTGATCGGGCGCATTAAAGCGGTCACCGCAAAAGGTAAGGTAAACGGAACACAAACTGTGACGGTGATTAGTAAGTGAAAAAGAAGAAACATGGGAACTTCATGCAATGTATCTCTAGAGTGTGTTAGGCAATGTGATCTAGAGTGTGTTAGGCAATGTGATTCAACCTTCAAAATTTTGAACCAAGTTGTTTAATCCCGACTTGCTCTGAAACTGGGTTAACTGCTACTGGGTTAACTTGCTATTTTAACTAACCCTGGATTTGCGTTTATCGTCCTTCAACAAAACGGCCTCGGTCTGAGATGACTTGCTATGAAAACTGGTTGTTTTGCTCACATGCAGATACTCTTACAAAACCGACAATAGGCATCCTTGTCTCAGATTAATTTGCACGTGCAAAACAGCTTTTCAACAAGGATTTTACGTTTACTTTAAATTAATTTAAAATTTAACGAAATTTAACAAAATCTCTGACATGCTCTCTTCGACTTTAATGTTTAAACTATACCTAACATTAGTCGTTGTTTATACTTTTTAGACAATGGTTTATTTTTCATCTCTCCAATTTAGGCGAGAGAAAAATGAAAAAAGCGTGTTTAGTTAATATTTCAAATATTCGTACTCACTGAGAGCCAATATGACTACATTTTAGTCAGTATTACTGTCATTAGGTGTTTATCACTTATTTTCTCACTTTGCTGTTTAAATGAGATCTTCACGAAGCTGGGTTGAGTATTTTTATTACGCTGTTTCAGAAGTAACACTGCCCTCCGCCAGATCTTGATCGAGCTGTAAAATATTAATATAAAAATTATGTAAAATGTTTAAGTAGAGGAGTTTAAGCGTTTGGGTGATGGCCACAGATGTTTAATAAAAATGACCCACTAATACTTAAGCAAAGTAAACTTTGTTGATCTCAAAGATAGATGTTCTGTCTTGCAAGCTTGATACAAATTTACTTTAATTTCGTTTAGGAGATGAAGGGAGTGAATGAGGACCGAAAGCTCTTTCTGCTTTCAGCAAGCTGATTTATGTTGTTAGAACGAAGCTGATGTTGTTGAAAAAGATCTCAGCAGTTTTTTTAGATTGCCTGCCGTGTATCCAATTCCTACCTGTCTAATAAGTCTGCCAAGGTCTGCAAGTGGAACTTCTCCCTGTCAAAGTACAGAAACAACTTTCAATGAACACTTTCGTTATCCAATCATAATCAGTTTTTTTCTGTTCTGTCAAATGTCGATAGGCAAAGGAACACATGTAAAGTAGCTGTCGCCCATAAGCACGCAACTAACGGCAAAGGGAGACAAAGCAAGATGACCGAAGGGTTGGTTCATTCACATTAACAGCTCCTGTCCAGCACAACCTGGGACTCAGAGGAGAAAAGCCTTGACTTACCTGAAAAAACATATGATCCCAACTGCCAACCAAGAAGGGGGACGGCGGAACAAAAAAATTTGTCTTAGGTAGGGCAACGAGGAGCCAAAAAAAAAAAAAAAATACACACAAAACAATGCGCATGCCCGAAATGTAAATCCCCGGATCCACCCGAACCTTCCAGCTTACTGTGATTAGAGGGAATCTCATTTAACGGTGGGTCAGCTGGTCAAATCGACACTTAGTCAGTTGGACAATTAGTCTCTCTGTCAATCGGTGAGTAAGTCCGACAGCGAGGCAGTCAGTCAGCTTATTATCCACTCGGTTGGTTCACTAGCCAACTTCACGTTCGTTAAAATCGACAGTTAGCCAGTCATTCCCGTTGTTCGTTCAGTCAGTCAGTCCTTCAGCCAACCAGTCAGCCTTCAGGCTAATCAGTTGTCCATTCATTTAGGTAAGTAAATCGATATTTAGTTCCAGTTAACCATTTCGGTAAGTCTATATGTTTCTTTGTTTTCTCGGTCGCACCGAGCAATTAACGACACCCAGCCTACAATCTTCTTCCAGATGTTCTTGACCCAAGCAACAGCAAGTGTAAAAATAGCCCATTTCAAATTTTTAGCATATTACTTACGTGGTAGTTTTCTATATGGGACTTCTGTATCGCTTCATTGGCTCGTTGAGAGATGCTGGATAAAAATATGAGGGCAGCCTGCAAAGAATTTCAAATTATACGTAAGTCTGACAGCATTTTGAAGTCAAATTGGGACTTAATAGTGACTGTGAGGATGACTGCTTAATACAGGTCGACTTAATACAGGTTTGGCTGTATTTCTTTCCACTGCGACTTTTCTCACCTCAAAGTCTGAGTGCTTCAAATTCGCCCGCACCGTAAACTTGAGCAGCTCCTTAAAAAAGACAAATAAGTAGTGAAAAACAAACCAATCAACAAACATACAAGGAAAGTAAGTAATTATTGTTCTGACATGTAGACTCTCACCTTCAGATACAGAACGTATTCACTCAGTTGCCGGGCAGGTTTCGTTAGATACTCAGAAAGGTGCCTTTCGTCTTTTGTGTCTTCTTTGAACTCCTGTTTACAAAAGTTAAAAAAAAATACGACTCAGTTTTGTTTGAAAGGTTTCAAAACCAGATGCTAATGCGGCAAAGTACCACAGAAACCACAGTTGCAACATAAACCACTTACCGCCCAAAAGTCGCGCACTTGTTCCTTCTCCAGCGCTTCATTAGCCAGCGGTCTACTCTCAAGGAACTTGACGTACATCTCAAATTTGGGTTTCTACAAAAACCATATCACATTCTCATGGACGTTATTTTCAAAAGAAAAGTAAAGACAGACGAAGATATGACGTTATATTAAGCACAAGGCGGCACGTTTCATCACAATATCAATTACCTCGAACCTCATCCAAAATACCTCGCTGCACCTCGCACTGTAACTCTCTTCTCTGAGATTGATATGTGATGAAACAATGCGTTGTGTTTAATGCATGACTTGAAATTCTTAACTCATTAACAAGAATAGACAGGTGAACAGCACGACTTACGTGTCTCAAGATCACTTTTGGTAAGTCATCAGGATTCTTTGTGCAAGCTTCGAGTTCATGTACGAATTGTCTGCAATTAAAAATGAAACGACCAACAGTTATTTATAACTACACAGTTTAATAATACCACCGTAACGCATATCAAAGAAAATCAAGAGTACGTTAAGAGTCGACTGTATCACACAGCTCATCACCTTGTGTGAAAGCCATAGATATCTTTTACGTTGGCGAACACCACGTCTTTTTGAGTAACAACCTCTTCAGGGATGTCATCTACCTCAAGCTCAGCCAAGTGGCACTAGGAAGAGGCAAAGCAGACAGGTTAACGTGAAATTTTTGACAGCAGTCCAGAATGGACCACGGTGGTGGTAAAATTGGCGACAAAATTAGTTGAGACACTTTGCCCCAAACAACCTTTCTGACGATTTGCCAAATTAAAAAAGGAAAATTAAGCTTTCCCTCCCCCACCCCCTGCATGCAATGTTGCGCTACTGTTCGAGCTACCTGTCGAAAACAATCAACCCCGCAACTTTGAATGCAAGTCGGGGTGGGGGGAGGGATTGTATTGCTCTCCAAAGTTACACCATTTGAAGACAATAGAGTGGTTAAGCTTCACCTTAGCGTCGAACGAAAAACGCCACTTTGTACCACGTGATCAGGTTTCGCATTTACTTGTCGTTTACTGTTCATTATTTCTACACACAAATGAGTAGTTTCACGCAATATTTTATCCATATGAATTGCTTTAAGCAGTTTTTATCTGTTTATTTTCTATTTTGAGAAATTCTTAACTTGAATCTGACGTTTGCCGTTTTCCGTATACGTGAAGCTTAAACTCTCTGATGTCTCATCAGTTTTGACGCCAATTGTATGCGCCACGTTTTACTAAAACTTCCGTCTCCAATGAGATCGTATGAAAACTCACCTCTTTAAAAGATCCTTTGGGCAAAAAAAGTAGCTTTAAAGTATCTAACTCAAATTATCGTCATGAAAATTCGCTCACTCGAAGGTAACCCTCGATTGGGTTTCCTTTCTTGTAGACCGTCTTCAAATGGTATTTTTGGCGATTAACATTACTGGGTCTTTAACCTACGTTATGTATTCCTTGGGGAATTCAACGAAACCCTAGGTTTCTTTCACCTCCTTACGAGAACCGAGGCCCAAAATTTGTGTCGTTATGAGTTATTTCATTATTATTAGTCATCAGTTATTAATTGATATGATCAGTTAACCACTATTTTCATTCTAACCAAACAGCATTGACAAGAAATACGGGACTTACCTCAACAACTGTGCGGAGATCATTAACGTATTGCTTTTCAGACTCGACCAACTCACTAATCACGCGTCTACAAAGAGGAATAATGAGTGAAATGTTAATATAATCAGTCGAACGGTTGTCTGGAAAATGTAACGCTATATCACTGATAGAAACGTTTGGGAGCTTTTAAGCATTCAGCTGTTTATGAAGGGTCCGTTTAACAAAATCTAAATGGTGCCGAGACGCATTTCTGTGATACTATCTGTAATGCCGTACAAGTAAGTTCAGTATGAGTCTCAAGTGCATAAAAATAAAACGAAATGAATAGGAAACCCTCGATCTGTTATTACTGAGTATTATTCCTAGGTGTACTGTTAAGCTGCGATCAGACGTTTTTTTTTTTTTTCTTCTTTTTTTTCTTTTCCTCTCTAAGGAGACAGACAGTGAGATAACAAATAGGGAGAGCATGATCGCAGGCAAGGTAACTGTTTATTGTGCTTCCCAAGGAGAGATGACGACTCCTTGTCGACGAAATAATCAAGCAAAAAAAATCTATTTTTTGTCTTATGCTAATTCCGGGTGAATCTCCCAAATAATAAAATAAATGAAGTTCTTACTCTCGGTGATGTAGAGCCTCCTTCTCTTTGCCCTTGGCAGACTTTGGGGCCTTCTTGACATCCTCATCTGGAGCCTTAATAATTAAGACCCTTGGTAAAAAGCCAACAGCTCCAGAGGTGACAACACAAACCAAGAAGCTTTCATAGCCGATGTCATCAAGGATTTCTAATGAGTCCCCTTCATTCACAGACACTTCGCCAGGGGCCTTGGCTTTGTAGTTGGTTATGCAAACGAACCTCTCCTTTTCAACCTGCAAAAACAACATTAACATGTGGATTAATCAACAGATACAGAAAAAATAAGAAAACTTGAAAATGGAAAAGAAAAAGTCGAAGCATTTCTACCATGTGTGCTTAAAAACTTAAGACAAGATAGCGCTCATGTTCAACTGACGCTTACATTTTGATTCCCAGTATACCAATCAAATTTATTAAAAAGCTGCCTTGCTTTATGTTGCTGTAATAATCGGTTTCTCAAGTTTTGTAAGATGGGTCTGCTGATTTCAGTCTCTAGTACTACAAAACCATTTAAATCAAGTGTACATCTATGAGCGGTACTTTTATTTCTGGCAGTTTAATAATTTGCACGTGGTGGTGCTAATTCAACATTTCACAAAATGAAATTCAGGGTCGGTATGTTTCTTACGTTTTACGGAAGGCAGCTCAAAACGAAATCCTTAACCGTTCCGTTTAGGCCCTAAAACTGATCACCATCAAATTTACTTCTTGTAATACACAACAGTGTGGCTATGAGAATTAAGGACATGATCACACAAGATGAAATTCATCAGCTTCTTCCCACTAGAGTTATGCTTCTTTAGGTTAACAAACAGGGGGCACCAAATGAGAATTTAAATAATGATCTAAAGGGCTTAACGGGATAACATCACTTACGGGTGTGGGTATTCCTGCAGTTTCATCTTCCCTGAAATGCAAAGAGAATTACCATTTTATACACAAAGCATATAGCAGAGCTTCATCACGACAAATATTAAGAGAATTATACAATGGACCTCTACCGCATTCGGGGAATTCAGAGGCGTGGGTGGAAAATTTCATAACGACAACTTTCACCAAAAACCTGGAGTAGGTGCCTTTGTTCAAAGGAATGCGGGCACCCTCTACTCTACCAGCATTAACTGGAAAGGTAACCATATAGAGCCTTTTGACATGACGTCAGGTCCACCATGTTGGTGTACCAAAACAGTAAAACGGCCGCGATATTAGTTTCGCAAACCAGTCCTGTGGGAGTTGGACTCTTTCTGATGTAAACGCTTTCTTTTGTTGCATTAACCCTTTGTTTTCAGTACCCCTTGGGTACTGAAAACAAAATGTCGGGTAAGTGTTGAGCGTCCGTAACTTCAGTTTGAGACTTGATTGTGTAGATTTAAAGTATTGTGAGTATCGTGGATAATTTAATAAATGTTTGGATTTTTCCTTGATTCTTGGGGAAGGGGGGATATTGGGAATAGTCAGTAAAACGCGTTTCACTCTAACTTCCGCAAATTTAAATTAATAATTTATCAAAAGGAATAAGTCACCCTCCCTTCCACCTCCACTTAACCACTCAAAGTTAAACATCCAAACTATAATCTATTTACCCCTCACTGTCTTTCTTCAGACACGTGTGTCGCACAAATCCGATTTCTGAGCCACGTGACACGCGTCTAACCAACCAGAAATCAGGACGGCTTGTGTCAAGGACTTCAACTTTGTCACCCTTCTTGAGAAATTTGTTTCCAGTCTCCTCTGAGTAGAAGTCTTCAATGACGGTGTAAAGTTTGAGTGTGAGGACTTCTTCAACTCGAGACAGGCCTGAGCTTTTTCGAGGCGGTTTTTCTTTGGGAGCAAGCGCGTTTTCATCCGTTGCTAGAAAAAGAAACCTTACTTTCAATATAATGTTCCTGACGGGCTAAAGATGGTATTTAGACACTGGGGAACAGATTGGCAGGTCAAACCATCGCGGAATTCAACATGAAGCTTCAGGAAAGTAGTCAGAAATCTGCCTTTAAACCTGTCTGAAGCCACCAACAAGACATTAACCTAAGCAAAACAGAATTTAAGTAGACAGCTTAAGCAGCGGGCGTTCATGAGGTCACAAACGCCGACCGAAAGTTACCGTGTATATACTGCACATTTCGTTACGTCCGCTGAGGTCAGGTACCCGACGCCAGAACGCCACTTTTGAAGTTCAAGTTTGCGTTCGGATAAGAATTGCGTGGTAGTTCCCAAGTAATTCTAGTCCGGGTGCAACCTTACGAAAGTCCGTGACCTCAAAAACTGATTAAACTGATTAAGCTGTCTACTATTTTACTCCTACTTTAGTTGACTCCCACCAGGTGTTTTGCTTAAATAACCGTTCACGCACCTTCAACAAACAGATGAGAACTTGAAGACACATCTCCATAGTCATTGCTGGCGGTGACCTTATACTCTCCAGCGTCCTTTAATTTTCCTTCAGTTATCAAGATGGAGTGAAGGTTTTCTTCCTCTAACACTTTAATGTGCGGAAATCGTACATCCGTGATCTCTTCACCATCTTTGTACCAGAAGACTTTTGGAGTTGGTTGTCCAAGCACGCGCACATCAAACCTTGCGGCGCTTCCATCCTCGATAGAGCGATCTTTCAACGGGGCAGTAAATGAAGGAGGTTCTCCTTCAGATTTGGATTTAAGTTCTGTGGTAAAATAATACAAATTATATACCGGGACAAATTTAAAGAAACGCAAACAAACAAACAAAATGATAATTTTGTTAACGGTCCATTCAAACTAAACAAAGAAAAGCCTTCAGGTGACAAATATTTTGCTCCACTATTCTACATCGTTCTGATATTTCAAAGCTAAAAGCTTAACACTCAACAGTGAACACACCAGGAACCTTTAAATTCAAAGAAAAGGACGACTGCAAACACGAGATTTTCTCAAAACAAAGTAGCGCGTGCGCGTGAACCAACGTCATTTAGGCAGGGGGTCAATTTAATAAAACTTTTACAAGTGTACCTTACAAGAGTAGCTATTGTTTTCAGACTCTACAACAAAGGCTCAATTGTAAATTAAACCTGTAAAAGTTTTATTTAATTAACCCCAGGAAAACGCGAGAGCCGCCGTCACTCTACCACGGGTTTGATCGAAAACGTGGTGTTGGAACAAAATATCAAAATTTTATAAAAATTATCATTTTGCAATTGGGAGACAGAGTTAGACACTTATGTTTCACCTTTAACAGTTAGCCTTGACTGACATGCCACAGAGCCACCCATATTTGACGCCACGCAACGATACTCGCCCTCGTCCTCAACGGCTGCAATATTTATAAGCAGCGAGTAGGCCCCAGTCTCCGTGATAAACTTCACTCTTGTGTCCTCTTTCAGTTGCTCGCCATTCTTGTACCACGTGACTTCCGGTTCCGGTATTCCTGTTACTTTGATAGTCAAATATACTGTATCTCCCTCGGTCACTTCATGGTTCCGCAGCTCTTGTTGGAATTCAGGAGAGCACACGCTGTCACGTGATCGTCGGCGTTCCATCCGGGCATTCATTTTCTCTAGTTGCTCATCATCCTGTGATGAAGACTCTGACATTGACTCTAAAGTAACAAGAGTAGCAAATAAATAATTAATTAATTAGTTAAGGTTCCAAGCAATAAATAAAAAATATCTAGCTAAGGATATTACCTTCTACTAGAACCTCAGCCGAGCAGGACGCGATACCCCAGTTATTAAGCAGAACGCATTTGTAAATTCCTTCATCTTCATAGTCGATGGCACGGATGTCTAGCGTATGGGTACATCCATCTGAAGACTGGCTGAATCGGGGCAGTGATCGGATCAGGTCGTTGTCTTTAAACCACTCAATGTTATCGATGGGCTCTGGACCGGAAATCACCTGCAACAAAAACACGGACTTGGCGTATGAGCGGTATATTTCATGTGGACTTTGAGAACCTTTCCTCAAACTTATGTCTAATTTGTTAGCATAAATATAAAAATAGCTCTAATTCAACCAAAAGAAAAAAATCCTGCAGCATTCTGAAAGGTGTGCTCACACGATTTCGTCGTACAAATACACTAAAAGGAAGGCAGATCAACTAGACTAAAAATTTACTATTTGGGCTGACCAAGCGAGTTAATGAAAAAGCGGATATTGTTGGAAGCAATAATTTACAACACGAGGCAAAAAAGTTTCTTACTTGACGTTGATCAAGGGGGGGAGGGGGGGCAACGGAATAAGCAAACTGAGAACCATTTGCATCTGTTTCAATGAAAGTACATTACACAATTCTTTTACCTGAAGGACGATATTGTCTCCATGATTGATTTCTACGTTTTCCAACGGAGTGACAATGGTGGGCTTTGAGCCACTTTTTGACACCACTGAGCGTTTGGTCAGGGGTAATCCCGGGGAAGCCCCCACTGGGCTTTCTGCGACGGACTCCGATTCTAAAACAAAAAAGGTTGCTGTGACTATGTTGAGAGTTTGAACCGTAACAACGTTGCCTGTGGCAAACGAATTTGCGATAAATTTGCAATGACTACGAATTAGCATCCACTGTGGAGTGGAGCGAAGTGGAGACTATATTTACAGAGGGTTACACTTGATAGTTACAGGAAAAACTGTTAAGCTAGGAACCCTCTAAAGTAAGCAAAAACAAAAGGAAAGGTGTTGAACACGTCTTGGTACAGCAAGTATGACTAAGACGGGTTTTTCCTACAGTCACGTACTGAACTGCTACGATAATTTTAACTTGGCGTTCCAGGACTAGACCATTCACTCCTCTTAGCTCTAATCTTCGGATATGTAACTAATCTTCAACTTTGATTCTGGCTCCTACATTTCCACACCAACATACGTATTCACACTACAGCGGTTTAAATTCGTTGGCGGTCATTTCGTTTCCTCTCATCAACTTCACGCTTAATAACAAGTGATATCGTAAGGAGAAGATCGATGTTGGTCACTTTAGGTGACTAAAAGGGTAAAAAAAAAAAAAGAAACATACATACCTTCCACCGTTATCTTGGCCTCGCAAGACTGTGTCCCAGCTTTGTTGGAAATCTCACACTTGTAGATTCCCTGATCTTGAGGTTGCACCTCAGATATCTTAAGAGTGCAGTGCTCTCCATCGGAAGACATTTTCAAGCGTTTTCCGTACTTAATCGGCTCGTTATCTTTAAACCAGCGTATCTGCAATGGCTGGCTTCCAGTCGCAACCACTTCGAGCTGTGCTGTAGAGTTCTTTAAGACACACAAGTCACTGCACTCTTGGACAAATTCAGGTGCCATTTGAGATAGTCGGCTACAATAAATTGTATGATACAACGAATAAGAGAACGAGCTTGATGAGGTTACGCCTTTCTTAGCCTTCAGATAAAGTTATCAATCAGCTATAGATCGTCTACTCATGACCGCACGGCGGTCATGTTGGTATACCTAAACAGTCCTCTTGGTTTTTTCCCCAAGAAATTAGCATAGTTGCTGCTTACGTGAGTGACAACAATCGATGGTATTGGTGTCAACCCCTCGAAGGGATAGTGTAGACCCTTAAATTTACTATGGTGGTGTGCCTCTAAGACTCTGGACCTGTTCCAGAGAGATAGAGATGAATTTGCGACCCTGTTACAGAACGGAATGGACATGGCAGGGGCTTGGAGAGCATACTCGAACTGTGGCTCAATAAGGGCTCTAACAATTTCTATAACTGGTAATTCTCTCTCTCAATAAAAAACTGCAACAGCAACAATAAAAAACAAAAAGCACCTACCGTTGGTTCATGATCGTTTGAGGAACTTTGACCTTTTCTGTAAATGTGGAATCAAACAAAGCACATTATATAAACCTTCTTCAGACATTGATACTCAACGAGACATTTTTGCTTCCCTATTTTTCACGGGCATTGTGCGGAGGAGAAAAGAGAGAAAATAAAAAACAATTTTCAGTCCCTCACTTGACAGACGTCGAACTTATGACCTTCGGGTTACCACTCCAAATGTTCTACCACTGAGCTAAAGGGAAATCGCGGGAGCAAAAAGCTATCACACGAGATTCATATGTGACAAACATTCCGCATAGTGCTAGTACTATTAGGTAAAGAATTTGCCCAGAGTTACACAAATGCGATGGTGAATTTTAAGTCATGTGAATAAAAGAGATTAATCTTTCTTTAATGAGTGATACGGGCTACTTGGGAAAATCAGAGTTCTCCAAACAGGGGTCGAGCCTAAGGCTGTTAAACGTACAAAACTGGAATTTAGTTGCAAAGGAAACACTTGGGTGTAAAAATAAATTCTAGAGCCTTACACTGTACTTCGAAATTAACAACAAACCAAATTGGATTACCTTCAACAAGAACTTCACAGTCGGTATGAATTGAGCCTGCGGCGTTAGCAGCAACACAGCGGTACACCGCTTCATCTTTAACTGTCACATTGAAGATATTGACAGCGTGCATTTCGCCTGCACTTATGATGGCAATGTGATGGTCCTCCTTCAGTTCCTGGTCGTCCTTATACCACGTTACCCGGGCCATGCACTCAGGAGGTACCTTGACGTCAAGTGTCAGATTGTCGTTTTCTTTGACCTGTCTGTCCTGTAGCTCCAGACGGAAAACCGGTTTTGGTACTGTAGGGGTTAAAAATACGATCGTGCATAATTATTTTAAGACTCCAGAAGATAAAAAATGAAAGTTAAAACAACTAAAATATATAACTGGACGGCAATTCTTTATGACAATGATGTTTTCTCTAATTCTAATTGTCTCCATGACATTGCAGAGAATAAACACACGGAGCTACCTTTGTCTGAATACTGAAAATCATATATAATTGCCACAAATGGCCTGGACAATGGCTTATCATTTTCAATAAACAAGCTAAAGGTACTTGTCCACAAAGTCAAAAGCTGCATCAGGAACTGCGTCAGTTAGTCTAATGGCTGCAAGAGGGAAAGATAAAAGCAAGTATTGATCAATCATTTAATTAGCTGACCTGATTTTGAAGTTGGTTTGGGTTTCGGCGCTGGTAGAGGCGCTGATTTCTTTTCCGTCGGTTTTGGCAGCTCTCTGAAAAAGAACCAGTAAATTTTTAAAAAATAATTTTTTTCAATTCTAACAATACACATTTCTAAAGCCACTTCCGTCTACTTTTGTTATAAACAATTAGTTTTTTATAATTGCTAATCAGCAGACCCAAGGAAAATAGCATGCGTGCAGACGTCCCCTGTACAACAAAGGAAATAGCTGAGGTCTGCACGCAGGCTAAAGGAGAACAACCAGTGGCATATTTTTCATTTATCATTTTATTGGAGTCTGGACATATGTTTTCAAAGGCAAACATCAACGGTTAACCAGTCTTCGTATGTATAGGATACTTCAGTCAAATTCCAACGCTATGAGCTGGTACTTTCTCTCTCAAAACGGGCCTCTCACGTTGTGAATAACTTACTGCAAAGTTACAAAACATTTCGGACCTTTCTTCTTGAAAACAACAGCAACAAAAAGACTGCGATATACTCCACTACAAGACTTGCACTTCTTTAATGCATTTAACTTGTTATTTATTTATTATTATCGTTCTTTCTTTTCAAATAGAAAGTCCGGTTTACATACCTTGTAGATGTTTCTTCCTTTGCAGGAATCTCGTCTTCGGAAGTTCCTTCGCTTTCCTCCTCTGTTGATTCCAGCCCTGTAATGATAACAGTGTTAAGAGTTTTTCTTTCAGCATTTAAGACAAGACTTCATTGTTATTTAAAGATGATAAATTTGGAGCCAACATGTAGTACAGCAACAAATGTGCTTCACTAAGCTCGGAATTTGCCATTTGATAGATGATATTTGATAAGTCAGAAGCGAACTATAGGAAAAGTTCCTTCTTGTACTGTTCTCTGGGGTAGAAAATGGAACGAAAGCGTACAAGTGCGTTCGTCGTCGAAAATCTTCACCTACATTTCTACTCTATAAAACATTTTACTTCAGGCGCGACGACAAAAATAAATGAATCAATCAATAAAACCAAAGAAAACGTACGCTCCATGATGAGCTCAGCAGTGCACCAAATCTCTCCTTTGACGTTGGCGGCTTCACATTTATAAATTCCTTCATCATCGGCATCAACATCATTCACAGTCAAAGAAAAAGCTCCATCATTGTCTTCGTCAAAGCGAAGCCTCCGATTCTCCTTAAGAGGTTTGTCATCCTTAAACCACCGTACTTCCGGTTCTGGGCTGCCTGCTATTTTGACCTCAAAGCGGGCTGCACTTCCCTCAATGACTTCCGCGTTACGAATGGTGCGAACAAATTTGGGTGGAGTCGCAGGTGCACCATCCTCTAGGTCAGGAGCACGTGACACTGGGATGTCTGTGACAACTGTCACCGTTTCCTCGACTGGTATCTTGGGCCTAAAATGAGAAGTCATGAGTCAATCAATGCTATAAAAAGTCTATTTAATGAGGAGCTAAAACCTGAAGAGCAAGATTGGAAAACAAGAAAGATATCTCTGTCTCAGTTTTACTGGACATATATACACAGTTGAAAAAAAACTTACAGTGACATAACTCCTTCTTTGACCTCTTTCTTGGGTGCTGAAAAAAAAAACATAATATACATATACATTCCACACACTGGTTCTTCCTACTTCCGGTTTGTCTCTACCAATGTAAATCCTTTGCTTTTAGATCCTGCCTATCTTTAAGGTCTAAATGTATCCAAGATGTGTTACATTATTTTGCTAGTTTCGGAAAAGTTATCAAGCAGTTCTCAAACTTCTTAGCAAACCTCTTAAATGTTTGATTCCATGGAGTTTAAAACGATTTTTAGTACTTCCAAGAGTCAACTGAGAGAAGTTTTTATTGGGGATAAAATTATAGGAAAAGTGACCAGCTTGTCACATACGTCAGAACGCATCCTAATCTTGGTGTTCCTGTGGTGCAAAGCCACAAATTTTCGAGTTATTGGAGGCGACTGCCGATTAGCCGATTCATCAGGGGTATCTCGGCCGGGAAACTGGATTCCTTTCGACTCAATTTCGTTTCCGTAAGTGACGAACGAGGATCTGTAATTCATGATTAACTCTAGTTTAAAGCTAAGCTTAAACCAACTTTCCATCAATGTGTTATGTAGCTTAAATAAGAATCTTAACTGCTACATTACCTTCCACACTGAGCTTAGCTGTGCAAGTGACTTTTCCGGCTTTGTTCTTAGCAATGCAAGTGTAGTCACCCTGGTCAGCGGTCTCTGCCTTGGGAATACGGAGTAAATGGACGCCATCTTTGTCCTTGTCAATCTTCACTCGGCGGCCTTCTCTTATTGGTTTATCATCTTTTTGCCACTCTACCTCTGGGTTAGGAGTTCCGGTCACTTTAACCGACAGTTTTACTTCTTCCCCTTCAGTAACACTTTTGTCCACCAACTTCTCCTTGAACTCGGGACGGCCGGCTACTTCTTGTCTTGGTTTAGAAAGTGCTAAGACGGAACAAAATATAGGTCACTGACATTTGTCTCACCTTTAATACAACAGAAGTACTTTTTTAAAAGGCCACCCTTTACCTTAAAAGAGTTTCCAAAATAAGGCTTACGAGTCGGTGCTTATGCGAGACCTTGAAATTGAGATATTCTCTAAAGCCGTTACAAAATGAATCATCCCTACATTTCCGTTGTTTTCAAAACAAATACCCTGGTTTTCCTATCTAAACTCACAACTGTCATTTAATCATGAACATGTGACGAGCCACACCTCATGAAGTTATAGAAATAACGAGGGTAGTGCAAAATAAACGCTAATTCCAATAATTGTACCTTTCAGAGCTCACATTGCGGGTCGCCTCTCCTACAACACTATCTACAATTGGTATAGGTTTCAATCGAGCGGAAACCAATTGATGAACAGTTACGACTTATATTTCCTGAAACCACAATTTGTCGTCTGTCTCCTTCGAATTGCAGTGACACGTCGAAACACCTTCGAGTAGATTTTGGTTTAACTATAATGATTGGTGGCTGATTAGTGGTTGTTTCCTATGACAGACGACCAACGATATTTTGGTTTAACTATAATGATTGGTGGCTGATATTAAGCGGTCAGTTTTTGTTTCCTTAATGACAGACGACCAACGATATCTCGGTCAATAAGCGAAGCGTTTAGCGATAAATGTAAACGGTGTTTGTTCATACAGTTATAAATACTCACCATTAACAAGTGTTTATTTTCGCAAACTTTAAAACGCGGAAATGAATGCTCAAACGTGATCTGATGACATCTTCCTGCAACCTTTTAGGCGGTTTGTATTAGCGGTACTTAGCCATTTTATACTCACCATTTACAGTGACTTTCGGCCCTGACAGTCCGAGTCCTCGACCCGACAGTCCTTTATTACAAGCGTAAATCCGCTCACTGATTGGCTGATGTCAAACCGTCCACCAGCGCTGATTAGCTGATTGTCCTTAAACCACTGGAACGAAGGCTCAGGAGTGCCCATAGCGCGGCAGGCTAAGCGAACCGAGCTGCCTTCCACTGCTGATTTGTCTCGCAGTTTGAGGATTAATTCTGGTTCACGGAGACGTTCTTTCGATTTCGGAGGCTCTGGCCTGGCTTTAGGCGCAATTTCAGGCGGTGCTGATTTCTCCACTGTGGAAGCAATAGGTGCAATGGCTTCTTCGATAATGGCAGGAGGTTTCCCAGGTTTTTCCCTAGAAACAACAGAAAGCTTTTAACCTGAATGAAATTTAAAAAATTACTCTCAAGTGAATTTCCGTCGCGCAAACAAAGCATGAACACTAGGTTTACACAGTAAATTGAGCTTCACGCTGTTGCGGTTAACTTGACAACTGAGAGTGACGCAAATAAAAAAGTAATCTATAAAATAAAATACTTACATGATTAAGAATTAAATAACGAAATCATTTACGATGTTGTTAAAGAAAATACCAGCGTCGCCGGAAGAGAACTGACTGGTATTTTCGTCAACGAACTGCAGTTACAATTTTTTGGCTTCGTTTTATCAAGAAAGTTAACAAATCAAAACTAACGGCACAAACGCTTTTAGGCAACACATACCTCTCTTTCTCCAGTTCTTGCTCGCCAGCAGACTCGCTTTCTTCATCCGTTACTATAAGAAACAAATAGGAACAAAATTTAAAAAATATGAGAACGATAGTCGAAAGTCCTGCACGTGACCACCTAAAATGCCATAGAGAAACCCGAGACTGTTATTCATTTTCTACAAAAACAACTCATAAAGCTACTTACGCATGACAAACAATTCTGCTGAGGAGTGTGCTTTGCCGGCGACGTTTCTAGCCACACATTTGTACACGCCTTCGTCACTTCCACTTACGTCACTGATTACAAGCACTTGTAGGTCTCCTTCCTCTACAAACTTGTACCTTCCACCTTCCAATAGGGGTTCATTCTCCCGGTACCACCGGACATCCGGATGAGGGTCCCCAATCACCCGGCACTCCATACGAGCTACTTTACCGGGTAATACGTCTACATCTTGCAGTTTTTGAGTAAATCTGGGGGTGGTCCCCTCAAATTCAGGCTCCATGTCGGCTAGAGAAAGCACAAAAAATCTAACTGATTTCAAACTAATCGATATTTGACTAATGCTTAAATATACTTTTCTCAAGGATATCATTTACATCGCAGAATCTTTTCCGCATTCGGCTACAGAGAGCACTCAATAAACAGGGTCACGGCTTGCGTGGAGAGTAGACCAATTTCGACATTTTAAAAAATTTTTGCTTGGTTCCGAGGTTTGGGGGAATAAATTAAAATAATAATTATTCATCGCTGAACCTCAAGATGTTTCATACACATCAGCGTGCTTTGTCACCCCGAGCCTCGAGTTGGTGGCTTTGTTCACAGGAGAGCGGCAACTGTCTTTAGTCCACATTCCATACGAAGAAACTTCGAACTCGTTCACACCTAAACTGCGTATGCCAGGATTACAATTGTAGAAAAAACAGACGGCTTAATCTCATTAATGCCTTTGTAGATCAAACTTCTAAGCTGGCAGTATGGTAAGGGCGCGACTCCTAAATTCCCAGTCACGCTTTAAGGAAAGCGCGACCTAATCTGAGGAGAGTAATACAGTCTGCATAGAAATCGTTAAGTGCAACCATTTAAACCGAAGCTACAAGGTAGTAATTTAAAGTGCAAGAGACACCTGCAGCGTAACCATTCAAACCAAAGCCGCCATTTTCTACGTTCAAACATTTGGAAAACGGAGAAAAATAAACAAGTGATTTAATTTTTGACGCGGCGCAGCGGATAAACGTCCTTCTGCAGAACGTTCAAGAGCGCTCAGACAATAATTATGACATAACTTACGTTCAACATTGAGGTAAGCATTACTTTCCACTTGACCGAACTCGTTTCTGGCAACAAACCGAATATGTCCAGCGTCTGTCCTTTTAGCGTCCGAGATGTTAAGGGCAAAGAGATCTTCGTCACGCTCACATGTAAAGCGGGGCCATTTACTAACAAGCTGTTCATCCTTGTACCACTCCGCTGTCAAAGGGGTTTTGCTAATCACACGGCAAGCAAACTTTGTCACGCCACCCTCTTTCACGTCACGATTGCGTAACACTAATGTGATGTCTGGAGGGATCTTTAGGGGCCCGGATGACTCAGCGTCGACTTCGTCTTCTTCAGTGTCATCTGAGAGCATGTCGAATGTCGACTCCCTAAAATAAATAATAATGATGATGATGATAATGATGATGATAATCATAATAATGATGATGATTTTCATAAAGGCAATGGAAATGGCAATGGCAAAGGTTATGAAAACGATAACGATAATGAGTATTTATGACAATGGTTCCTTGTGTCCATATCGCTTATGAATATTAACCCCTAAAAATGCAGTTTTTACAGTTTAGCTTAAGTCTCATTTGGTCCTCCGTCATTCAACAGTCTCGGATGCAACACGTAAGATCTGCTTGAACACCTTTATGGACGGCGTTCAATGACGTTAAATGTTTCGGTTGATGACGATTAATCAGATTAAAATAAGGTGAAACTACTGGGCCTAGATAAACATTCCGCACAGTTGGAAGTTGTTGGACCATCACGTTGGTTCTGTCCAAACGTCATTCCCAAATTCCATGCACCTGAAAAGAAACAGGTCCTGACCCATTTACAGAAAGAACAGAAAATAGCACAAACACGATTCGAACAATCGCTTGACTCACCGAGAAAGACGCCTGTCAATGTCTGACCCACTTGTAGAATCGAAGCCATGGGCTGTGAAACAAAACAAAAGAGACACGATTACTTGGTGGCCTGATACTAAACTCAAGTCGGTTCCCAAAAAGGCTCTAAAGGAAAGGTAGAGCATTGTCACATGGCTGAAAACAGTTCACTTGAATTCTCGTGATTCTTATATCCAAAAAGGCGAAGACAATCTCGGCATGTAGCTTAACTAAAATATATACCACCAGCGATCAAACCGTTTGAGATATACCCATTAAAAGGCATGCAATTTCTCGGCACTGATCTTTGCGGACTCATTGCCAGCTGTTCACAGTACAATGAAATACACTACACTACAATTAAGTGCGATTAGAACATTTCTGAGTTAACGAATAAAACATACAAGGACGAAGTTCGGGTCCGCCCGCCAACAGCAGTAGCTTGAAGAAGTGGGGGATAATTTGTTTAATAACCAAAACTTACTTTACATGGGGATCCATTCCTTTAATCTCATGACCTATATGTTTAGTGTTATTTTAAGGAGAAATCAGATGCTCTTAGGGGTTAAAGCATGCACGGAAACCTCCCATAACTACCACAACCGTTAAACCTCTGAACAGTACGGGAAATTTCCCAGTCTGCGCGGCTAAGGCGCTCACGGGGGGTTCCCGGCGGTGCAAACATTCGACCCCCATACGCTTCAAAGCTTTACAGTCAAGTGCCAAAGCGCTACTACTACTACTACTACTACTACTTACTTTCTATGAAGAGCTCCGCGCTGCATTGAGCCTTTCCAGCAGGGTTGCTGGCCACGCATTTGTAGCGTCCTCTGTCAGATGATTCAGCCTCTTTTATCAGCAAGGAGCACAAACCGTCATCTTCAAACTTGAATTGTAACCGCCCTCCTTCACGGATTACTCGGTTATCTTTGTACCAATCAATTTCAGGCTCAGGATTTCCTATTGGAGCAAACATCACCCTCATTGCCAGCACAAAACACATTTGAACCCCTTACTTAAGTAAAATCCCGATTTTTCGAACCTCATGAGTACAAAAGATTCGCTCGTTTGCCTTTGTTGAGGCCAACGTGCATGGTCCAACCTTCGAAAAACCTACAATTCTACCAAGGCCAAGTTAGCTTTTTTCCTGGCCTGAGTCTAACAATGAAAACTATAGTACTCTACTGTCGTGTTTACTTTTCATACTAACTTGCTAATCTGCCGATGCGAACCTTAATACTCAAACCAAACCCATTTTGGAAGACTTAAACGTTGGACTTATTTTTAAATCTTTGGTTTTCACCATATTAAAAAACCAAAATTGGACTTTCTTCACAATTGGATTTTGCGGGGACTCTCTTTGGAGTGAAAGTGACAAACAAAATTGACTTAGACAGGGGAAAGTCTCCACCACGGCAAGGGTTCACTTTACTTTTTTTTTTAATTAGCGTCAACCGACTCCATTCATACAGTTACAAACAACCTCATCTACACTAAATCTTTTGATAGTTACAAGTTACAAACAAAACTTGAGAAAAAAAGTACTGTACCTTTGACTCGAACATCAAATCTAGCAGCACTTCCTTCAACGATCTCAATATCCTGCAGCCTCTGAATAAACTCTGGTTTTTCGGCTCCTGGTGGGATTGGTTCACGTCTTAGTACAAGCTTTTGTGCTGAAAATTAAACAGGACATCACGATCAACAACGTAACTTAAAACAATTGGCGATGCTACGATGTGTTCAGCTGACCCAAGTTGGTCTACTTTACTGAGCTTAGACGGGTTACACGATTCGTGATACGAATTGACAAGGAGGCGAATGTTGAACGGATGCTAGCAAAATTGAATAGCAGGGATTATTATTCCATTAAACGTCTTTACAGGAAAAGGTAAGCTACAACATTCCATCGATCAATGTAACACCAGATACTTAAGTTTCTGAACAATCTCACAAGCATGGGGCACATCTGCTTCGTGGCGCTTTATTATACATGCGAAACAACAATAGCCCTTATGCATGTTTACGTCACACAAGCAAATTTCACCACCAAGCCTCGTTTTGAAATTAAAAATAATGGTTTCGAAATGAATTCCACAGTTGAAAAGAATGGCGACGCACAAAAAGTGCAAATGCAAAAAATTTTGGACGCTCGTCACCTATGCCCTGCGAACTTTCCACATCAAAGATGGCGATTACAAATAATGGACGCTCTCACCTATACTGCACATTACCATAACTCTACAGTGGAATCCAGTCTTCATTGTCTACTAACAGATCAAAGAATGCACTTACCATTGACCTTGACGGTAAATGGCTTCACAGCGGTGCCAGCAGAATTTGTGGCTTCAACGCGGTAATTCCCTGAATCACCTGGCACTGCTTTAGGGATTAACAAAATGCTCTTGTCACCTTCCGTTTGTAGCTCAACTCGCTTCACTCGTCTTGCAAGACGATTATCCCTGAACCACTCAACTTGCGGCGTAGGCTTTCCCTTCGCTTGCACAACAAGCTTGACTGGTGCCCCTTCCCACACCTCAAAAAGCTGTTCCTCGCTTCCTTGAACAAACGTCGGCGCAACAGTTCTGTCATTAACCTTCAATTCTGCTGAGCAACTGACGTCGCCCGCGCTATTTTTGACAACGCATCTATACTGCCCGCTGTCTTCTCGTTGGCAATCAACAACTTTCAAAGAATATCTCTGCCTGTCAAGGTCTTCACTAATGGTGTATTTTTCTTCGCTCGTTATCCTCATTTTTCTCAAATACCATTCTACTTCAGGCTCGGTTTTAGCAATCACTGCAACTTCAAACACGGCTTCATCGCCTTCTACGACTTCCAGATCGTTCATAGTTTCTTTAAACTCGGGTTTACTCGTCGACTCACTCACAGTAAGCTTAGCTGTACAATAAGCAGTTCCTATTTTGTTCTTGGCTGTGCATTGATATTCCCCGCTGTCTTCAGGTCTAAGATCAGAGATTACAAGAGAGTAGAGCTCACCCTCCGCCTCTGTCCGTACACGCCGGCTTTCAAAGACAGGACGGCCATTTCTGGTCCATTCAATGTTAGGTTTAGGCGTTGCATTTAAACGACATTCCAGCTTAACTATCGCGCCAACGGTAGCTTGTGCGTCTTGTAACGGTTGTATGAATTTTGGTGCAGGTTTCTTGCCTGTAACAAAACGCCTAAATATCAGCAAAATCATTAATTACCTAATTCAAATTTCGCCCTGGTTATTGTACAAGAAGGTCCTCGGAAACGTGTTCATATTGGGGTATTTCAATTCAAAGATCTCCCATAAAACTGAAGAGCATTCAACAAAATGGCTGAGTTGGATATCCAGAAGCTATCGAAAGCGGGATCTCTTTCGCAACTACCCCAAATTAGCCTGCGTTGCAGCCGAAATTGTCACTCGAGACCCAGATAGAGTACTCGATATCAGTGATTTAGACTGATTGCGACGCAAGCTACCCCGAGTGTATATCCCAGGTGCCACAGGATTGCACACTAATCAACGATCTTGTGTTTTGCGTCTCGTTTGTCGGAGAGGGACCTTAACGACCGCCCTGAAAATGTGCACCAAAAAACTGTCCTCTAGTGAATAAGGTGACAGATGTGGAAACCTAACCTTTTAAGCTTTCATTTGGATGTATTTTTTTTTCTAAGTTTTGCCCGTGTCACTTATTGAAAAATAATAATATCAATATCAATATCGTTCTTTTGTATAATGACAAAATGCAGCAAAATTTGCAAGCACGTCTCGAACTAATCTGTGAACAGCCGCTGCCTCCCCTCAAAAACATGTCGGGAAGATTTTGTTTGAGGGGAGGTGGCGGCTGTATATGAGCTAGTCTTGACCTGAAATAGCAAACCATATAAGAAGTGAAACGATAGGTGCTTTCCTTTAGCGTCTGGAAAATGATTTAATTAACAGAAAGAAGACCTACCTTCGATGTTGACCTGGAAGGTTTTCGTTGTTGTACCAGCCGTATTCTTAGCAACACACTTGTACACTCCTGAATCTTCAGGGGCAACAGAGAAAATAGTCACACCGAATTTATTTCCGCGAGTTGATAAACTCATGCGACTAGTTCTTTTCAAAGGTTTGTCATCTTTGAACCATTCAACATCAGGTCTTGGTTTCCCTTGGACCGTTACATTAATCTTAAGTTCATCACCTTCGCTGACTTCAATCGGCGCATCGCCATACTCGTCAGAAAACTCAGGTACCATCTCTCTTTCTTTAACATCCAATCGCGCAGAACACTGCATTCTACCAGCCTCATTAGATGCTACGCATTTATAACTACCAAAGTCGTCCATTGACACATTCTCAATAAGTAAGGAAAATAAGTCACTATCATCCGATTGTACTATCTTAAACCTTCCTCCTTCTCTTATAGGTTTCCCGCCTTTTGACCACTCAGTTACAGGTTTAGGATTGCCGATCACGTGAACATCAAACCTGGCTGTGTAACCCTCAGTAACAGTAATGTGCTTCATTTTCTCTTTAAATTCAGGCATGACAATAGCTTCGTTCACTAAGAGCTCAGCAGAGCAAGAGGCACTGCCATGCTCATTGGTCGCCACGCATTTATATTCTCCTTCATCATCAGTAACAGTGTCAGCAATTGTTAGTTTACAAACTTCGGAGTCAAAATAAGTTTTCACCCGTTTGCTTGTTTTAACAGCTACATCATCTTTGAACCATTCTATTTCCGGTTCCGGTTTTCCGTGGACCCAACATTCCAGTTTAGCGGTACTTCCCTCAACTACTTCTATCTTCTTAAGAGCTTTGAAGAACTCAGGTGCTGTTCCTTTAGGTTTCTTGGCTAATAAATAGTAAACAGATACAACAGAACATATATTTTAAATTCTTCTGTTCCCCCCCTCACTGTCCCAAAACCGGCGACAGCTACGAAAAAGTCAGAAACAAGTAATGTGCTCTATTTACAAAACAGAAACTTTGCACGTGTATCACGATTTTTGTACACAACTGTAGATTTCCTTGCTGTCGTTGCGAGACTACGAGAGACTTATCACGGTTATCACGTTTCAAGGAGAACGTGAACACAAGACAACGCCCATATTCTTCTTTTTCCTAAACTAAGATACAGTCCTTTAGAACTATAGTCCAGAAAAAGTCGTTAACATTTGACAAATTGAACGAGATGGAACAAGAGCTTTGAAGTTTAAAACAGCGAAAGTACAATTTTAAGGGAAGTGTTCGTCGCCGTTGCCGTCGTGCTTGCTTATAGGGAGTTTTAGAATCGACGACGGCGACGGCAGCGAAAACGTCACTTTTAAAATGAATTCGCGTTTTTTCAAACTTTTTCGCGCTTATTCCAAATTGCTGGAAATTTCATACGTAGGCGAATTTCCCTGAAGTTGATTTCTTGGGGATCACACTCAAGTTTTAAAAGAGAAAGAAAAATTCGTTGTCGCTTGTTTACGTCCTCCATAAAACGTGAAATTAGGGATTTTCACGCCGTAGTCGAGCAGTGACGGCAAAGAAATGCACAAAAAAGTGTGCTGCACGTGCAGAGATGTTGTTTTGCTAATCAAACCTATTGCGTTTTTGAAGTTTTCGCTGCCGTCGCCGTCGTCATTGCTAAGGCTCCCTTATATCTAACTGCACAAACGATCACTTCGTTATCTACTTTCCAGGTTCTTCTCCACTATCACCACAAGTAAAGAACCTAAACATAATGTCATTTAGCGAGTTCTATTCTTAAGCGCTTTTCTTTCTATTTTGCTAAATAATTTGTACCACGATACCCGCAGAAGGGACCCATTAGGCCACACCCTTTACTCTATAATTAGCAACGAACTCACCTTCAATATGAATGGTAAAAGTCCGTGTAGCTGTTCCCATTTTACTCTTGGCAACACACTTGTAGACTCCTGAGTCAGACGGCTTAGCGCTATAAATTGTAAGTGTGTATTGATCTCCTTTTACAAGCGTGTTCACATTTGATGACTTAGACACATTAAGTTCATCCTTGTACCATTGTACTTCAGGGGATGGTTTTCCGCGAATAGTAACAGTTAACGACACTTCATCGCCCTCGTTAAAAGTTATTGGAGCTTCGTCTAGGTCCCCAACGAACTCTGGAGCTGTTAGTTTCTCGCTGACGTTTAGTTCACCTCGACACGTTGCCTTTCCCGCAGTGTTAGATGCAACGCACTTATAAGTACCAGCGTCCTCCGTCGTTGTATCGTCGATAATTAAAGAGTGCTGACCGTCTTCTTCGCCACGTTTCAACGTACAACGTCCTTCGTTATCGATAGCTTGAGAACCACGAAGCCACTCGATCTTGGGCTCTGGATGTCCAGTTGCTTTCACATCAAACTGAGCTGTCTCGCCTTCATTCACATTAACAGTTTTAAGTTTCACTATGAACTCGGGTGATGAGATAGGTTTTATTACAATAAGCTCGCATTCGGTCGATGCCGATCCAACATCGTTCCTAGCAACGCATTTGTATTCCCCCCGATCGTCTGCCAGTGTTTCCGTAAATGACAATTGACACATGTCACCGATAACATCAGCTTTTATTCGACGGCCCAGTACGATCGGAGCTCCGTTTTTGAACCATTCTGCCGTGGGCTCCGGGGAGCCAGTCATGCGGCATTTTAATTTGACAGGACTCCCTTCCTCGACTTCGGTTACTTTCAAAGATTGCGTGAATTCAGGTGCTTTCCCTTTTGGTTTCTTTGCTTTTTTACCTAAGATTCAAAGAGAACTGCGTTAATCAGGTGGCTCGTTTTCTTTAGATGAATTAGCTACAAGGTAGCCCCGTCCTTCCAAGCCCCGCATTGCCATCCTAGCAACAGAAGACAGGACACCGTCTCACTGTCTAGATGTAGTCTTAAACAACAAAAGTAGTCAAATGTTTTTAGAATTCAATCGATGGGAAGATACGTTTTAGATTTTTAAAAAGATAGCAAACAGCGGGATCATAGCACCTTGAAACCTTTGAAGTACTTATCATCCTACAATATACCTACTAGTAATAACCAAAAGTTAGGGAGTTCCGGCGGGTTTCAGGCTTCTGGTCAAAGGTCAAAATGCTCTTGCCCTAACGCTAGTGCTTTGCGTAAGTTTGACGTGTTGGAAGACCATAAAGTGATCATATTGCGTTCTATTCATTTCATTCATTCTTAGTAAAAGTCCAAACGATTGCTAGCTACATAAGTGCCAAGCATGCGTACTGGCAACCTGGAGATTAGGATTGCAGGCGACAACTAGGGGAAGGGAATTTTAATATCGTCGCAATAACTACCAAAGGTACCTTGTACATTCACTTGAAATGTTCTCGAAACACTTCCAGCCTTGCTGCGAGCCACACACTTGTACAAACCAGAATCATCAGGCGTCACATTCAGGATAACCAGCGAAAATTTATCCCCTCGTGATTTCATATCAAAGCGGCTAGTTTTCCTCAGTATCTTCTCATCCTTATACCATTCAACATCTGGGACTGGCTTCCCTTTAACAGTAGCGTTCAATGTCACATCGCCACCTTCTTGAGCTGTTATTGGGCCGCTTTCTTCTTCATCGCCAAATTCTGGAGCTGCCATCTGGTCTTGAAGTTGCAGCTCGGCTTTACAACTGGCTTCCCCTGCCTCATTGTTAGCTTTGCACGAATATGTACCAACATCGTCAGGTGTAACTTGGTCAATAACAAGAGAAAAGAGATCTTCTTCTTCATCGTCAATTAACATAAACTTCCCTTCGTCCTCGATCTTCTCTGCTCCCTTGAACCACTGAATTGATGGGTTAGGAAAACCCGACACGCGCACATCAAATCGTCCCTCATCATCAACAGCGACTTGAATGTCCTTCATCGTTTCAATAAACTCTGGTTTACTAGCGGTCTCGTTAACAAGAAGCTCGGCGGTACAAGACGCTGATCCCAACTCGTTTTGCGCGACGCACTTGTAATCTCCTTCGTCATCAAGGTCGATCTCAGTAAATGCCAAAGAGGCGACTTCGCCGTCAAAGCTATCCTTGACTCGCTTGTTAGTTTTCAGGGGCTTGTTATCTTTCAGCCACTGGATGGTTGGTTCGGGTGTTCCTTTCACGGAGCATGAAAGTTTAACTGCCATTCCCTCGGAGACTTCTAATGACTCTAACGGATGGGTAAACTCAGGTGCCGTTCCAGTTGGCTTTTTATCTAGCAAATAAATAAACAACATTAACATTAAACGCCTTCGGCAGGCTCTTGAAAGGTGACAAATGCGTTGTTCAAGAAACAAAAACAAAAACGAGTCTATAAAAGCCCAACCAAAGCGAAATGGTTTCTACTCGTGGCACTATCCAGATCTGGCAAGTGCTTGTGATTGGAAGAAGGGAATCTCCTACGCGAGACGACCAATCAGAATACGTCATCAGTATGATATTTCTGCGCTCGCTCTTGAGACATAAACCAGTGGTGATGTCGTGAGATGTCGGCTGTTTGCTTAAGCTTATGACAAAGGTGATTTGTTCCTTTCTGGTTTTCTGGACCCAACTCAGTCATTACGCCTATTGCCCACAACCAGCCAGCAAATATACTATGTAAAGCTGATCTTCCAATATGCTCTCAAAAGTCCATATTGAAATATAATAGTAACCCATCTTCAATTACAGCATCGGTGACCAAAGCAAAAAAACAAAGCTTGCTTATTAAAAACTGCCAAAACGATAGCAGTATTTATTACATACCGGCTACTTTGACATCAAACGTCCTGGTCACAGTGCCCATCTTGCTCTTCGCTTCACATTTGTACACGCCAGAGTCTTCAGCTTTGATACCAAGAATCACAACAGAATATTTATCTCCTCGAGCCTTGATGTCCAGTCTGCTGCTTTCACGAAGGATTTTGTCGTCTTTATACCATCTAACATCAGGTTTTGGTTTCCCTTTGACTGTAGCATCAAGATTCACTTCGTCGCCTACTGTCACTGTAATGGGCGTGTCCAACTGCTCTTCAGAGAATTCAGGAGCAAACAGCTTCTCCTTGACCTTGAGATCTGCTCGGCATGTGTTTTTACCTGATGCAAAAGAGTTAATTACTATCATGAAGACTCTTCAGCCCATATTATTTTGGCATAGCGTGTTATCGCAATTGCCTCTCATCGCTAACAATTAAGAATTCAACAGCACAATCACATAGAAAAACAATGCAGTTGGCAGGTTCGAACAGATTCGTTCGTGAAGTATAAATTAATTACATGTGTTGCTAAAAATTTTCAACTGAACTGTTAACACCACACCGTAAGATCCTAAAGAGTAGCTAATTTTACACCCTCCTCGTTCCGTTAACAAAACGCTTTTAAAAATTTTGCAGTATTCCCATTCTACATTTTATAATCACACCTGTTCATTGTGATTTGTTCCGCCTTTCTGACATTACAACTCCCAATTTGCTGCTCAAAAAATCTTTTCACTCACCTGCTTCATTAGAAGCCACACATTTGTACATTCCACCCTCTTCAAGCTTAACATCAGCAATTACAAGGGAATAGCTGTTTTCATCTTTGTTCTCCGTTATTTCAATTCTCTCATCATTTTTCAGCTTGGTTGTTCCTCTAAACCACTCAACATCGGGCACAGGGTACCCAAGCACTCGAGTATCAAATCGTGCTGTGTCCCCTTCAATGACTTCAACTGCCTTGAGTTTCTCTTTGAAGTCTGGCTTGGTGATAGCGCGGACTGTTAAGCTTCCAACACAGGACTCCGAACCTGAGTCATTAGTCGCAACACACTTGTATTCTCCTTGATCACCCGTCCTTGTTTCTTTGATCGTTAAAGAAATGGCTCCTCCATCACTGTCCAATTCAATTCGTCGATTTTCTTTAACACGCACTCCATTCTTGAACCACTCAACATTAGGTTCGGGGTCGGCTGCAACAGTACATTGTAGCTTAGCATCATTGCCTTCCTTCACCTCTACTGGTGAAAGAGGTTCGGTGAACATTGGTGCAGTCCCTGCTGGTTTTTTAGCTGTTAGGACAAAAACAACAGCAACAGCAATCAGCTCTAATTTCGCCTTGACCAATTTCAAATTTAGAGGGAAGAGTGATGAGAAAGCTGAGCAAACAATTACGAGCTCCTATTGCGATACAAACTCGTGGCCCTCAGATTTCCAGACCGGATGCACTAACCAATGAGCTACTGGAGCCTCTGTGACAACCGAGGTTCAAGCTCACGTTTGTGCCTGGACACTGTAGCAGAGCAGTAACTTCTAATGATATTAATGTGAACATGCTCTTTTTCCTAAGGAACCACGTCAAAATTCAGCCACTTTTAGATTACCCGTGAGAATGAGTCGTTATTGCATCGGATTGCACTGAGAAACAATTTAGGGGGACGAACTTTGACCCAGTTTCCTGCTCAAATTCGTAATAGCCAATGAAAAGAGAGAAAGCGCCCCCCCCCCCCCAAAGTCCCATAGTGCAATTCGGCACAACGAACCAGTCTCACATGCATGCTCCAAATGGCCAATATGTTTATTGTAAGTGAGGCCATTAAAATGAAAGTGATTGACTAATAACTTTAAGGCAGTTCAGTTGTTTTCATTCAACCTATATAGAACATTTTGCTAATTCTTCAAAATTGTCGAATTGGTCATTTTCTAAGACTTTCGCCATTCACTTTTAGAGTACGTAAAATTCTATAAATAAGATTCAAATGACACTTCACATAATGTTTACCTGCTACTTGCAGGTCAAAGGTTCTTTCAGCCACACCACCTACGCTGCTAGCCCTGCACTTGTAAGTACCCGAATCTTTAGGAGTAGCATCCTTGATTAACAAGGCGTGTTTGTCGTCAACCTCGCTGATGGCCACATGCTCACTAGGCCTGACTTCTTCATCATCCCTGAACCATTGCACATCTGGTTTCGGCTGTCCTTTGACATCCACACTGAAAGTAACTTCTCCTCCTTCGTCAATGACAATGGGTTCGCTTTCACTTTTTTCAGTAAATTCAGGTGCAACAATTGGTTCTTCTAGGAAAACAGGAGCTGCACTTTGTACCTCACTTCCAAACTGTGGTGCTATAATCGTTTCTTCAACCACCAGGTTTGCCTTACAAGAAACCTCGCCAAGTTCATTGAACGCTACACACTCGTACTCACCACTATCACTTGGCTGTGCATCTTCGATAATCAGCGAGAACAGGTCCTCTTCAACGTTGTCAACCATAAGGATGCGACTGTCATCTTCAAGGTTATTTTCTCCTTTAAACCAATCAACTTCTGGTGGAGGCGATCCAGTCACCCGAACTTCAAACCGGACTTCTTCCCCAGTTTTAACAACGACATTTTCAAGTTTCTCTGTGAATACTGGTTTTGTATCAGCCTCGTTTACAAGAAGTTCAGCTTTACTGGAGGCACTACCCAACTCATTGCGCGCAACACACTTGTAGTCACCCTCATCATCAAGTTTGCTTGGCTCAAATGTTAAGGACGAAAGCTTGCCGTCAAACTCCATCTTAACGCGATTAGTTTCCGCAACCTGCTCATCATCCTTAAACCATTCAACCACTGGTGTTGGTTCTCCTTTAATCTCACATTGCAGCGTCGCAGGCTCACCTTCAACCACAGTCAAGTTTTCTAAAAGTGTCGTAAATTCTGGAGCCGTTCCTGATGGTTTTTTCGCTGCAAAAAAAAAAAAAAAAGCATATTAAAACAATAACAGCTTACCACTCCCGCGTTTTCGCGAGACTCCCTTTGCAAGTCTCGCGCCTAAATATTTCATTTAAAAGTTATCGTACATTTCCTTATAAAGGTTGTGCTGAATGCGTTAGCATAGAAAAAAGCAAATTAACAATCTAAAAATTGTCTGCTTACGTTTAGAGGATTGGAAAAGTATAACCAGAACTGAAAATTGAAATAACCAAATCTTGCTTATTAATATATCATCTAAAAACAGAAGTACCACAGCATTGCCAGCATACTCTGGTACCCACAGTAAAATCAAGTCTGCATGAGTGACCCTGTCTGCACTTGGCTCCTATCAACCGGGGGCCCTCAATAAAACGTTTCTATTTATGTGTGATTAGGTACTCATTATAGATCTTTGTAAATGATACCTGCAACACGGACATCAAACGTCCTGGTCGCTGTACCCATCTTGCTCTTCGCTTCACACTTGTATACGCCAGAGTCTTCAGCTTTGATACCAAGGAACACAACAGAGTATTTCTCTCCTCGAGCCTTAATGTCCAGTCTGCTACTTTCACGAAGGATTTTGTCGTCTTTGTACCACCTCACGTCTGGTTTCGGTTTTCCTTTGACAGTTGCATCGAGGTTCACTTCGTCGCCTTCTGTCACTGTAATAGGGGCGTCCGTGGGCTCTTCGGAGAATTCAGGGGAATATAGCCTCTCCTTCACACTCAGGTCCGCTCGGCATGTGTTCTTCCCAACTTCATTCGAAGCAACGCACTTATACATGCCTGTATCTTCACGTTTAACATCGTTGATTGTAAGACTGAAGCTGGTCTCTTCTTTATGTTCTTCGATCGCATATCGGTCGTCATTCGTCAGCTTTGTTGTACCTCTAAACCACTCAACACTAGGTTCAGGATAACCAGAAACCTGAACGTTAAACACTGCGGAGTCACCTTCCACTACTTCGACTCCTTTCATCTTGTCCTTGAAGTCGGGTTTAGACAAGACTTTCACTGTCAGACGCGCCACACAAGAGGCAGACCCAAAACGATTAGTGGCTACACATTTGTACTCAGCAGTATCATCACCCCTGGTCTCCTTAAAAGACAAACAAACCGTTTTTCCATCACTTTCTATTTTCACCCTTCTGCTTTCCTTTACTTTCACTCCATCTTTAAGCCATTCAAGCGTCGCCTGCGGTTCTGCTTCCACCGTGCACTGAAGCTTTGAGGCAGTTCCCTCCTTCACCTCCAATGGCTGTAAAGTTTCTGTGAACTGTGGGGCGGAACCCTCAGGTTGCTTTGCTGCAAGGTAAAACGTCAAAATACCCAACAAAAATATTATAAACAACACTAAACTTTAAGGGTCTGAAGCAGGAACCTGAAAGCTGCGACGGCGAAGAAAAGTCACGCCTCAACTTCTTGAGTCTGCAGATGGAATCCTTTAGTGTTAACATTTAAATGAACGCAATTAAAATATACTTTCCTTGGTCTTGTTAGATCTTAAACAACCAGCATTACAATTTAGCTTTGTTACGAGTGTCAACGTAATATCAGAACATTATTATTAAAAAAACAACCAATGAATGAATGAACCAAAACGTTCGAGCTCTGAAATTAGTCACTCCACGGTTGGAAACATTTAGGTTTATTTCACCAGCAGCAACAAGTTAGGTGCTGTGGTATGGTACATTACCTGCAACCTGCACATCAAACGTCCTTTCCAGAGAGCCAGCTTTGCTAATAGCTTTAACCTTGTAAACACCAGAATCATCAGGGACAACTGAGGAAATTGTCAGCGAATGCAGGTCTCCTTTATCAGCTAATACAAGATGGTCGTCACTCTTCACTGTTTTGTCATTCTTAAACCACTCAATTTGAGGTTCTGGTTGTCCTTTCTTCAACTCTACATTCAAATTAACATCACTTCCTTCCTCAGCAACAATTGGCGCACTCTCCTGTTCTTCAGTGAACTCGGGAGCTACAAGAGTTTCCTCCACAGCTAGGTTAGCCTTGCATGACACTTCTCCCACTTCACTGAACGCGACACATTCATACTTTCCAGAATCCTCCGGCTGTACGTCCTTGATAATCAAAGAGAAACGCCCATCGTCGCCCTCATCATCAATCAAGACAAACCGATCGCCGACAACCTTGTCATCTCCTTTGAGCCAGTCGACTTCTGGCGGTGGAACACCAGTAACTAGCACGTCAAACCTGGCCTCTTTCCCCTCCTGAACGTTCAAGTTCTTCATCTTTTCTTCAAATTCGGGCTTAGTAAGTGCCCCGTTGACAAGAAGCTCAGCCTGGCTTGACACACTACCGAACTCATTCCGAGCAACACATTTGTAGTCTCCTTCATCTTCAAGCTTAGTTTCTTTAAAGTTCAACGAGAAAGTGTCATCGCTGACTTCAGGCCTGACGCGATTGCTCTCTTTGACCTTTTCGCTGTCTTTAAACCATTCCACATTAGGCTTGGGTTTCCCAGCAATCTGACACTCTATCCTTGCTGGTTTACCTTCTTCGACTTCAGCGCTGTTTGCAGGCTTGATAACCTCCGGTGCTTTGCCTTCCGGCCTCGTGGCTGAATAGCAAGAAAGAAAACTGTGCTATAAGGGACGGTAACTTCAAAGACTTTACAAAGCAGCAGTGTATTCAGGTAAACACTTCTTTCCATACTCCAAACTGACCTTAGACACATTATGATGCCTATACAACTTCAAAGGCTTTACAAAGTAGCAGTTTATTCAGGTAAACACTTCTTCCCATACTCCAAACTGACCTTAGACACATTATGATGCCTATACAAAGTAATTACTTACATGGGCGTGTGCACTGACTACAGTGAAATAGGTAAAGCACTGATAAAAGTGTTTAGGGTTCATCTTACCTGCCACATTAACATCAAATGAACGAGTCGCTGTCCCAGCTTTGCTAGAAGCTACACATTTGTAGGTGCCAGAATCATCAGGCGTGACGTTCAAAATAATTAGTGAAACCTTATCATCTTTCTGATTGATCTTCAGTTTGCTTGTCTTCCGCATCTTCTGGTCATCCTTGTACCATTCCACTGAGGGTAAGGGTTTCCCTGTAACGCATACGCTTAGACCTACGTCATCTCCACTAGCCACATTTATTGACGCTTCTTGTTGGTCATCTATGAACTCAGGTACGATCATCTTCTCCTTCACAGCAAGAGCAGCCTTGGTGGTTGCCTGCCCTTCCTCATTGGATGCGACACACTTGTACGTACCTGCGTCTTCAGGAACTGCGTCTTCAATAATCAACGTATGCCTTCCCTCTTCTTCGGCATCATCCATCACATAACGTCCTTCATCTTCAAGTTTGTCTTTACCTCGAAACCATTCAACCATTGGCAGCGGATTGCCGTCAACTTGAACATCAAAGCGGGCGGCCTCTCCCTCGGCCACATTAGCAGGTTTCATCTTCTCCACGAACTCTGGCTTCATTTTTGGTTCGTTTACAAGAAGTTCAGAAACGCACGAGGCTGAACCAAACTCGTTCTTAGCCACGCACTTGTAAGAGCCTTCATCTTCAAGTTCCGTTGACAGAAACTTTAAAGTGCACAACTCGCCATCAAACCGTATCTTTATTCTCTTTTCTTCTTTCACAGGCTCATCATCTACAAACCACTCAATGGTCGGCTCCGGCACACCGGTAACTCGACACTGGAGTTTAGCTGGAGATCCTTGTACCACCTCTTCAGGCTGGAGTAACTCTGTAAACAATGGTGCCGAACCGTCGGGTTTTTCGGCTACAATAAACAGAAAAACGATACGATACGTAAGAAGCTTTTCTTCTAACTAAACATCTGTTGGCCCTATATGTATATACTACCTTTTTATACAATACCATTATGATTATCAAAGCAAACTATCATCGTGGGTTCTAATGATTTATCAACTTTGAGGCGTTAAGTTTTCGTTTGTTTGGACACCAATGAGGCAAAGTTAGGAGAATTAAAATAATAAAATCATTAAAAGGTTAATTTGAATTTAACAACCATAACACGGGTGTTCACTGGAAACAGTACCTTGAACGTTGACGTTAAATGTTTTTTCGGCTTTACCACCTTTGCTTTTGGCTTCACATTTATAAACTCCAGAGTCGTCAGGCTTTGCCTCTAGTATTATCAGAGAAAGTTCACCATCTTTGGCATCCATCTTCAAACGGCTTGTTTCCCGCAGTTTCGCGTCATCTTTGTACCATTCAATGGCAGGTGCTGGCTTTCCCTTCACAACGGCACTGAGACTCACGACATCTCCTTCTCGGACCTTAATTGGGGTAGCCCCCTCACGACTTTGACCTTTCTCAGTTTCAAATTCAGGCTCAGAGATGATCTCTTTCACAGCCAAAGCAGCTTTGCTGGAAGCCTCCCCCTCTTCGTTCTTGGCTACGCATTTGTAAGTACCAGCATCCTCTAAAAGAGTGTCTTTAATAGTAAGTGAGTAAATACTGGTTTCTTCACTGTCGACCATTTCAATACGCCCTTTATCCTCCAGCTGCTCCTTGCCCTGATACCAGTCAATAACAGGAGGGGGGTTACCAGTCACCTTCACAGTAAATGTTGCTGGATCTCCTTCGTTGACAGTGACAGGCTTCATTTTTTCTTCAAACAAAGGCTTTGCATTAGCCTCATTGACTAGAAGTTCTGACAAACAAGAAGCTGAACCAAAGGCATTTTCAACAACGCATTTAAACTCGCCCTCATCTTCCAGTTCTGTGGTTGCGATTTTTAACGTGGCTAGCTCCCCATCAAATCTTGTTTTGTATCTTTCCACATCATTCACACGTGTGCCATCTTTATACCAAGCTACACTTGGATATGGTTTTCCTGACACTTTGCACTCGAGTGTTGCACTTTCTCCTTCCGTTACCTCAACGTCTTTCAAAGGCTGCGTAATTTGAGGACTTTCTCCCTTATCACCAGCTATGGAAGATTCTGGTCCTTTTACAGTTAACTGTGCGTCACAAGTCGATTCCCCAACTTCGTTGGTTGCAATACACTTGAAGGTCCCTGAATCACCTGGTTCGACACTCTCTATAATAAGAGAGAACAAGTCTTCCTTAAGCGCATCTATGTGGACAAACCGACCTTCGTCTTCGATCTTTACCGAGCCTCGATACCATTCAACCTTGGGTTCCGGAACAGCATGAATTCTGGCATCAAAACGGGCTTCCTGACCAGCATCAATAACAACATCTTCGATCTTCTTTGTGAAGACAGGTGCAGACAGATCCTGCACTGGTTTTACCTCAATGGGCAATGAAGCCTGTAAGTCATCCATCTCTGACACAGTTATGGGCTGTTCTTCCCTAATCTCTGAACCTAGGTTACAGAAAATAGCAGAGATATTCAAACTACAACACAAGAAACACTAAGCGTTGGATATTTAAACGAAGTCTAATTTTAGCCACGGTTTAACAAATCTTGGGACCTCCAGGTCTCTTCCTTAGTGGGTTATTTTAAGAAGATAAATTCTTTTCTGGTCTACTATCTATGCTTTCATAAACCTTTTCGCAATAAATGGTGTTTAGATAAAACACTTGAGCAAACTGAAAATGGCTTAAACGCGATTTTGTTAAACACTGCCTAAGCTACGTTTAAATAACTGGCCCTAAGATTCTGAGAGCTTCCAAGTTCTTTCTGGAAAACATCTAAGTTATATCTGCTCTACAGTATGCGTAGAGCATTAGTATTTATGTGATTTACACTGTTTACTAAAATGATATCACCGCTTAATTGAGACAGTTTCCACGTGCTGTCAAACGAAAACAAAAGTAAATAACCAACGCGCGCGAAAAAATCACGATTGGCTTGGTTTTACCTCTAATCGCCAGCAAATTGGTGCACGATTTTTCTTTTTTGGTTATCTACAAAGTCACAAAGAGTAGCAACAAAGAAAAGCAAAACTAACGTTACATCCGCAGCTGTTAAAGCATTTTTTTTGTGTACAAACAAAACAAATACAAGTATCACTCAACCCAAGTCAAGATTTCACAGCACGCGTGAGGGCATAATTCAACTAATAAGCTCGCAAAAGTGACAAACTCACCTTCAATGTTAAGAAGGAATTTCTTTGTAATGGTTCCCATAACACTAGATGCAACACACTTGTAAGTGCCCGAGTCGGCTGGTGTCACGTGATTAACTAACAGCTGACAGAGATCAGGTTCTTGTGTGATTTCTAGATGCGAGTCTGACACAATGGGTTCCTCATCTTTAAACCAAGCAATGGATGGCGCGGGCAGGCGGCCAGTATGTACAACCATTGTCACATTATCTCCTTGTGAACCTTCTAATGGTACCTAATAATAACAAAAATATATACTCCAAATGACATTAATGATCACTCAGTGAAAAAACACCCCCCAGAGCTGCAAAGAATTATAAATTTTTTCTCATGAAGAAAGACGTGGGACGTGGGTCATCATTTTGTTGAGACAAAACAAAGGTGATCGAACATCACTTTTTGTTGAACTTCACTACCTTCGTTTTATTACAGTCGGTTCATAATTACCAATAAGTAGCATGTATGGAAGTCATAATCTTATTAACTGCTCAAGGAAAAATTAAATTCACCTTCAAGTTGTTAATGATTTAAAAGCCGGTTACAACTACGGGCAAAGTTTGATCAGGATTCCTCAACGACCAACTGTTAATTGCAATGGTCCTTTTGTTGGTAAAGAGTTTGTTTGGAACAAAAGAAACTTGAGTTTTACACTCAAAACTACTGTAACCATTTGACTGAAAAGTGCATAACCTTCCCCAACCAGAACACCCTTGGGAGCACAATTAATTGCCTCCTGAGTGTATCCCGTTGAAAGACTTACAAGATGGAAATAAACAGAAATTTAGTGTCGCTATAAGAAGCTTTTTTATGTGAATTTTGTAGTGTGCACCAGCTATGTTGGCATTCAAATTACAAATACAGAGGAACGAGGAAGGTGATTTTGTCAGCAAAAAGCAACTCAGCATACCTCTTCGATTTCATCTTTAAATTCAGGTGGGACAGTGGAACGAGTAACTACCAAATCACATTCGCTGTTAGCAGTTCCAGCTTCACTCATGGCCACAACTTTGTAACTACCCGAGTCTTCCATCTGACAACCCTCGATAACTAAGGAAAATAATTCCTTGTCATTATCGTCAACATCATCAATGATGACAAAGCGGCCTTCATCTTCCAGATGTTTTCCATCCTTAAACCACTCCACCATCGGTTCAGGATTTCCGGCGATGCGCACATCAAACTTGACAATGTCCCCCACATTTGCATTCACGTTCTTCAAGGGCTCCTTAATAAGAGGCATAGTGACACCCTCTTCAACAATCAATTCCGCTTTGCAGGACACTTCACCGAACTCATTCTGTGCCACACACTTGTATTCAGCTTCATCATCAAGTTCCGTGGGAGAGATAACAGCTGTGTAGACATCACCATCATTTTCAATTGCAACTCGATCACCTTCCACCAAAGGTTCGTCGTCTTTGAGCCACAACACCTTTGATGCTCGTGCGATGTGGCATTCAAGGCGAGTGGTGTCTCCCTCGAGAACTTCAACTTCTTCAGGCAGTGGCTTGATAAAATAGGGTTTTTGATCTACTAAAAAAGGAAAATAAGCAATTAGCATCACAATCCTCATCACACATTTCGTTTAAGGTACAGAAGGGTCAAAGACGAAGTGACAAAACTCTGAAGGCATACAATCACTGAAATAACCCCCTTACCTTACTTCCAAATTAAAAAAAAAAAAGAAGGAAAGAAAGAAACCGTAGACGACAAAACCCACAGTAAATGGACTCCGAATGAGATTTTGCGTGGTTAATCTGTAGTAATCCATCTACGTAGACTATTGTTAGAATCAGAATCAAGACACAGTTTAGAAATTGACATTACCGGTGACACCTGCATCAACATCTTCCTCTTCAACTTTATCTGAAAAAGTACATTTAAGTCGCGTGTAAGAGCTCAGTACGAAATGATCAATAACTCACCTTCAAGTAAGTACCAGGTAATATAAATATTTTTTCACTTCATCATAGAAGGCAATATTTGGAATATTTCTTAGTTTAAGCACAGCCCCTAGGGATGTAGTGACAAAAGCCTACCAAATGCATGTTACCTTCGACTAAAATCTCCGCTTCGCACTGGTCCTGTCCAGCTTGATTCTTCACAATGCACTTGTATATAGCCTCATCATCTATCTCTACTGGGTCCACTCGGAGCAGATGGATATCATCATCAGAGAGCATCTTACGGCGCTCATCAGCCACTATCACTTCATCATCTCTGTACCAGGTCACGGTTACTGGTTTAGAGCCGATGTATTTGATTTGGAGCTCAAGTTTATCTCCCTCTGTGATTTCGTGGTCATCAAACTTCTGAACCAGCACTGGTCTTTTGATTCTGTTTAAAGACAAGACATCTCAGTCAAAAACATCGTGGACTTTGTGACTCTTTACAAAATGAAAGAACAAAACAAGCGTCTAGGAGTTAGGTCAAGAGGATAACACAAAATCAAAGAAAAACAAAGCAGGGGTTTCTTACATTACTTTCTCGTCATCTGATGGTTCTGTAAAAAAATGACAAAGAAATTTAACAGTTGTATTAAAAATTCCAAACACAGCATTCGCCAATCTTTATTTCTGCGCCCTTTTTGCAACGATGTTTTTAAACTGCTTAAACTGAAATACGAACAGTAAGAAGCATCTGTTACAGTATAATTATCACTCTCGAGGCCGAATAACCATAGGGGCGGCACTGAGTGTCCCTTTTGAAAGGTGTCTACTTTATAATGTCGAGGAAAATAACTGAAGAACGGGACGGACCAACTCAAGATATCCACCTTACTTCAGTATCCGTTAAACTTTTAAGCCCCAATATTCACATACAAATTTTCAACACTGATCTCAATAAATTTCCTTGAAGAATTAGTTGAGAATCTGGTCAAAGTATTTTCTCTTTCATAATCATTTCATCCATTCTCATAACCTCTTCTATTGATTGTCAATATACATTGCAAGGAAAAAATTGATGTTGGCTACTCTTGGGACTTCAAGGGTGAAGAGAGTGTTGATTGTATTTGAGACAAATGTAACGCACATACCTTCAACTATCAACTCAGCAGAGGAACTCAGTTCTTGATCAGCACTTTGCAGTGTACACCGATACAGCCCTTCATCTTTGACACCAGTTTTCTTGATCACCACCTTACTGCTGTTTTCATCTGTAATGATCTTAACTCTCCGCCCATCCTCCACAGGCTTCATGTCCTTGAACCAAGATACAGTAGTAGGAGCATCACTCACAAACCAGATCTCCAGAGTAGCTGGCTCTCCTTCGTCAACTTCCACGTCCTCAAGCTCTTTCGTAATTTGAAGACCACCAGCTCCTTCTTTTGTTTCTTTGATTTCTGGAATTTAAATATAGTTATTCTCTTATAACAAAACGCGATTTAGCTCCAAGTAAATGATAGTGCTATTTCTAAAGAATTCTAAGTCCAGTTGTTCTCTTACTATTGAAAGTCTTGAATAAAACGAAAGTTGAATATAATCCTCTCGTTTCATCTACAATGAATATGTTAGCAATGTGCATATTTGGCACTAAAGTACCAGAATGTAGGGGAGGGGACGGCTGTACACAGGTTTCCAGAATGGAAATGGATGAGGTTTAAAGCATGTATGCTGAAAGTTTGACCTGTTTCTGGAAATATACAAGTTAATAATAGTTAGATAAACTACCGTGACTTTTTAAACAGTACTTGTATTGTATACTTTTCACTCAACGTCTGAATTTTTCAGGACTTTCGATAAGTTCTCCTAATTTTCATTATCTCCATACCTTGATTTTTATTAAAATTTCCTGACATTGCAAGATCATTACGATTCCGTTGAAACCGAGCAGTTTCGGATGTCAGAGATCGAAACTTATAAAACACGACGATGGTGTTTTAAAGGAAAGAGAGAAAAAAAAAACAGAATAAAAGGTAAATAAAACTCATCCAAACTTGTCGGAGGTGTGTGGTGCCTTATGAATCTACATGAGACTATTACAAATATAACTACGAAAATAATTCGCTTAACTCATTTCAACTAATATCAAGAGGAGCTACTCTACTTATCGCACAAAACCGTACCATCAACCAGCAACTCCACTTCACAGATGGCTTTCCCGATGTCATTTTTAGCCACACACTTGTAGATTCCTTCGTCCTCAAGCTCTGCTTTAGGTATAACAAGCTCGTGTTGATCTCCCTCTGCCTGCACGGATATCCGATCATTTGGGCGGATTGGTTCATCGTCAACATACCATTCAATATCAGGCGTTGGCTGCCCAATAACCCTGACTCTAAGGACTGCTTTGTCACCTTCGGTAACCTTCACATCTTGAGGAACATCAACAAAATCGGGCAACACAGCCTCGGCAGCAACTGGAAGTGTCAGCTCAACAGGTTCGTACTCCAGTGCTGATATGGTGTCCGGAATCAAGGGCGCGTCTCTCTGTCCAGGAAACAGAACCTAAAATACATGCATTACAATTAAGTATATTATTCATTCAAAAGATTTCGCTGTTTCTGATTGGCTCAAATCCCCTGGCAAATTCTTCCAGTCGGCGTTGACCAGATTTGGAAGATGCGATGGTATATGTTCTTGGAAAAGAGTTTGGTTGATGGTATATTTGCCTGGAAACGAGGCTGCCTAGCCATAGTGAACTAAACCAATGGCGTTCACGGCTATCCGATGACGGAAAAGCTGAATTTCTGACCAACACCGAACGGAAGAAAAGAAAAAGTACACAGAGGGGTACTCAGTTTATATCCTGAAACCGTGCCACGAAATAGGCCAACGTTTTGGAGAAAGTCTATGAGGAGGTAAGCTTGTTACAGTCTTTCTTATGATGTGAAGGGTTGTGCTTATCTGGAAGAAGCTCTCCACTTATAGATAACATTCTCCTCGATATCCATAATTCTCTACATCAAATTCAGCCTCATTAATTAATTGTGAAATATTATGCAATATCACGTAAATTTTACCTAAACAGTTGTATTGTCTAGAAGAAATAAAAATTTTTAAGGTACTCTAGGTTTTAAGTGTTATACATGCTAGTATATATACTTCAGGATGTACAACATTGAAGTAACATGTTTACTCAAGATAATTCAATACCTGAACCTCATCAAACGCCGGTTTGCCTTTTGGTTCCTCTTTTGATTCATCTTCCTCCACTGGCAACTTAAGCTGTATTTCTCCGAATGGAGTTGAGCTCACTGGGATGTTAGTTAGTACAACTACTAGTTCCTCGGTGGGTTTCGTTTCAGCTTCTTTTCCTCCTCCATCCTCTCCTACAATAAATATAAGATGGCGTTTATAAATAAGTCTAACCATAACGGTTTTTGGCAATTGCAACAGTATCACGATAACTGAAATATCGTTACGATAATAGTTCTATTTCCCGTTTTTAATTTGGTTGCTCGTTCGACTGCTGGGTTCATAAGTGCTCTGTACAATTTTTTGAAATCCGTAAACTGTGACTGCAACCAACAGCTCTGCTTGGAAGTGCAGTGGTTTTTCAAAAATCATTTAAAGCCACCCATTTGTACAGGCCTCTATACAACCATCCGTGACACTGAATTCGATCGTATAGTTTTCGTTTTGACGGCGACGGCAAGAAGAAAGTCAAAACGAATACTTTTGAAATAGCCTTAATAAGCAAAACAACAACTTTGCACGTGCAACACAATTTTTTGTACATTTCTTTGCCGTCACTGCACAACTACGACGTGAAAATGCCCAATTTCACGCTTTGTGGATGACGTAAAAAAGTAGCCTGCGTAAAAGAGGGACGATGGAATTTCTTTCTCTCTCTGAACTTGTATATGGATCTGAGGAATTCAACTCCACAAGAATTCCCCTACACTTAAAATAAGTCTGTTCAAATAATTTGAAAAAACGCCAATTCACATTTTAGCAACCTTTTCGCTGCAGTCCCTGTCCTTGAATCGTAAGGGCGTTAATTGGTGAAAATATTCATAGCTTACCCTTGATATTAACGTTAAAATTCCTGGTTGCAATCCCAGCAGGACTGGTAGCTTTACACTGGTAGGTTCCAGAATCGTCAGGTTTTGCCCCAAAGATGACCAACTCGTGTTTGTTTCCTTGCACCCCAGTCTTATATTTGCTACTTGTTCGACTGATGGGTTTGTCATCTTTGTACCATTTAACGGATGGTTTTGGCTTCCCTATAACCTCCGCTTGAAGCGTATCGTCACTTCCTTCGTCTATCTCTAATTGCACATCACAAGCAGGTACTTGAAACTCGGGTGCAATCAACCTCTCCTTGACAGTTAATGACGCGGAACAAACAGCCTTTCCCTCGACATTAGATGCAACGCATTTATACCTGCCTTTGTCCTTTAACTCACAGTCATTAATTGTGAAAGAGTGACTGTCGTCCGTTGATTCCACTATAAATCGACCACCAGTAGTGATTTCTTTAACTGAAGAAAGCCACTCCACTTCTGGTTGCGGGTTACCTTTAACTCTAACGCTGAAGGTTGGGGAATCTCCTTCAAAGACATCTAAATCTACCATCTTCTCAAGGAACTCTGGTTTGGCTTGAGGTTCACTGACATCAATCTCGTTGATAAGAAGTTCCAAGGTACACACTGAAGAACCACAATCATTCTGTGCTTTGCACTGATATTCTCCCTCATCATCCAATACAGTACTTCTAAAGCAAAGTGAGTTAACATTACCATCGATCTCACTGACGACACGGTTATCTGTTTCCACTGGCTCGCCATCTTGGAGCCACGTTACTATTGGCCTTGGATTCCCTGACACTTTACAGCTAAGCTTGGCAACGTCTCCTTCAGTGACTTCCACGGGCGTGGCTTCTGCAATCACCTCAGGTCTAACACCATCTACAGAATCTTTGCCTTAAAACAAAACGAAAATCACACGTAAGACAAAAAAGAGTTAAATGTGATGAACAGAAATTTCGTAAAGCAAACCAGTTCATTATTTAACAAAAATCTCGAGAGGCTGAGCACCAGGTGGCACTTAGATTTCTGAAATCGTTTGGGCAATAAATATGAACAATTAGAGATTATTAGTTGCAAATGAAAACAGGCGACCTACAAGTAGCTCCGCAAGGGCTGGTCACGATTTCAGAAATCTTAGCACCCTCCCAGGAAGTGGCACGCTGTTAAGTAATTCAGTTGCCCAAAATAAGGACAAAAGACGTCACTACTGGAAAAAACTTTACCATGTTGAATGTGGATGGAAAATATAAAGTGAACATGTAGTGGACGTGAAATTGATTAAAACTTAAATATTATCACAACTTCTGAATTTCAGTTATTAAAAAAACCGCTTAACCTAAATATTTCAATTATAGCCTACTCGAGAGTAGCCTACAAGTGAAACAGTAGACCTTGTAATGAAAGAGTGCTCCATATGCTTAACTCCAACATGTTTCAAAAAAGACACAAATAAATGCCGATACGTGTGCTGTGGTTCGATTGTATCCTTTGCTTTAATTATATTTTTCTTGTTTGGGGGTAGACAAAGTATTATAATGACTGAGACAAAGAAAAATGAAATTTAAACCTAGGATAAATTGAGCCACAACATACGGTTAGTCCATTCGACTTAGCATATGGAGCATCAGCCGATGCAGAGTACAAATGTGCAAGTGCTATGTAATGGTTACCCTTTATGGTGACATTGAATGTACTTGTGCTTGTGCTATCATCAGGAGTCTCACACTTGTAAACACCCGAATCTTCCGGAGATGCATCCTTAATCGTCAGGGTGTGTACGCCTCCCTTGGCGTCAATCTCATAATGACTGCTCTGCTTAATAGGTTCATCATCTCTCAGCCAATTAACTTCAGGGCTGTCGGCACTCATCAAAGCCTTCAATAACACATCATCGCCTTCTGCAAATTCCAAGGGAATTTCAGCAACATCCGAGTCAGATATGGGAGTCACCATCAAATGTGCAGCGCAGGAGGCTTTTCCAGCCTCATTCATGGCCAAACATTCGTATTCGCCAGCATCGGAAGGCAAGCACTTTTCAATTACCAGGGAGAACAACTCCGGCTCGTTGTCATCAACATCATCTATGATCATGACTCGATCCTCATCTTCCAACTGTGTACCATCCTTGAACCATTCTACAACTGGTTCAGGATTTCCGACTACACGGACATCAAAACAAGCATTCTCGCCTTCTTTCAAGTTCACATTGCGCATCTTTTCTTTGATCACTGGCAATGCCATTCCCTCCTCAACTAAAACCTCTGAAGCGGTCGATACAATACCTTGATCATTCTCCACTTGACAAATGTAGTCTCCTTCATCATCCAGTGTTGAGACTTCAATGGACAGGATGCAAACCCTGCCGTCAAATGAGGTTGATATCCGTTCGCTGTCTGCAATAAGATCGTCGTCATGAAACCACCTAACTTGGGCATCAGTTGCACCAGCGACATGACATTCCAAAATAATGGGCTGTCTTTGGAGGACCTCTACGTCTTCAAGTGGTTTAATGATCTCAGGCACCAAGCTGGCTTTCTTCGCACCTACGGTACGCAGTTTAAGTTAAAAAAAAATGATGCTTCAACGGAACAAAAATGCAGTTACTTTATGTTAGAGTGGTTAGCCCATTTATTTACTCAATCTCTATAAAGGTTGTTAGTTGAAACCGTTTACAATTTAACCTAGAATGGTTCTCTTAATGTCAAGTTTACAGGATTTACACCATTAAATACACATGTAAGCCCAGATTTAACTTAGTTTATCAAAGACGAAAACACTACAAAGCTTTACCCCAAGCACCAAACGATTTAACAAGAATTTATGAAGTGGAAAACAGATACACCTTTAAAAAAACAGCAACAGAGAAATAGCTGAGCTACCTGCAATCTCAACATTGAAAGCGCGAGTTCCAACTCCAGCTTCATTAGTAGCAGTAAGTTTGTAAGTTCCCTTGTCATCTATTGTTGGTCTTTTAATTAGCAACATGTGCATGTCGTCCTTTGAGGTGATTATTATACGCTCGCTCTCTTGCAGAGGAACATCGTCCTTGTCCCATTCTACCTCAGGATGCGGTTTTCCCTCCACTCTTGCTTTTAGTTGGACATCTCCTTCTTTGGTTATTTCAAAAGGTACAACAGATTTGTCCTCCACAAATGCGGGTCTCTTTAACTCAGAGCCTACTTTCACTGGCTTTTCTCCCTTCCCTTCAAATTCCACCGTGAATGTCTTCCATGCCATCCCTGCTTTATTAGTAGCTGTGCATTTGTAAAGGCCCTTGTCATCTGGAGTAGCACCCTTTATAAGCAATGTGTGCACGCCTTCTTTCGACTGTAATTGAATGTGACTGCTATTATGTACGGGTTTTCCATCTTTGGACCACTCAATCTCCGGCTCGCCACTAAATTTAACCTGCAGTTTGACATCGCCTTCATAGGAAATATGAAATGAGGCTCTTCTCTCTGGAAGTTCCATAACTCTTGGAGGAGCAACTGCTTCTTCTACTGGAGCAACATGTTTAGAGGTTGTATCGTCGACGTTAAGAGTGAATGTTCTCATCGTTTTTCCAGCAGAGTTAGTTGCTGTGCAAGTGTACTCCCCCTCATCTTTAGGTCCAGCTCCTCTGATGACTAAGCTATATATATCGTCAATTTTCCTCAAAACGTGGATACGATCACTCTCCTTGATCGGCTCACCATCCCGTGTCCACTCAATCTCCGGAAAAGGATTTCCTGCAACCTTTACTTCCATTGTCACATCACCGTCATCAGAAATCTGAAAAGCACTTGCTAAATGATCTTGGAAAGAAGGCATCACCCAGTCAGGATTGCCTTCTATATTCACATCAAAGCTTCTTGTGGCAGTTCCGGCATCGTTCGATGCTACGCACTTGTATACTCCTTTATCCTTTGGGGTAGGCCCTTGGATACTCAACGTGTGTCTGTCACCGTCAGAATGTAACGTCAGACTATCGCTGACTTGCAAAGGCTCATCATTCTTGAACCAGTTCACTTCTGGAAGAGGTCTGCCACTAACCCTAACTTGCAATTTTACATCACCATCAGGGTTAACATCGAAGGGGCTGCAACCTTCAGGCAATGCTATGAACTGGGGAACCTGGCGTTCCTGCTTTGTAGTTGTCAATTCAAATGTTGGCCCCTCCCTGGCAGCTGAAATACTGTTCCTTTCTGGTTTGTATTTAGCAATTTCAGGTTCCGCAGTTTTCAGGATAGGCTGTGGCTCACCAGTAACATTAACTGGTTCAAAAACGACTGAATTGATTTCAAACTCAAACGGCATTTCCACCTCCGCTCTTAGAGCATCTTCAACAACGGGTTCAATCTCTCCAGATGATGGAATCATCACCAAACTAGTCTTGCATGAGGCTTCGCCTGCTTCGTTAAAGGCTACACACTTATATGTCCCAGCATCTTTGAATGCCGTCTGCTCAAGAATGAGGGAGAATTTTCCATGCTCAACGTCTTCCTTAATTACAAATCGTTCATTATCTTCAATCACTTCTCCATCCTTCAGCCAATTGACTTCAGGAGGTGGATTACCAGCCACAATAACACTGAACGTTACAGACTGGCCTTCTGATATCGTTTGACTCTCAGCTTTTTGTTTAAAGAAGGGTACACTGTTTTCCTCTTCTACAAGTAGTTCACACTCTGTTGAAGCCACTCCAAAGTCATTCTTAGCCAAACATTGGTAATCAGCTTCATCATCCAGCTCTGCACGAAAGATTATCAAACGGCAGACTTTACCATCAAACTCAGTCCTAACACGTGTCGTCTGCCTTAAACGTGCATCATCTTTGCGCCACTCAACGGAAATTTCGGGTGAACCAATTACCTCGCATTCTAAAGTGACAGGAGAATTTTCAACAGCTGTTGACGACTGTAGGGTCTTTACAAACTCTGGCGCACATCCTTGTGGTTTTGCCGCTATATGAAAACAAACGCATAAAGCAGATTTCTTCCACGTTCACTCCAGCGAATGTGTCAAAGCACGAACGACGTACGAACAGCACGGAATGGACGAGCTGAGATACAAGACAGCGTCCTTTAAGCGAAGTTTTTGCTTACTCAGCTACTTAGAACCTGTTTTAAGGAAGCCAATGGCAATTGACACATCAAAAGCAACAACCAATAGGATGTGCCAATGACTATTCTGCAGTTCTAAGCAACTAACATAGTAAAAGCATCATATAAAGAAAGTCCCTCAAACAAAGCAAAAGTACTTATCACGAACATCTAAATGCATGCATCTTTAGTACCTAAAGTTCAATTTGAGTTAAACTATTCCCATCGCTTCAGTGAACCCTTATACAGCTGCCCTCCTCGGCTTCATTTCATTCATCAGGGTATTATTTTAAAAAAAGCAAGACCAAAGCTGAACTGGAGATTTTTTCCATGCATGGTGCACACAACGTCGAGCAGAAATATACTTACACAAAGTGAATATAAAGCTGTCCCAACAACAGATAACAATCTAACTCATTCTATAATCTCAACCGCAAGATCTCACTTCGTAAGCTGCAGAATAGACGGTGTTGTACAAGAGTACCAGCAACATAACTTTGTCTGAGGCCGAAACCACTAAGAACTGTCTTAACAGTTAGTCCCGACGTTCCCGAAGAAAATAACATATGACACACAAAAGGAAAAACATAGAAGAAAAGCTGTGCTTTATGCAGGTGCCGTGCGTTTGTTATTATTACTTTCTAATACCAATGTTACTTAAATTAAATTTAAAGTAAGAACAGCCCATCAACAAGTCCATTACAGGACAAACACAGGTTACTTTAGAGCTACATTAAAACAATTCATAGAGCGCCATTTACGCTTTACATTATGGCTATACTGAGGCACAACATTAACTAGATCACAAAACATATGCAACATGTTTCCAAGACAGAAGTTTACACTGTACGTCACATAAGCATTAACAGCCGCAACATTTTAAGAGGAAATGCAAGCATGCGAGTTACTGCCTACGTTGATGTTCGCTAGAGAAAGCTAGAGTAAGCCTTGAGGTCTGCCAAGTATACTCCATTACATAAGAACAGCCCTTCAAAGGAATCATATGAATGGTGTATAGTCATTGGATAGCGGCAAAGCGGCTTCTGTGGATTTGATTAATCAGGTTATACTATCAAATTATAAAGCTTTAAACGGAGAGTTAAAAAATATCTAGCATTTCGATTTTGAGTCACGTTGAGTCACCTTCCAAACATGACTAGGGTTACAGCGTTATGATCGAACTCAAATATAAAAGGATTTGTAACGAGTGACCAGAACATAATAGCATTAGTGCCAATATCTCGCCGTACTGATGAGAGTCATTGGTAATGTTTGACAAATAGACATTTTTCACCTTGTCATACTCAGCATCCTTCCTCCCCCACCATCCCCACGCAAAAAAAATCGTTTTGGCCATTTTGCATTATTGCTGTCTTTGGGGCTTAATAGCCACTTCATGTCTAACTTGTGCTGATTTTCGATCTCTATGATTCTTGTGGGTCACCAATGAGGAAAGAGGAAGCGAAAAAAATCAGCTAGCTGCAACTCAGAGATTTTGGCCAATCAAAATAATTTAAGGGTGTAAAGTTTTTATTCTCAATTAAATGGACGACTCTGTCTGATCGATACCAAAATAACACCAAAAAAAACAAACATAAAAGAAAACTTCTCTTCACTTTGTTTTCACATGCACCTATCACGTTTACCAAAAGGCTCAAACTCAGCATGCCTCTATTGCAGAAGCCTATTACTCTTTTGTCTAGTTCGTTCGTGAACCACTTAACAGCTCTCAAACGCAAGGAAATATCACATAATTCATAATTAATTTAATCTGATAGTCAACATGATTATCATTTTGCTAGGTAAATAAAAAAAGCTCACCTTCAATGTTTACATTGTATGTTCTGGTGGATGTTCCAGCTGGGTTACTTGCCACACATTTATAAACACCGGAGTCATCGGGGCCAGCACCTGCAATGGTCAAGGTGTGTTTCCCATCCTTGGCTTTGATGTTAAAACGGCTGCTGTCCTCTACTTTGCTATTATCTTTGACCCATTCTACAGTTGGTACAGGCTTTCCGCTGACTGTTGACTGCAACACTATATCGCCACCTTCCCCCACTTCCTTTGGAAATGTAGGCTCATCTGTAAACACAGGGGGGATAGGTTTCTCGGTGACAGTCAGTTCTCCAACGCAAGATGCCTGTCCAGCTTCATTTGACGCAGTACAGCGGTATACTCCACCATCAGACAATAGGCAATTGGATAGTTCCAGGGAATGCATATCATCATCTGACAGGAATTCATAACGTTCATCGCCATCTAAAGAGTTGTCATTCTTAAACCACTGTACTCCCGGTTGTGGGGTACCAGAGACACGGACACCGAATCGGGCCAAATCCCCTTCACACAACTCAATACTGGTCATTTTCTTAACAAATTCAGGAGCCACAACTGCCTCTTCAACAATTAGTTCTACAGCATGAGACACTCTACCCACTTCATTAGTTGCTGTGCAAGTGAATTCGCCATCATCGGTCTGCTTCGCATCCTTGATAGTAAGAACGGATCTGTTTCCATCGAACTCTAGCTTGAAATGATGACTGTCCCGAATCAGCTTTCCATCTTTAAACCACTCAATTTCTGGCTCTGGTAAACCTGAAACAATGGCTTCTAAGCGAGCTTGGCCTCCTTCGACAATCTGGGCCCCCTCAGGACGGACAAGGAATTCTGGAGCATGCATCTCCTTTTCGACTTCAAGAGTAGCCGCACAAGTGTCCCTGCCACCACTGTTTGAAGCAACACAGCTATATTTCCCACTATCTGCTATTCGAGAACGAGTAATGGACAATGTGTGAATGCGTCCGTCCATGTCAAATTGAAGGTGATTATCGGGGGCAACATCTTCTCCATCTTTGAGCCATTTGAGGGTTGGTTTGGGCCTGCCGCTAACCTCCACTTCTAAGTCCACATCAGATCCTTCAACAACCTTCCTGTTTTCGAGGCGCTGCAGAAACTTTGGTGGGATGATATTTTCTTTAACAGTCACCTTTCCTTCACACGTTGCTTCACCAGCCTCGTTTGCTGCTGTACATCTATAAGTACCTTGATCTTCAGGAGTGATACCATAGATTAGGCATGCGTAGCTTCCCCTTTCCTCGTTATCAACAAATTCTACCCGAGATGTTTCCTCGATAGGAACACCATTCCTGTACCAATCAATATCAGGCTCAGTCCCTTGAATACGCACCTCTAGCCTCACATCACTGTTCTCACTGACCTCAAGGTCTCTTAAGACTTCCAAGAAAGACGGCTTTTTAATCTTCTCTCGAACAGAAAGCTTTCCCGTACACGAAACTTTACCAGCTTCATTTGTAGCAGTGAAAGTGTACTCCCCCTCGTCATCTAGGAGAACGTCCCTTAAAATAAGTTTGTAAGTATCACCAATTGTTTCCAAAATAGTCTCGTCATTTTCCATTATCTCTGCATTGTTTGTGGACCAGTGACCAAGTGGTTTCGGAACACCAGAAACATTAACTTCAAATCGAGCTGTATCTCCCTCCGTCACAGTGACATCTTGCAATCTTTTTGTAATTTTAGGAGGTATGGTCTTTTCCGCTTTTGGAACACCGAGCACTCCGTCAAGAGGAATCTCATTCTCCAAAGTTAGGTTTTGAAACACAGGAACTTCTTCCACAACCTCGTTAATACTGGCGACAAATACCTCCACTTTACAGGACACTTCCCCAGCTTTATTTGAAGCAACACATCTATAAATTCCCTCATCGTCGAGTTCCGCGTTTTCAATGACCAGTGTCCCATCGGGCAAACAACGGATATGCCCTCTTTCAGGTATTTCTTCTTCCTGTTCTGTGTACCAGATAACCGTGGGTGTGGGTAACCCATCTACTTTTACTTCGAAGGAAGCACTACCTCCTTCAACAAGACGGGCACTGTCAGGTTTCTTCAGAAAAGAAGGAGCTACAGACGGTTCCTCTACAAAGAGTGGTTTAACATGCAGTGGTGCAACGCTTTCAACTTTGCCTGCATCGTTGACAGCTTGGCATTTGACTTCACCAGAGTCTTCAGGTATTGCGTTGTGGATAATAAGTCTATGCAAATCGTCGGCTTTCGCTTCTTCGTATCTGCCACCCGCTGTAATTGGCACATCGTTCATCAACCATGTAACATCTGGCTCTGGGCTTCCCTGCACCTGTATCTCAAATGTGGCATCGCTTTGTTCCTCAACTTCAAGAGGATTTAGTGGTTGAACAAACTCTGGCTTAGAGGCGATCTCGTCAACCAGCAGCTCGGCCAAACATTCTACTCTTCCCAGAGAATTTTCTGCTACACATTTATATTCGGCTTCATCATCTAACACCGCACGATCAATAACCAGAGAATGTTTATTTCCCTCCTGAATAATGCGGGTATTCTTGTCTTCTTCAACCAACTCGTTTTCAACAAACCACTGCAATGTTGGCTTTGGTGATCCATCAACTATAACTTCCAAGCTTACATTATCTCCCTCATTTACATGAAGAGTTGACAGTTTTTTTATGAATGCCGGTGGTTTCCCACTTGGCTCTATTTCAGCGGGTGGAGCTAAATCTGTCACATCTGGGATCTTGGCACGGGTAGTCTTAACCACTTCCTCTACCACTCTAAGCTGTGCACTTGTAACAGCCTTGCCTGCAATATTTGTTATGATGCATTTATACTGCCCAGAGTCATTTGGTCCTATGTCCTCAAGCACAAGCAACGATGATCCTGGCTCAGTCTCTATATCCATGCCTTCGTCATCTTCAGACACCTCCTCATCATCTAAAAACCATTTTACCTTTGGCTCTGGGCTGCCAATGTACTTAACAGAAAATTCTACAGTGTTTCCAGCGTCTGCCGTCGAGTCATATAGCTTTTTGGTAAACCTTGGTGGTACAGTGTCTTCTGCAACAACAAGTGTTGCTTCACAAGTAGCTGTGCCGAACTTGTTTTGGGCCTTGCATGTGTATGTACCGCTGTCATCATCTCTACAGTTTGTTATGACCAAGGTATGGAAGTTTTGATTTGCTTGAACTTCGACCCTAGGAGCAGCTTTTACGAGTTTTGATCCCTTGAGCCATTCTACCACTGGTGTTGGCTTTCCTTCGACATGTACCTCAAACCGCACTGGATTACCATCGGGTATTTCAATGTTCTCCAGTACCTTGGTAAACTCTGGAGATTTACCCTCACCGTGGACTGTCACATTAGCTGAACAGCTATCTTTCCCTACAGAGTTAGTCGCTTTGCAAGTGTAAGTTCCTTCATCATTCATGTCGACCCTCAGTATGCTCAAGATGCAAGAGCTATCGGGAGTCACCATCATTTGAAACCGGCTATTTTCATGAAGTTGTTGTTGACCTTTAAACCAAGCAATGTTTGGATCTGGCCTCCCAATGACTGTACATTTAAGTTTCGCTGGCTCTCCTTCTGCAACATCAACATTTTCCAACGGTGAGGTAAATTTTGCAGGTATTTGCAGTGGTGAGATGTGCAAATGTGCTGACGACTCAGCATCTCCAGCCTCGTTCACAGCCTTACAAGTGTAATCCCCTGCATCGTCTGCCTTGCTGTACATGAGGATTAGTGCAGAGGTGTCTTCATCATGAATAATCTCTATGTGCTCGTCCTTTTTCACAGGCTGCCCATCCTTGTACCAACTCACTTCAGGTTCTGGCATTCCTGTGACTTTGACATCAAATCGAGTACAGGACCCTTCAACAATGAAAACGTCCTTTAATTGTTTTACAAAGGCAGGGGGGCTTGTTGGTGTGACCTGTGTGACAGTTAGTTTGCACGACTTTGTGACTTCTCCAGCAGTGTTCTTAGCTCGGCAGGTGTAGTTTCCTTGGTCACTGCATCGTGCATCTTTGATCTCCAGGCTGCAAACATCATTGTATCTCACTGCGTGAAATCGCCTGTGTGGATAAATTGTAATTGGCTGGTCATCTTTGTACCACACAACTTCTGGCGGAGGTGTGCCAGTGACGAATATTTGCATTTCCACAGAATCGCCTTCTTCTATTGTCTTGTCAAGTAGCTCAGTAGAAAATTCCGGAGGTATAGATCGCCGTCGAGTATTAAGTACGCTCTCTGTCATCACATGGATCTCAGAGGCACTTATGTCACCAGAAGTGGGAAGTTGAACTTGAATGGGCTGCAAATCAGTATTATCTTTTCCACCAAGTGTGAAACTTACTGTAGGCGGAGGTTGCTTTGGATCTCTGCAACAATTAAAACAAAAAAGTTCTAGTTAGTTTGGAAGATGTATTGGTTTCTCTAAACCGGGGGTCAGACAGATCGTGTTTCCTGTCAGCCAGATGGACTTGCAACAGCACATTCTACCGTTCCACCACAACAAAATAGCATTGTTTATCAGGCTCTTACCAATTTGGACTTTAAACATTGTAAGTTCATTTCACAGTCACGATTCTAACACCTAAAGTTTAAGGGTCCATATTTTACGTCGGTAGCTCGAAATAGTCATCTGACTAACAAACCTAAGGCTGACGGTGAGGTCATTTTACCACCTCTCTCCTTCAGTGCTACGTTTAACGGGAATTTAAAGCAACTTAAAGCTACACGGAAAGGAAAGAAGTCGAAAAAAGGATTTGTAGTCACACAAGGGAATGGAACTCGGGACCTCCTGCACAGACGGCAGCGCACTAAGCAACTGCACTAATCCTTCCACCTCACTTACTTCACTTATTTAAAAGAAAACTCACAGTTTAATCACAACCGTCTGTGGTTCCTCTTCATCTGGCTCTTCCTCTGATTCGCTAGCTGTTAAAAACACACAGAAAAATAAGCATGTAAGAGGCACCTAAACAAATGCTTAAATGGCTTCTTCTTTACCAGAAAAAACGCAGTCATAAAAGATAACTTGTGATTAATTCAGCATATCAGTAGCACAGTGTTTTTCTTACATTCAACATTAAGGTCTGCGGAAGAAGTCGCCGTTCCCGCTATATTGCTGGCTTGACAAATATACGTCCCTTCATCTTCAATATCAACATCTGATATTTTTAGCGAGTACAAATCGCCTTCCCTCTCTGCATGGATACGCTCTCCGGTCCTGACAGGTCGATCGTCCTTTAACCAAGATATTTCTGGTTCGGGAATTCCAGACACACGGGCATCTAGCTGTGTTGGTCTACCCTCTTTGGCCTTTTGATCTTCCAGTGGCAATATAAATTCAGGTGCCACTGGAGCTGACGACAATTCAACTGGTGCCATTTCGACAACGACTTCCCTTTCTGGAGTAGGGATGGTAAATTGTGCAATCTCCTGAGGTACCTTAGGCCCAGGTTTCGATTTAAGCTTCACAATGTACTCAGCTGGCATGATGATCTCGGCCGTTGACTTCTTGCGCTTTAAAACTGTTGATGGCACCCAAACTTCATCGCCCTTAGAGCCATCTGACCTGAACCTGACAACTTTGTACATTCCTGGGCGTGACATCCGATCGAGAACCAAAACTGTCTCTTCTTTTTGAAGGCATATGTTGTTAAGTTCGTCTCTGTAATCTTCTAACGCAACGTAAAACTCCACCTCTTTGGGAATTTCACTGATTAGGATCTCAAACCTAGAAAATAGTAAAAAGGTTATGAAAACAGGTATAGGGACAATTAACATAAGTAGCTTTTGGAGTATGCGTCTGTGCGTAGCTACACACAAAGAATCTTGATTTTTGCAAAGGCAATAAATCCATGGTTCTTCTAAAACGAAACCTGAAACTTAAGAGAGTCTAACGGGAAATTTTATCACCGTGCCAAATATGAATCAGAGGACTTCAAAATGAAACAAAAAAGGAAAGGGAAGGTCCATGAAAAAATATACAATTAACATACATTTCTGAAAATAAGACATATCAGGGTCAATTCTAAACAAATCTCAAGTGCAGGTAACTTACTGGGTATGCTGAGTTATTTCGGCACAAAGTCTATCTATAACTTCCTTCCCAGCCTGAAAAAGAAATATCTTTTGCTCATTTTGGTTCCATAAACGAGAAGACAACACAACATATTGAAATAAAGCACGGAAATAGAGGCCAACAGAAAATAGTTAATAATGACCACCGAAAAACATTATAATTAGCAATCAATATAAATTAGCATGGAGTAATCATACAATTACCCGTCACTAAATGATAGCAAACGAATAATCTTGACTTCTAAAGACTTTACCTCAAGATCATGGGTGTCGACGCCGGCCTTCCTTCCACATTGTAACAGATCAGTCAAGTAAGCTCTGTACTCCAAAATACGCTCAACTGGCCGATCAAGAAGTTCTTCAACGGGACGACAAGAACTTTCTGCTTCACACACCTACATCAAAGAAACACATTTGGGAAAGGTACTAAGCACCAGAATTAATACTGAAAAAGTATTAAACAATCCACACTAATCAGGATCTTGGAATTGCCAGTTGAGCAGGGAACTCAAAACAGTTGCAAGGAAAGGCTTCTTAAAATGAAGACAAAAGCTCATCAAATTCTCAAAACCCACCTTGAAGAAGTCTTTCGGGTGTGACTCTAAAAAGTTGTCCGAGTCACCTTTTCCATCACAGTAGATTATGTATCTTTCAAGCTCATTTTCCTTCAAGAAAACAAAAGATACAGTAAAAAGTCATACAGTGAAACCTGTCTTTAGCGTATCCCATAAACAGCAGCAAATATCGATTAGTCATGGGACAATGTCAGAGCTAAACGCGCCCATGTACGGCGAATTTCTAGCTGCGCTAAAAATGATGACCGAGCAGGTTAAATGCTTTGGACTTTGTTTCTGTATGGGAACCAGCCCTCATGACAACAGACTGATTTAGCCATCCCTGCTAAGATACTTACCCGTTTCACAAACACTTTTCCGATTTCCGAAGGATTTCCTCGGCACTTTCTCAGCTCATCACGAAAGATCCTATAAGATACGCAAATGTTAAGTTAAAGGGAACGAGCCAGAAAACATCTGGAAAGTTAGCATCACAAAATTCTTCACTTGCAATTCCTGGACATACAAAGGTTTTAGGAAGGCTTGGGACTTGGGGATCAACACAACTTTCAAGATGTTATTATTTTAACGCTCATCTGTGTCTTACACTTTATGGAAGAAGAAGACATCTTCGGAGTTGATGAAGATGGTGTCCTTACAGTCCGCGACCTCTGGCGGTGCCTTTTCAAGCTGATAGATGTAATCCTGCAAAAGAGCAAACAACTTGACATGATAATTTTGGTTTCTTATTGTCGCTGGAGTGTGTGTATTAATCATGAAATAATGTTATATGCAAATTCCTTCCGCTAACTCGAAGTAATTTTTGTTTCCCTCTAGATCATTTCTATATCATAGTAATTTTCCCCTCGATAACTCGATCCATGTTTTGATTCCTTAAAAAGCCGGGAAAAACCAGTGCACTGGCGCCCGAAACATTGGATTTTGAAGTCCCATTAACGTGTTGTAGACATATAGTTTACTAGTGGAGGCTTATGTTATTTGTCACAAATCTAACGTGAAACAGCTTTACTTCTCTAAACAGTAAAACGCACGCTTTATTTAGGCCATGGACTGTTAAGCTACTTTCTGATTTAGAATCTAAAAGTATCTTTCAATTTTCACTGAACATTTCTACAATACAATGTGAGTAAAATGTTCACTGTACAGTAAAAAACGTATATTACCTTAATCCAGCTATTTTCTTCAAGCTCCCGATAACTCAAACTCCCGATAACTCGAACTTTTTCGATTTCCCTTGAAGGTTCGAGTTAACGGGAGTCGACTGTACATCAAACTACGTACCTCGGCGAGAGATCTTAAATCATCCACATATTTCTCCTCAGTTTCAATTAACGTGTCAGTGATGTCGTTCATCCTTTGCAGCGCAACTTCCTTCTCTAAATCTGGGGCTTCCCCATTCACGAAAGGAGATGGAATTGTCAATTCTATTGCACCAAAGTTGAAGTCTTGAGGTGTGGTCATCAAGTATGCCTCTGATTCCACCTTTGGCTGTTCGATGTCGTCAGCATGGCCGTTAACAAGTCTACTCGCATCAATGCATGGATCTGACATTCTCCGTGGAGTACCAGGGGGAGTGAAAATTAGAACCGAGCCGGCATGTTGAGGAATGAGGAGCTCCGCATGTTTTCTTGGTTCCAAACTAAAAAGCCAA